AAAGTCGTGTTAGTAAAACTACATTTGCTCGCATAATTGATAAAGTTTGCCAAATGTTATCGAGGTTAAAAGACTAAAAATCAGTCTCTAGCGAATATAATTATGTTTACTTTGTCTATTCCGGTAGTCATTCCTGTTTATAATATACAAACTATCAAGTTGTTCACGACCACTACTAAAGATATTGAGAGACTATTTAGAAATTTTGTTTAAGGCGACTCAAAAAATACCATAAAATCCACTTGGTCCGTTGAGAGAGTGTTTGTCGAACTAAACAAGTAGGAGGCTTTAGATTAAAGAAGTTTTCCGATATGAATAATGCCTTAGTTGTGAAAATAGGTTAAGAAATTATCTCTAATAATATGTTAAGAAATTATCTCTAATAACTCCTCTTTCTAGATGAAGATAGTTTGTAGTAAACATAAGATTAAGCTTGCACTAACGTCTTTCTTTATCTCTCGTGCTAGTTGTTTGAACCTTTAGAGAAGCATCTCTAAAGTTTGAAAGGATGTGTGTAGCTGTATCACCTAGTCTTTTGGAAATGATAATAATGTTGGATTCTAGACAAAGGCATGAATTCGTAATTAAGAGAGACTTATGGATAAAGTATTTGAGCTTATTTTAACTAACTTGATAAATGAATCGATCAAGAAATATATCACAAATGATGGATAATAATGGTGGGATAAGTTTAGCAACTTTATTCCCATGTTGGGTTGTATAAAGATTGTAGAGATTCCGCCCTAGTAGAAAGACAAGATAAAGACATACCTTGTTAGGCCCTAACCGAGTAATGAGTTGTTCTCTGCAAGGTCGACTTGCCATTCTATCAATTCAGCTTTAATCACTTCGGTAGAAAGATGGAAGTTGCTTTGGTAGTAGAGAGAACTTTAATGCATCCGTATGTTTCCATGGTTTACTCGTCCATGAACAACTACTCATCAACGTGCAAAGAGTAAGGAAAGGTCTTGTTGTCGACTTGTTTTATCCATGTTGTCATGAAAGTCTAGAGATTTGGCACAAGGTTAGGGCAACCAGTAGGATTAATGGTTTTTACACTTTGAAACTTAAGTATTAGATTTGGGTAAATCTAAATCAAACTAAATTTGGGTATGCAAACTCAATTTCTTAGAGCGTTTGATATGAGGTGCGTTGTTAGTTCTTATGGACTTAGAGAAACAAGTATATTTTTTATGAAAAATTTTGTCATGCCTTACGAGTATGTTAGAAGTTATTCATTCTTTTACCGAAAACATCGTGTCTAGCATGAGCACGGTTGCCCTCTTATCCAAGTTGAATCCATTAAGATATGAGACTCGTGGTTGGTCGGTTGAGAGCACCTTTCGAGTTGGCCAAACTTGATACTAATAGAGCTCCAAGAGAGTCAATTGGTATTTTAATAACTAGTGATATTCGTTAAGGCGAAGGTGGTATTTAGTTGCATGGCATTTCTTACTAGATTGGTATATGTTCTATGTTATGTGTAGAATTTTAGGGCATAATGGTTGGTTTAGAGATGGCATGGAATTTGGGTTTTCAATATGTTTTCGTAGAAACTAACTTTATGATAGTAGTTCATTTAATTCGAATTCGGTTCGGCATCGAGAAAATTGCAATAAATTAGTCTCATTCATTTGCAAAATCCTTTAAAAGCCTTAGCGAGGTTCATAATTGTCACACTCATGAGAAGCTAATCGTTTAGCAAATTGGCTTGCTTCAAATGCATACTCTCTTTGAAGGGAATTTTGTACTTTGAATATGCCCCATTAAGTCGCCTCCTTATAGAAGGCATATGTGGTGTAGCCTCTCTAAGACTATGTAACAAACAACTTTTTGATTAAAGTTTTTCCCATATATAAAAAAGAAATCTACATACTTTCCTAACCTATTTTTGTTCTAGTCAAATGGGTTAGCATCAAGTTTGAGATTTCTTTTAACACGAGTGTAACTTATACCATGTAGATTTAGGCTTTTTAAAATTGTCGGGTCAAACATTTTAAAAGTTTAAGCTTTATCGACATGTGATCTCTAATATATATATATATATATATATGCCATTTACATTGTTTAAAAACGAAAAAAATTCATTGGCAACCTTAGCTAATAATACCTATTTTTCTCCGAGTTTTACTTTGACTAAACTTCTTCCACAATCGAAAATTGCTTCTTCGTTAACATCTAAGTCCTTTTGTTACAACAACTCTAATATATATATATATATATATATGTATGTATGTATGTATGTATGTATGTATGTATATATTCCAAGTAGTAATCATCCAAGTCGATGAGGTATTAGAACAAATACGAGTGCCATAGATATATTCCTCAATGAATTAAATAATGTAAAAGGCATATATGTATGTAGCATATAAAAGTGATCACATGTTGATAAGGCTTAAAGTCTTAAAGTGTCCGACCCAATAGTCTTAAAAATCCAATATATATATATGGAATGAGTTACACCCATGTTAAAAGAGGTCCCAAACTTGATTCTAATTCATTTTACTATAACAAAAATAGAGTATGAAAGTATGTAGATTTTTTTTTTTTAAATACATGAGAGAGGAAAAACTCTAATAAATAGGTTGTCTATTACATAATCTTGGAGAGACTACACCACATATGTCTTCCGAAAGGAGGCTAATACACCCTCAATGAGGTATGTTCAAAGTGCGAAATTCCCCGGGAAGAGAGGTTGCATGTGAAGCAAGCTAATCTGCTAACCGCTTACAATACATGGAAAAACTCAAAGAGCTCGGATCTCTTCCACAATTAGATCTAATAAAAATTAATTTCTAAACAAATCTTATGAAAAAAAACTTAAAACTAATTGATGATATGATAAGTGATTGATGAAAATATACGTACATATCTTTAAAAAATATGAATTAATAGCTCAAGTTATCTTTATATAGTAGATTACTTTTTCAATCTATCATAATATGTTGAAGCTGAATCAAATTTATGTTACAATATACCGTAAGTTTTTAATTTATTATTTTTGTCAAAATTTTAATGCCAAACTACCATAATTTTTCACGTAATTTGCATATGATTAATTTCTATTCCCAAACCATTGCAAATAAGTCAAATAGAAGGTTTTTATGTACAAATCATGTAATTAATTTTAATAATTTAGATTAAAAATTTTGTTAGAACGAGAGGTTAGACACTAAATATATATTCAAGATAAAATTAGTTTAATTAAGGATATAGATACAAATTAGAAAATTATTTTTTTTATATAAATACAAATTGAACCATTAGTAAAAAAACTCGGTTATTAAATTATTATATGATTCATTAATTTGTTTGTGTAACCATTAATGTTGAAGTGCTCATCTAATAATTATATAATTATCCAATATTCAAAATTCTACAATCAAATGACTTCAGCAAAGAATATTGTGTGTGTGTGTGTGTTTATTATTATTATTATATAATGCATACTTGTGAACTATGAGTTAAAAATCTTATATTATGTATTAAATTTAAATTTTACAACTTTTTTTTGATCGATTTCAAGATAAATAATTCAAATTAAATTAACCAATTCCTTTCATTCTCTAAACAAAAAAAAAAAAAAAAAAACACTTTTCTCCCATCCCCAAACCAATCAAGGGTGTGGCACATTAATTTGCTTTAAATATTTCCTCCATCTCTTATCATCACAAAATAATAATAATAATAATTATTATTATTCTTACTTTTACTCCCTATTCCTTTTTCTTTTTTAAAAAATCTTTTTAATTCTTCCATCCAAGCATGTGGTTATAAATTTTTTATCCGGATACCTTTACCTCGTTTGCAAATAAGTTATAACCAAACTAGTATAAGATGTTGGAACATAAGGTTTAGCCTGTAAAAGTAATGGAGTAAGGAATGAGAAGAAATGGTCCTAAGATGTTTTGATGTTCAAAACTTTTTAGAAAACATCTTAATATAGTTGAAAGAAGAGACAAAAATTGAATTTCTTGATGAAACAATAGCAAAACGGTGGACCCGTATCGAGAAACAACACCAAATTTGCTCTTTTTTTTTTTTTTATTGGATCGTGAGAAAAAAGCACCACCGAATTTTTCTGGGTTTTTGAAGATTCATTTCTCTTAATTTTACAAGACGAAAAAATAACACATTCTTCTCTTTTCTCTCTTCTTTGTTCTTGGATATTCGTTAGTAAGATTTTTAGAATTTTTAATCTTAGTTTTGATGAATCCTGAAAGTATATTTGCCATTAATTAAAGGAACTATAAAATTAATGAAGGATCATGCAAAAAGGAGAAAACAATTAAAGGAACCCTGAAGTTAATGATTTTCTTTTAATCTGCCAAATCTTGCAATTAATTGGAGCAAAACAATTAATCAACACTTTGTTTGCTCTAAGAATCAAAATGGCTTAATAGCTGCTTGTATATATAAACCAACATAGTGACATTAAACAAAGCATATAAACCACTATTAATGACATTAACCAAAGCTAGAATCCTTAATTAGACTCGTTGATGACGGTAGACAATTGCATGCTCAACTAATTAAACAACTAACACCAAATAGGGTGACATTTGGAAAAAAAAAACTAGATTGGAAGATTTGGATTCAGATCCTATGTACCATCATGTTTATAAAATCAAAATCGTTAAATTCAAATTGGATGGACATGATTTAGTGCATGCATGATAATTCATTATTGTTTTATTTAACTAAATTAATCTAGATTATTGAATTCAAAATGAATAATTAGATTTAAAATATGATCCGTTAACAACATGAGAGGATCCAAATCCGGAAAGATTTGATCTGTATTTGTTTTTGCTAGACTTGCTGCATGGTATATATGAAGCAGTTGCACAATAACTATTATTAAATCTTCAAAGAAAGGAAGATCATCTTATTTTATTTCAAATTAAAGTCCCAGCAACCTCTACATACACGACTACAAAGATTGGCCATATATAATAAACAACGGTTGCTGCAGATTTTTGTGGAGGTTGCATCAACTAACAAAGCTTAGCGCAAAAACAGCGGCGGCGGAATCCTTTGCATTCACCACCGGCAAAACCTTCAGTTTTACACACCATAGCACAGTTGTGGCCTCTTATGCATGTTCCTTTATACTGGTGGCTCTGTGACAAACAAACCCTAGCCTCAGTCGGTACCACCATTTCCTCTGCAATATGCCACACAAATTATGAAAAAAAAAGTCATTCGTTCTCCTTCAAAATTAACACACAGAGATACCACAAAAGTTAATATTGCAGCAAAGGGAAAGAAAATAAAATGTAGAAGCAGATAGGTTATTAGAGGTTGTGCATTGCATAACTTATTCCAATAAAAAAGGGCTTGAGTCACAATGATTCTAGCTTATTTGGTGATTATCTAATAAAAAACGTTATCTCTGGTAATGTAGTATCCATAAACTTCTCGATGAATAAAATTAAAATGGTGACTTACGAGAAGCCAAGACAATGAGCAGCAACAAGACAAGACCAAAGAATTTCTTCTCCATTTCTCTGCTTAATTAGAACCTGCTAGCTTGCTCTTTCACAGCTACTACTACACTTCTTCAGCTTCAAACTGAATTTCTCTCGTTTATTTCATGAATATATATACTGCTGAAGATGCATGTCACGTGAAAATCTTGGAAATGTTAAATGTAATTAAATGATATCTTTCACGTCCACCAAGAACATGATCAAGACTCAAGAGCTTGTTTTCTTCTGTCAGGCAACAGCTAGCAATGCAGGATGACTATATTGTGACAAGACAAGGTAGTCAAGGACAAAGGCCTCTTGGAACGGACCAAAAAAAAAAAAAAGCCAAAAGAAAAATGGGATATGAAGTCATTCAGTTACTTTTATTCAACCACAAAATAATGATGAAGTGAATTGGACAATAATTTCTATAATTTGGTCTTTAAAGTTTTAATTTTTCATATTTGCTCCACCACCAACTTACTTTGTCCAACCTCTCTTTAATTTGATTTATTTTTAATACTTTGTCCAACCTCTCTTTAATTTGATTTATTTTTAAGTTTGTCCTTCTAATTTTATGACATCACATCGACTAAAAAAATTCATCCCGTTCAAGTAAGACCTCGAATTATTTTTTGGATAAATTTTAATTTATCCTCTTAATATTCAAGAGCTTTCTCAATTCTTTTTCTCTAAAACTTCGTTTATATTGATATCCTTTTAAAAATTTTAATTCTTCCTCTTTATTAATTAATTATATTGGGATATATTGGATTATATACCCTTGATATCCTTTTACAAATTTCAATTCTTCCTTTTCTATTCATTAAATATATCAAGATATATTGGATTATATACCCTTCCTCGATCGTTCAATTTGAAAGCACTAAAAAAATAGATAAATGGAAAGGAATAAATAATTTAGAGATATATCTTTCAATTTGAGAGTATTAAGAAACTGAAAAAATAAAATAAAATGATGGATTTTTTTTCTTTCCACACTCAATTACTCAATGTACAACCCCGTAATTATATAAAAAATCATCTTAAGCTTTTAGTGAAAATTCCTTCGACTTAAAACTTTACTGATTTATATTACTTTATAATTAATTAAAAGAGAAAATTAGATGGTAAGATAAAAGAAAATAAGAATAATTAATTAAAAGAGAAAGTGGTTACCTTAATTAATTAAAACAAAAAATAGGTGGTAGGATAAGAAAAAATAAGTGGTCTAATTCAAACTTTTGACCGTTAATTAAACGAGAAAGTTAACAAATTTTTGAATCCAAACACTACCGAGAAAAATACCAATTACCGACGGATTAGAGATGAACTATAAAGGGTGTGTGTTTGAGATGAATTAGCGACGGACTAATGAGGGATAATTAACAACGACAAAAAATCCGTCGCTAAATAAGGTGGGGAAAAAAACGTCAAAATTAGCGACGGATTAATGATGGCTTTGTGGTCTCTAAAGGGAAAAATTAGTGATAGACTTCAAATCCGTCACCCCAAAAAAGGCACAAATTAGCAACGAATTTTGAAATTCGTCGTTAAAATTAGTGACGATTTTGGAATCCATCACTAAAATTAGGAACGGACTTCAAGTCCGTTACTAATTAGCGATGAACATCAAGTCCGTCACTAATTTATGCCTTTTTTAGGGGGAAATTTCCCTAAAATGGCTCAAAGTTAGCGACGGATCTTGGAATCTGTCGCTAAAATTAGCGATGGACATCAAGTCTATTGCTAATTTGTGCCTTTTTAGGAGAAATTCTCCCAAAATAGCTCAAAGTTAGTGACAGATTTTGGAATCCGTTGCTAAAATTAGCGAAAGACATCAAGTCCGTCACTAATTAGCGACAAACATCAAGTTCATCACTAATTTGTGCCTTTTTTAGAAGGAAATTCCCCAAAATGACCCAATCCGTCACTAAAATTAGAGACGAACTTCTACCTCACCGACGTTTAGAGACGGACGTCACCTTCGTCGCTAAACTTCAAGAATTTTGGGGGAAATTTCCCCCAAATTAACAACGAACTCGTAATCCGTCGTTAATCATCAACGAAATCGGGTCTATCGCTATTTTACCTTTATATATACCCTCCTCTTCTTCTTCTTCTCCGTTTGCTTCCCTCACCTCCATCACACCTCCTTTTTCGTCGCCTCTCACAATAACGCCCACCCACGACGCCCCACACCACTAAATCTTTTTCAAAATCATTCAACAAAGTGAGGGGTATCTTTCTTTCTCAAAATCGGATCGGATCCGTGTTCCGTATCCTTGATCTATCGGGTAAAACTTTCTCTAGGTAAAACTTTCTCTCTATAACTCTTATGTTTTTTTTTGTAATTAGATAATTGTTAGAAATTTTTAGGTAAATTTTGTTATTTGTTAGTTTATTAATTGTTTGAATGTTGTTAATTATCTTGTTATGTTAATTTTTTTATTATGTTAAGTTGTATGTAGTAGTTTAAATTTGTTAGTTGTTATTTTATTTTTATAAGCTGTTAGATTAATTTTGTTAAGTTTTATTTTGTTGTCATGTTAATTATTAGGTTAATTTGTACGTTAACATAAACCTTAAAAATTTAAATTTTGTTAATTTTTAGTTGTTAGATTAAAATTTAATTATTTAATCTTAAATTGTTATTTTAATTAAGTGAATTAATTATATATTTATTTGTTTTTAGTGTTAGGTTAATTTGGTTAGTTTTTTTTTTTTAACTTAATTTTGAAATTATATAATTTTTGATGTAGTTTAGTTTAAATTTGGTTGAAATTATATAATTTTTGACATAGTGTAATCATTTCGAATGTAAATTTTATAAGTAATTTTATTAGTTTAATTATTAAAATTGAAATAAGATAACATCCATAATGATTTGATCGTTCCTTCCACTCAACTTCCAATTTAGCCTCTAGTCGATCCTCTAGTCGAGCCCTCCGCACAATATGAGAATGAGGATATGAGATTAGACGAGCATGATGAGTGATATAATATTCGATCACTTTCTTTGTTTTGTTGCTTTTTTTATGAAACTTATTCTAGAATGATTTTGTTAATATTATTTTATTTTTCATATATACATGATTACTTATAATTGTTTATTATTAAATATTATTATTAAATGTCATATTAATAATTTAATTTTGAAAAATGTCAACAAAAACGATAGAATTGTGAAAAAATTATTTTTGAAATTAGTGACGGATTAGTGAAATTTTTGTTTTCAAAATTAGCGACATAATAGCAACGGATTTATTTTCAAAATTAACGACGAATTAGCTACAAAAAAAGAGCAATCATACGACAAGATTAGCGACAGATTTTTTTTGTTTAGCAACGCATTATCCGTCACTAAATTTAGCGACGGATCGAGTATTGCGTTGTAAAAATTTAGCAACCAGACAAAATAGTGACGAGAATATGATCCATCGCTATCCCATCACTATTCACAATTAGTGACGGAATTGGAACGTTTAGCTATGGAATATTCCATCGCTAAACTCAATTTTTATTGTAGTGAAAAATTGTTAGGAATCCAAAAACTTAAACATGAACTCAAAAATTATTAGGAATCCAAAAACTTAAACATGAATCCGTAGAATGATTTATAATATTCGTTAACAAGTAGTAAAGGATTAGTAGCAAATAAAAATAGATATAATTTATATTATTTTTTAACAATGAGTAGAGAATTAGTAGCAAATAAAAATATGATATTAGAGAGAAAATTATTGCTACATGAACACACAAGAGCTCAACTAAAAATTAAGCATTCAATAGCCATGCTGCATGATTCATTGATATGTTTCTCCCAAAAATGGAAGTAACAATCTTTATTTAATTACATATCAAACCCCAAAACAAAATACCAAACTTGCTTTATTATTATCATTATTGTTGTTGTTGTTGTTGATGTTGCTTGCAAGATCACAAGTTCTCTTGGATGGAAGCACGATTTAACATTGCTTGGAGCAAAAGCAGCGGCGACGGAATCCTCTGCAGTTTCCACTGAAGTAACCTTCAGTTCTGCACACCGTAGCACAGTTGGAGTCCCGAAAACATGCACCTACATATTTGTGGCTTTGTGTTTCGCAAAGCCTTGCTTGTGTAGGCATCACCACCTCTTCTATACATAGTGACATGCACAAGCAGAAATGATGATTATTGTCTAATTTAGGAAGTGAAATTATCATGCATGGATGTTTCTTACTTTCCGTAAATACTGTGTTCATACTTTTTCGTTTTCTTTTTTCACATTTTTTTCCCTCTTCTATACATAGTGACATGCACAAGCAGAAATGATGATTATTGGTTTCACTCCAAAAGACCTCACGGGTATTAAAAACACAATGGAATAGCATCACCATTTTAACTAATTCAAGTCAATTAATTCTTGTCTTAATGTTTGTTCCCTAATCAAATTCTTGTATCTTTATCATTAATTTGTTTCTTCCATCCAATTTCAGTTATTTTTCTATTAGATGGAAGTTCCTATGACGAAAAAAAAAGGAATTATTGTAGAAATAAGACAAAAATAGATAACAAGAACTGACTTAAATTAATTGTCTAAGTTATGGAGTAAAAAAAATTAATTACACAAAGTGGTATTTTAGGATTCAACGTGTGAGACACATGCATGCATGCTCTAAGCAGCAATGAAAGGTATTATTAAACAAAAAATTTAGTTTCTTGACCTCCTAATATTGTATTCATAGTGAAAAACTTTTCCAATTAAACAAATGAGCTTACAGTTAAGGATTTTTTTTGTATAAATAAGAAGAGTGGGTCTCAAGTTTGAATTTACCTTTTGTCATAAATTCTAATTAAAAATGGAAAAAGAAAGAAAGAAAATTATACACCAACGGAAAAATGCGTGCATGTCATGAAAATAGAGTGAAATCATTAATTGTACAAGGGGAAGAAAGAATCTTACGAGAAGCCAAGACAATGAGGAGTAACAAAAATAACCCAAAGGCTCTCTTCTCCATGACTGATCTCTGCAGCTTTCAACACAAAACCACCGACTAAATGAATATGAAAATTGATAAACTTTTAAACTTTTCAGGTTATGTTTTGGTGTGCCTTGAAATGAATATGTATATATATATATATATATATATATATGTATGTATACATATAGGAGTCTCATGCGTACTCTTTCAGCTGCTGGCTTAGCTAGAAGATAATGCACTGTCGGTGAGAATTACAAGTGATGTGGCTCGTGAAATGACAAGAGCAAGCTTGCCTAGAGTCTCTACATTTGTCTTTGCTGCCACGATAACTTAGCACTTGTTCATCATGGGATGACTCGGTCATGAACGTACGTGTAATGAAATACCAGCTTACAGCTAGATGTTAAATAACCATTCCAAAAGTTTAAATTTAAAAACCATCTCCATCAAAAAAGCGCATTGTGTCTAAAAATTTAAGTTAAAAAACTATGTAAACCCAAAAATGTAAGCAACATTTTGAATAAAATTCATCGTATTATTTTCTAATAAATTTTAAATAAAAATTATAATATAATTTTTTTGGATTTAAAATTAACACGGACTCATTTTGTGTTTAATTATAGCTAAATGGGCTAAACCTGTTTTGAATTTTAATTCATTTGAAATTAAATCTTTAAACTTTAAATTTGATTTTTGAGATTCTTGAACATTTTATTTTTTTTGAAATATAGCCCAATTTTTAGTTTTTTTTTATTATTTATCTCAAAAAAATAACAATTATATAAATAGCCTCATGATAGAAATCATTCAATGAAATCTGTACGAGGCTCCTAAAAAAAATCATTTTAGATTGTTTTTTATTTTTTTATTTTCTATATTTTTTATATTAAAAAATAAAAATATATACTTTTTTATTTTAAGAAATTTTTTATAAAACGAATTTGATTTTTTCAATATGTGTGCAAAATTTCAATTCAAAATATCAAGAATTGAATTTGTTAAATATTCGAACTCTTGATATTTAGTTAATAAAACTTTAATATCATATTAAATGATCATCTTATTTTTAAAAATTAAATTATTAGATAAAATCTCAAAATTATTCTTATATTACTTCTAACACTAGATAGCTAGATGAAATTGGATTCCTATTTGAAACAACGGAACAATGTTTTTATTGTAGACGGTGAGGTTTTGGCACGAGGCAAGATTTGGCGGCATAAATTCCTACTACCATGAACCGAAGCTGTTGAGCTGGCTAGCAACTCTCTTGCCAGCACCATATGGGTTTGCTATCCATATGTTTACACCAATAATTCAATGAATATATATAATTTAAAATAAATTAGTCGGCTTTTCGCATTATGCAGTAATCTGAACTAAGTATGTTTATTCAATTTAATTGTCAATATTACAAAATCGATCAACTAGAATATATTAAATTAAAAATAAAAAATCATTTAATTTCATAATTTTTTAAAATCTTTTGCATTTCAACTATTCTTTCTAATGCTTTTAATATTTTTTGTTGTTGAAAAAGCACAATTTATTGTACGTTATATATTCATTTTTAAATAAAAACCCAATATAAACAAAAAATATATATATTTTTTAAAAAATATTTAAATATTTTTTATAAGATTATATCCAATAAATAAATTAACAATCAATAAAAGACAAAAAACCTGTATATTGCAACACCTCATTAATTACAATTTTCACCACAAGTTTGACCCAATTAAAAAGAAAAATCTGGCTTCTTTGAAGAAGGACTCGTAAGAGTTAAACAATAACATCACCTTTGGATCGTTGAAAAAGATGATACGAGAGAAGACGACATGAGAGAAATAAGGAGATGTGGGGGCTACAGAAGAATTCCATTTTCTTTCGATCCTCTAGCTCAATGGTGGTTTGCATAAGCAGATCAGGTGGTTTGCATAAGCAGATCAGGTGGTTTTTGGTTCATTCGAGGTCATATTTAAGCCAAACATATGTTTTTTTTTTTTTTTTTTTGTTATTACTAGATGAAATCCTCATTGGTGCTTTTTTTTTTTTTCCATTTCTTACGGTTAATTTTTTTTTAATGTTTTACTCAATATTTATGTTACAACTCTTAGGCATTATAATTTCGATTGCTGACTGGCAGTTTTTGTCTAAGATCATAACATTTTATCAATTAAAGCACGATTTTAGCTTGAGTTTTTCATATCCCATTTGTTTGATCATCATTCTTCTTCCTCTATATGTGGTTTTTGGTTAATGTTCAATGGCGTTGTGCATGCAATTTGTTTATATTTACTTTTCTTGTCTAAGGCATGATTGCTTTTGGGAGTTTATTGGGTATGTAATTAGCTAAAACATTACTGTGGTACGAGTTTTTTGGCATGGTCGATGACTCTATCGAGGTTTTTCTTTTTTATTTTCTTAGTCTTCTGCTTGATGGAAACTTTATTTGCTTTTGTGTTTGAAAGCATGTCATTTTCTTTGTTGGCCTTTGAGCAGCGCATTGATGAGTTTTTATTATGCTCTTGCGTTTCTCCCTGTGATCTATTTATGTTATATTTTCAACATCCATTGTATTTTTTTTTATGTATGTTATATGAGCAACTTTTTTTTCTCTTTTATTTGTGTTTTGTTTGCTTGATACAAAATTTGTTTTTATTAGCCTTAAAGATAGTATTATTATGTGATTTTTTTTTGTTTTTTTTTTCATGTGTGGTTGGTTGTCTTTTCATGAATGGATATTAATTAAAAAAAATTACGTGCATAGAAAACGCATGTTTAAAAGATGCCATAGATTAGAGGCAAAATTTACAATGATGACTCTGATATTTGAAATTGAAAAAAAAAAAAACCAAAAAAATGATAAAAGAGAGGCTCTAATTTAAAACAAAAAAGAATAATGACGGAGAAAGACAAAAAAACCTACATCGAGCATGAACAAGTTTGAAAATTAGCTTGTAAAAATTCATGAACTACCAATTTCTCTCTTTACCTTCTCTCAAGGATGTAATAACAATACATACATTTCAAACATATAAATTGTTTACTTCCCTATATTGCACATACTCTTTCCCTCTTTGCATGTAATGTATATTGGATCGGTTTTAAATCTATCACCCTACCATATTTGATATCGGTAGACAATCATACCGACTAGTTGCTTGATATAAAAGCAACAACAAACTCAATAAAAATCGAATGTTGACATTAAAGATTTTATATACGATCAATTATTTTGTGTTTAATTTTTTATTGTTTTAAATTATCAATATCGTATTTTCTCAAAGTTAGAGAAAATTTCAATATTTAGCTTTTTTAATTTCATATATAATATGGGTGTAGATTTGTTAGACAAATTGATTTTTTACTTGATTATTGCATGTTTTGCACATTAAAACATAAGAAGCCAACCAGTTTGTTTATAAGTTTCCAATAAAGAGGTACGAAAGATACGAACAATTGATGATCGATACTCCTATGCCTCTTCTTTGTGTAGTGGCTAGAATTGTAGAGCGATTAAAAGTGTTAGATTTTGTTGGTTTTGAGCACTTTTATTGTAATTGCAATTTTCACCACAAGCTTGACCCAATTAACAATTTCAATGATGTTTTACCGTTACTACTTTTTTAACACAATCGGATAAGTAATAAATCCAATTTAATTGTGTAATAAAGGGTAAGAAAGTATTATTTTCACGAGGAATTAAATTGCACTACTAAAATTGTATAACTTATAATAAGTTGAATTAATCGAAATAATTAAAAGAATAAAAATTAAATTAAAACTCTATTCTAAATTTGCGGAATTGAAAATTACTAATAAGATGATATGAAAGTAGCTAGGGATAGATTCATTTAATTATCACTTATGCAATTAACTATATTAACTCAACTCACAAACTACCTTAAGGTCTATCTTAATATATGTAACGACGAAATTCCATAAACAAGTTAATAAGCTATCTTTAGTCGGATTAACCCTATTCTTCACCTAACAAATCATCCATATTTCTATGTGACTTAAATTAAGATCTAAATAAGCATGCCATCACGCACGTCTCTCTTCCATTATCGTACTAGAACTAGTTGTCTTTCAATTAATAGTAAACTAGTGATTTATATTGCTATGATCTAACACATGCAATTCCCTCTCGAGTTCAAGCATATGTCATTAAATCGGTATGAGGTGATCACTCTCTTAAAGCATTAAACGCAAGCAATATAAATTCATCATACATCAAGAATCAAGTTTAACGTTGAGAAAAATAATTAATCACATGAGATAATAATTAAAATCATCCATCCCTAACTTAAGAGTTTATCTCAACATAAAGGAATTTGATAGATTTGAAAATAAAATATTACATTGACAATCCATCAAATAATAATCAAAAGAAAATTCAATTACTTGGCTAATGAATCCGTATGCTTCTATAGTCTTTTTCTTATGATCCGTTGTCTCCAATTTCCTTCTTTTGTTTGGCCATGCAATGGCTTCACTGTAGTGCAAGTGCCAAAAAACTCCCTACTACCATGCAAAACATTTTCTTTATACTCGTCGTACAAAAGCCTTTTTTTTTTTTTAATGCCATGCAACTCCATATATCCGCCTCTATCCATGCATATCCGCTTTCTTTGGCTTTCTAGCTTTCTTGGTATAACTTCCTATTTCTTTATTTTTCTTCCCCTCGGTCGTCTCTCTCTCCACCTCTTTTATGCTAAAATTATTTCCTTTTAGTCCATCACGTAATTCTCTCTATAGAATAGGATGAATGGCTTTTTGTAGTGTCCAAGTCAAACATTTGTTTTCTCTTTGCTTTTTAATCCTTGCTTTTGATTTTTATTTTCGTTTCGATCCTTGTTTTTTGCCTTACTTTTTTAGTCTTCTCTTAATTCTTTGTACCTACAAATTTAAAGTACATGAGAATTAATTTATATTAAATGAAACATAAATTACACGCACAATTAACAAATTTAAGCTCCAAGTTTAGATAAAATATACGTATAAATTATACTTATCATTTACTACACGGTAAATGCATCAATCTTTGAGAAAATGCCACGAAACGGATAAATTAAGTTGTAAATACGAGTCTAAAAGGACTAAAGGTTGAAAGAAAATAATTTTAAACTTGATACATTCAATTAAAATTATATTTTATTAAAATTTTAGTTGAGCATCTTTTGAGGCTATGCTCGAACATATTAACTTAAATCTAAAAAAATCATTTGCTAGGATTCAGTTGATGGCAATGAGGAAACAAAATAAAGATAATTAGTTAAGAGATGCTATAGTGGGTTTTGCTCATCATATGATGGCCACTTTATACATATATATTTTTTTTGTAGTTGAGTAGAAATTTATTTGTGTTTCATAACATGCCAAGAAAAATAGTACGAGTAAAAGTTGAAAAGAATGAGTGATAGACAATTTAGCTATATATTTCTTTAGATAATGAGATTTGTATATTGCATTTTTGAATAATCTATTGTGATCGACACTTATAAGGATCTATTATAAAGGTCGCTTTGAAAATTGATGATCCATATTGATCAAAGAAAAAGGTTTGGACTATTTATAGAGTCTTACCATTTTGTATTCGAAATAATTTTTTTTATCTCGAACATGTTCTTGATTGCTTGATAATCGCTTCTTAATTTTGTCTAATTTACAAAATACAATATTGTATAATATACAAGAAGCAAAATTGTGATTATTATAACTTTATCAATTTTGTGATTATTAGAACTTTATCAATTATTATTCTTTTATACTAATATTGTATTTGTTTGCTTATTGTTAAATAAAATTAACAATCTGTTTATAGAATGACAAATACACTTACATCTTTTTGGCCTAAGTGATATATACCCATAGAAGAACATCAAGTCATGTTAAATATCTTGATAATGCCATTAATCAATGTGAATATGGTCGGCAAAATTTTGCCTTTACTTATTCATGAAATGGGGATGCACATCTTAAATGGCCTACATGTTTGATTTTTTTTTCTACTTATTCTCTACTTAAAAAATGTACTTAGCTTTAGTACCAAATGAATTTGAGAATGTATAATATTTTTTGTTTGAACACTATTTATATAAAGAGTTTTTTTAAAAAATAGCTCACGCACCCGTCGTAAAGCGTGGTCGGTATTGCTAGTCATATAATCGTTTTTTGTGCATATAAGGAGAAAATAAAGTGAGTTTAATGTTTTAAAAAATAAATGACGAGTGGGAGGATTATAATCCTATACCTTGTAAAATGACTAGGTGTAATTGACGCTAACCACGATTTCCATTATGCATGTTAGAAAATACTTTAGAAGGATCATGCATATTGTGCACACACCTTGTGGTCATGTGAACAATGTCCAGCATGGTATTCGTGAAAGCAATCAAGTTTTAACCTTAAAAATTCAATCTAAAAACTAATTGAACGAGTACATAAACTAGTCAAGTAGGCTTATGGCCGGACACATTGAGTTTAGAACTAGCTAAGTAGTTTTTGGTGCACAATCTTACTCATTTTGTTAAAATTTTGTGCAATGGCTACTTTTATACAAGGAACAAGGGTTAATATCGTTAAGTTATGGAGACTTATGCAAATGAAAGCCTACAATATAAGATGCTATATAGATTCAACACGACGTCTCACTTGTATAAACCTTTTTTCTTATAACTTTAATGTGGAAAAATAAAGGTAATATTACTTGTATTTATAACCGTCACTTGAAAAAGCCAAATAAGAAATCCTAGTGCGGTCGTGAAGTAGACACAATTGTCGAATCATATAAAATATTTATGTTATGTGATTGTAATTGTCTTTTTACTATTTTTTTTAACTTGATTCGTTTCTTAACAAATATTATTGATCTCTTATAAATACTCATCATTCTTATGCATTTTAGATATAAAAAAAGAAAAAAAAACTTGCATAAACACTATATCTTTCCTAAGAGTTCTATTGGTTAAAACATTTCATATTGTGTTATTGTTCTTAAAATAGTTTATTTGCTATTTGAACGAGTATTTTTTTTGGTTCATAGTTATTATCTTATTCTATCTTATTACGGTGTGAGTGGCACGACAATCTCGATTGTATAAGCTTGTTAGACTTTTTTCTTATAACTCTAATTGTTCACATTATAAATAGAGGCAACATTATTCGTATTTGTAATCGCCACATGACAAAACCTAATAAGAAATCCTAGTGCAATCGTGAAGAAGATACAATTGTTGAATCATATAAAATCTTTATGTTGTGTAATTGTACTTGTCTTTCTACTATATTTTATTATTTTACTTGATTCATTTCTTAACAATTATTATTGATCTCTTATAAATACTCATCATTCTTAAGCATTTTAGATATAAAAAAGGAAAAAAAAACACTTGCATAAACACTACATCTTTCCTAAGAGTTTTATTGGTTAAAACATTTCATATTGTGCTATTGTTTTTAAAATAGTTTATTTGCTATGTGAATGAGTTTTTTTTTTTATAGCTATTATTTTATTCTATCATATTTCGGTGTAAGTGGCATCGTATCAACACTCCGAGTTATGAATGTATTAAAAGTTGCAAGAGTATTGTTACTCGTTTGTGTAAATAGAAACACCTAATGCATTGAAAATCCTAAAATTGTGTTCAAGGACTCGGATGTAGGCATGACCATACTAGAAAAATCGTTGTGTTTGATCTTCCTATCCTTGCATTCTTTACTTTACTATATTATTTATTTATCTTGCAAATTCTTTATCCATACATCTCGCATTGTCAAGTTTTATATTTAAGTCTTACGATTTAATTTTTAATTTATTTGTTAGTCTTGAAGTTTTTAACAAGGCATATTGATATTTGTATCCTGTATTGTCAAGTTTTATCTTTAAGCCTTGTGCTTCAAGTTTTTATTTATTCATAAGTTTTCAAGTTTTAAAAAATGCTTACTTATCCCTTAATAAGTCTAACTTCGATCCTACAATTGGTGAGTAAAATACAATTTGGTCTTTTTATTTTGCAAAAACGAGTTAATTTGTCTTTTTTATTTCAAAAATTAATTATTTAGTCCCTTGGCTAGTTTTGACCACCGCCTAATTTAACAATACATTATTAAAAAAAATAATCACATTTTAGGATATCCATCTTTGCATATTTTTTTCTTTTTTTATTTCTCAAAACCAAAAATCAAAATAAACCAAAAAGGGATAAAAATAACTAAACTACAAGAAAAATTACAAACACAAGGACTAAATAAATAATTTTTTAAATAAAAATGACTAATTTATTTATTTGTTGAAACTAGAGGAACTAATTTATAATTTACTCTATAATTGGTAAATGAAAAACATCTCTTAGGAACTTATGCCCGCTTGGTTTTCTTCCATTCAATGCATGATTCAACGACAATAATAGATGACATGATTCATGTTGATAAAAAAGCTAACTGTAGAGCAGATTTATTGGCTTGTCATAACAATTTTTTGTAAGTGGGTTTTCTCTGCTTTGTATATGTTAATGAGAAATTCTATAGTCCTTTGATAAAAAAGTCAATGGTGGAGTAGATTCGTTAGCTTGTCATAACTATTTTTTGTAAGTGAGTTTTCTCTATTTTATATATGTTATAATGAGAAATTTTATAATATCGAAGGAGTAACTAGTGCAAGTTACTCTATAAAAAAAGATATACATAAAAAAAAGACAAAAACAAAAGAGACAAAAAAAAAAAAATTAAGTTGATGTGTAAATATTTTTATCACTTTTAATGAATTCGGATGTAATTCTCTTTTTTTATGCGTCTATTTTTTTCTCAAAAGTAAATCTATAAAGCAATTACTCGTATACGTATATTCTTTCCTATTTCTCTCTCTTATATCTATCTCTCTTTATGAAGTAATTTACACTAATTATTCTTAATTAGTCATTGAATATTATAAAATTTGTCATGTTCTAATAGTTATTTGCAAATCCTTTAGAAAGGACATTTTCATAGTTGCGATTCTAAAATCATGTAAGTTGCAATTTCTTTAGAGCTTCCAACTCTTTTCCAAATAAATTAATAAATAATTCAATTATTAATATACACGATAATTTTTTCTAAAAAAATTATACATAAAAATTTGCGATATCAAGGGCATATTTTTTATATCTAAAAGAATAATTTTTTCAGACATTATCCTTAAAGTTCGAATTCCAGAAGTGAATCTTTTTTTACTTTATATTTCCCACGAGGTTACAACATTAAAAAAACCAATAAAATTAGAAGCTCATAAAAACTCATGTTTGCTTTATTGTATTCAGTAAAAATCCTTCATGGCAAAAAATCTCATTTCATTTGTAGAGGTTGTTAGTTATCATTTGCGTTTTTTTTTTTTTTTTTTTGTTTTTGTTTTAAAAAGTTTGAAAAAAAGAAAAACTCAAATTGTTTTGAATTTTTTATTAAGAAAAAGAAAAACTAATAATCGCTAGCACAACTTCCTGGAAAACCATTTTATTTGATTTTTGAAAAATTTTGAAAATTGGTTATCAGAGTTTTTTAGGGGGAAAAAAACTCTATTTTCTTTTCAAATTTATAAAATTTATCAGAGAAAACAAAAATATACCCAACGACCCAAATAATTTTCAACATTTCCTGCAAATTTCAACGCATACAAATACTGCTCAAAACGACTGCGTTGAGTTCTTGAAGCAACAAAAATAATGCGCTTTGCAAATAGAAAGAGAAACAAAAAGGGAGCGAGTATGTCCTCTCCTTGTCCAAAAAGCTGACCTGTAATTAACTAATTAACCCTAGAGAAGGTAAAGTAGCCCCAATCTTGACATTAACCCAACCACAATCCTTACTCAGTTCAGTAAAATTCATTTAGGTGGGAAACAAATCCCCAAATTTTTACCTCCTTCCCATCTGCCTCTCTTCCAATTCCCTCTCCATTTCAGGCTCTCAACCTTCTCATTTTCTCTCACTTTACTTTTCTCTATGCAAAATGACCGACGGAGAAGGCAAAAGGCGTCATCATTTTGGACGCGAATTAGTATTTGGAATCAGAAATCGAGAAGATTCGTGGACGATGGGAACTCGCTTCAATTCTTAATTTCTTGAGCGTAAAATAAATAAAATTTCCTCTTATTTTATTTTATTTTAAATAAATATCGTGTGTATGTTTTTTTTAATAATTGGAGGTTTCTTTTGCAGGTTTTTGAGCCAGTTGTTGGGGTCGATTTGAAGTTAACAGAAGAGGAGATTGAAATTGGTCCTGTTAAGCCTAATAAATCACTTGCTCAACTTCACATTAAGTTATTAAAGGTTTTCTTTCTTTAATTTTTATTTATCTTTGATTATTATAGCTATAGTTATCATTATTATAAATAAAATAACTATAAGGTTGCTGTCATTGAAATAAAATCAGCGAAGTAATTATTTGATATTATACATTGTTAATTAAAGAATGAAAAAGTGCTTTGATTATCATGAATTCATGATATAGTTTTGCGAATAGTGCGAAAATCATGACACTAATCGCTACATGAAATGACCACAACTATTGCCGAAATTGCCTTTTTCCTGTTTTGTTATTATCTAACACGTGATTTAATTTTAGCTATGATGACGCTGTATGCTTATAAGTATTTGTTTGTTTTTTTAAACACCACCTACTTGATGCATTTAGGAAACTGTATTGATTTTTAGCATTGAAAATCATGTGTATGGGTGTTATCAGAGAGAATAGATTAATGTAAGATGTCATAAAAAGCGTACGAATTATGCAATACAGCATGAAAGTAATCACATGGAACCCTGCATGAAAGAATGCAGCGTCATTGGATGTGTGGGGATACCACAAATCCAGTGGCCATGGATGTTTTGCGTAGTGATCTGCATCATTAGTTTCGTGTATATAACATTTTACAAATAAAGAAGGAATACCTTTGCCTTCATACAGTTTGCATTGGATACTCTTTAACCTCTTTACTTGGATTTTCTTTTTCATTTAGATCATAGCTTTATAAGTTTTTATGTCTATGAAATTTTCAATAGAAGATACTGCCTGTGAGTAAAACATTAAATGCATTTGATGCATAGGTTACTACACTTTGCAAGAAACTATTTGCATGGTAGTCATGGGTAAGCGACTTTTTGACTTTCAACTGTGTAGTTAGGATCTTCATGCAATTTGGAATGCACTGCTTAGTTATGTTCTCTTATTATAGGTTGCTAAAGGTAAGGTACCACTAAAGACAGCCAAAGGATATCAAACTATCGATAATTTGTGTCATACCATTTCTTAAAGGCTTAATGTACCATTAAATCATGAATTTAACACCTTTTAATCATTTTAACATGTTCATTCAATATTGGAGAAAAAAATTATGAACTAAGCTTTTGATAACTATATTAGTATATGAGAATTTTTTCAGCTTAAATTTCGTTTTCGACTGACGTGATGTGGTAGATAGGATGATAACATGGCATAAATGTCATGTAGGATTACACGTGGCTTATCATTAAAATTTTTCCTCAATTCTCGTTCTCCAAGCGAGTTCAATTCTAGCTCTCACTCTCCGGTTCATCCTCTTTTCTCTTTTTCGCAAACTTTTCTAACCAAATACGATTTTTTTGAGAAAATTCAATTACAAAATTCCACAACATTTTCTCGAGAAAATTCCAAGTTTTCTCTAGAAAATTCAACAGCAAAATTCTAACTTCAATTCAAGCTCTCACTCTTTCTTTTTCTCTCCATCCCCATCCCCTCACCTATCTCCACTAAAATCTACTTTGTGTAATACAATTTGGGCCTAATGTCCTGGAATCCAACCAATCTTACATTATCACTATCACTGCTTATTTGAGAGTAAAGAAGCACAAAGAAGAACACAAAAGTAAATTCCAAATGCCCCCTAAACCCTTCCACCTCTCCAATTTTCATTTCATCCATAATTGAATTTCAATTTCCTCTGCTACACTTAATATCTCCTCCTCTCCCTCAACTCCCTTCACATTCTCACACGTAATATCTTCTCTCTGTCTCTCTTTTTGGAACCCTAACCCTAGCTCTAACTCACCAAATCGGTAAGTCTTGCCGATTCTCAGCCGCTCTGAACACATGCATTTAATTCTCTTTTCATCGGTTCTTGTTAAAGAATTTCTTTAGATAGCTAAACAATCAATGGCTCACCAAGTGGGCTGTAGTCAAAGTCACCACTAGCAGTCACATCCTCTGGCTCCAAGATCATCCTTTCTTGTGTTTTTTAAGATAAAAGGCTGGTAACTATTGTATGGAGCAGTACTATTCATATTTAAAACATAAGGTGGCTCATAATCTTTCTTAGGCTAATGCTTTGTCCTTCTACATTTAAGCTCAATTTATAGAAAATACGTAATTTCTGTTATTGTTCTGCCATTAGTCAGACAGTTTAAGGATTCCTACAATGGAACACAATGTTGCATTAAAAAGCTGCTTTAATTTTAAGTTGTTAAATTTGTTTATAACTTGATGACATATAGTCCGAACTAGAGAAAATTTTTAATGATAAGCCACGTGTAATCCTACATGGCATTGATGCCATGCTATTATCCTATCTGCCACACCATGTCAGTCAAAAATGAAATTTAAGCCGAAAAATTATCGCGTGCTAATATGATCACCAGAAGCTTAGTTCATGTCTTTTCTGTCCAACACTGAAAGAACCTGCTAAAATGATTAAAAATGTTAAGTTAGTGATTTAATGGTACATTAAGCCTTTCTTAAAAGATAGGTTTTCATTTTTTATTCAGACTTAATCAGGTCATGATGGTTTCTTGCTGCTGTGACTTGAACAGAGAGGAGGTGTCTGGATACAATTGGAACTAGGTCCAACTAATAGATTGATGATTTTGAAAACACTTTATGAACTCAGAGCTTAAGTGATATGCCTTGCCTTTCTGATTCAATATTTTTATCAAATGTAAAAGTTGTTCTTTGTATTTTTTTTTACTGAATGATCTTCAAAATGGTTTTATTTTTTATTTTTACTTTTATATTTGATTGGCTTTTATGGTATTTTATTTGTGCATGCTTGGTTTGATTAAGGTCTCGTGATCATATCTATTAGTGGATAATTGTGTTCTCTATATAGGTGGATATATTTAAGATGAATGAGCTGTGCAGTTTTTTTACATGTCCTTATTAAATCTATTGTAAGCCATTTTTTTTTTGGTCTACAACAAAATGATGTTGCATCATATGATAATGATTCTTTAAAATATGGAACTGAATTTTTTTTATTTTTGGAAAGATAAAATGAAACTGTAATTTCTTACTGGTAATTCATGAGCATGCTCTAAATTGTATATAATTTGTCGTGCGAAGTGTTGATAATATTAACTGTACTTATATGTATGATGGAAGTTCTACCATTGGCCATAGACTGTACAAGGAAGTAAATAAGACTGGGGAAATAGTAAAAAGAAGCGTAAAACATAAAAAAATCAGCCTTTTCCAATGGGAAATAATTGCAACCAATCTCAAGGAATTTTAAAAAGTTATCGTAAGTTTAGCATTCTTTTGTTTCAATACTGGAAATTTTAGTTTACTTTTTTCCTTGCTGGTAATGGCAGAATGAGCTCTCTTCTAGCAAAGTCACGGCAGAAGTTGCAGCTGGCAAGACCATTGAAACTGATGTCCTGCCTATTATTCAGAAATTTTATAAGGTAAGCTTATGGATTTCTTTTATAATCTTGTTTTAATGGTATGGGTGTAGTCACCATTTTATTATGCAATAAGTTTATTTATCTTTTCACATTAATGATAAATAATATATATGTCACTGTCATTGTATTCAATAGAAGAAAGATAGGGCCTTCGAACAAAAAGAAGGGCAAGAAAAGCTCCTGAACAGTTTTAGATCCTAAATTTTTTGGGATTACTCGTTCTTGCTGCAGTCGCAGACCTATCAGTTATACATTTGCTATGATGTTATCTTCTCTGTATTCATTTTATGGTCTGGTTGTGTGGCATAATCATCTATTGTTTGTATTTTGCTTCTATTTTATTTCTTGCTAAACTACATCAAATATCTAATAATCATACAGAGGCAACATAACATTTTTAGAATTATGTAACTGTCTTTTTGTTGTCAAGTGCGATACTGAACTTCTATGGAATCTCAAATTATGAATGAAATGGAGAACAAAGTCATGCACTAAGTGTCCTGTGCTGAATGACAATTTTCTTTATTTTTTGGGTTTCAGTTAACCATAGCTTCTTGCTTGTTTCTAACAAAGATTTTTTGATCTGAGAACCTTGATTGTACTTTTGCATTACTTATGCAGATGATTATGCCCAAAAAATTGATGAGGCTATAAAAATAACCAAGTAAGACCTAACTGTTATCGTTGCAATGAAATTTAATTTGTCATCTCTACTTCAAGAACTGCATTTCTATATTTTGAATGTACCTACACAATTCTTTGCCAATCTTGATGTGAAATTATTATCTTCCTTGTATGCATTTTGTCCCTCTTATCGAGAAAGAGAATGTATGACCTTTTATATTGCTGACTTCAATTTATAATCCAGGAAAAGGAAAACAATTGAAGAGCAAAACAACAATGAAAAACATGTTAAGCAGGAAAAATTGCTTGTAATGGGGATCCAAATATGGGCATAAGTTAAAAAAAAAAAGTCATGATGAAATAGGTGATTCAGGCATGAGTGCAAACTCTAAAGATAATATTGAAAAGGGAAACTTCTCGAAAAGTGAAAATGAAAGAAGTTTTACGAAACAGGTAATGATGATGATGGCAGTGGTGATGATTATGATAGCAAAAGGGATCATGATAATGGGAATGGATCCAACAAATCTGACAAAGAAAATAAAAATCTTAGTGAGAAGAACGTTGCTCTAAAGTTTGGTTCTCGATGGAGTTTAAGACTGGCTGGAGTTACAAACCATCATGTTGTAGAAGCTGGAAACTTGGGTACGAAGAATAGGTTGAGAAAATTACCCACTTTTAACTCTGCCTTTGACTCTATTAATGTGCTTTATTCAGATGTTGAAACTTTATCAAGACATACAAACAGTGAGATATTTGGGTAGGAAGACTCATCTTTAGTTTCTAATTCAGTTGGGGTCAGTGACAGTTAAACTATCAAGTAGAATTAATAGGCAAGTGATTGCTCTTGAAAATTTTTGTTGTAGCTAGAAAATATCGTCACAGAAAGCTATCATGAAGTCGGTGCATGTTAACGACAAGAAGCTCTAGGATACAGGGCTGATAAACTTTGTTGATAGGCTAATCTAGACATTTTTTGGGGGGTTCATAACATCACTCGAATGCACTCATTCTGCTCGAAATACAGATCGTAAAATACTTTTTAACAATGCTGAAAATTATACTTAAGTGGGAGGCGTTATGGAAGGAAAGGAAAGTTACCTCTATTGTTTACACAAAAGGTTAAATTGACCAATACTAGCCTAATCTTAAAGGATAAACTTAAATTTTAGTTCAAGGGGCATATGATGCATGCATCATTTCCAAAAGATGAAGAAATTAAAGCATATAGAGTAAACTGAGAGGAAGGAGTTTTTGGTGCCTAAAATGCTCTAATGATTGTGCTTGGAATTAAAAAAAACTCCGTTTTGTGAATAAATTCATCATATTGTTGGTAATGAAACAACAATAAAACTATGGTGGGATCTTTGGCGTCCTGATGGAATTCTCATCCAAGTCTTTGGCATGAAACTTATGTATGAATTTGGTATTCCAACTGATGTTTCATTGGAGGTTGTTATGAAGGACGAAGATTGGTTCTGGCTTAATACTAGATTAGAAGCTATGATAAAAGTGCAATCTGTTATTTGTGGTGTGCTTATAGCTAATGTCAATTCTGATAACAAAGTTGTATGACAAGTTATACCAAATGGTGAATTCACAACTAGTAACGTTTGGGAGCTAAAGAGAAACAAAGGTACTAGAAGGATATGGCATAACCTATTTAGGGATTATTAAACATCTAAGGCATAGCTTTATCTCTTGGCTCACCATTTTGAATCGTTTATCCATTAAAGATAGATAGATTCAAATTAGAAGGAATATCAATGTTATTTGTCAGTTGTGTGGAAATGCTTATGAACATTTATTTTTTTACTGTTCCTATTCTAAGATTGTGTGGAATGCTGTTCTTCTTATATGTGAATCTTATAGAGTAATCGATAGCTAGAATATGGAGTTACGTAGTGGATTAGAGTATTTGTAAGAGAAAAATTTTCAATCTATTATCACCAAATTGACGTGAAAGGGTTAAGGAAGGAAAGAAACTCTAGAATCCGTGGGCTACAGAGCCTTTGTAAAAGAAAAATTATCAATCTATTATCACCAAATTGACATGAAAGGATCGTGGAAGCAAACAATCTCTAAAATCCATGGTAATAACGTTTCTCACCAGATTGGCATAAAAGGGTTGTGGAAGCAAATAAACTCTAGAATTCATGTTAATAATATTTTTTTCCCTAGATGGCGTGACTAGTTGGATTTATGAAGGAATACTCAGTATTAAATTTAAATTTATTTGTATTCAATGGATGTTATCTTTTTTTTTGTGTGTGTGTGTGTGTGTGTGTGTGTGTGTGTGTGTCTATATATATATGGATTTATGTTTTGTAGTAGGTTAAGCTCCTATTTTTTTTTTTTAAAAAAAACTATATTAATTCTATATATATTTTTTTCATTCATTTTTCTGTTTCACTCTAGGATTAAATATTTAAAAACGTTCTTCCAAGTATATTTTTTTTTCAAAATTAATTATAAAATTATTTATTTTGAAGGACATTTCAACCATAAAACGTGATAAAAGAAATATTGGAGAATATGTGAAAATATGGGGATACAATAGCTAGTTTAATTTAAAACCCAATGATGGATTAGAGAAACTATTTAATATATCTAGACAGATACAATAATTTGACATAAAACTCAAAGATAGATCAGAGAATCTCTCCTTTGAATTAAAAGGAAAAAAAAGATAGGTCAGAGAAAAGGTGCCAACGAGTTTGTGGCTCCGCTGAAGCAATTATTTTTTCGTCCCAGCATTCCGCATATACCATTGAGCCCGAGCCTATACTGCTTCTATCTCTACTTTTTTCGAGTCCTGCCCGATGCCTTGCAGATTAAAGATCCTTGAATTCAAGCCCAGCAAATTAATCAACTGCAACAACAAATAAAAAGAGAGCATGTTCAAGAGATGAACGCCGAATTGTGCATGTAGGGAATAAAGACATGGATTAAGAGTACTCTAAAGCTTACATTTGGATCAGAAAGTTCATGGGATTTCTGGTCACATCTGATTATTAGTCTCCTTAGATTAGGCAATCCCTTGAGGAATGAGGCTATAATTGGAACTTGGTCTGCAAATGAACCTTTGATTAGCAGAACCAAGTTCTGTAGCTTCTCGAAAACTATGGGAGAATCATTCTGCATAAAGAAAATCTGCAGAGCATCAAAAAGCATATGCTCATCGATCAATCCTCTGAAAAAAAAAAGAACAAAAAAAGGCAATGCTATCTAGCTAACAAAAAACAGAAACAGGAACAAAAAGTATAAAGTACCTCAATAGGCCAGGTATTTATTCTCAAGAATCTGGCTTCACTTAAACATTGAAGGAACTTGGCTGCACAATATATTAAACTCTTCGAATGCTTGCACCGACGATCAGATTCCTCACTTCTATGCTGACAAGAAGGCTTAATGTCAATTCTTGCATTCACTAGGGACAGCATACCCTGTTTCAAATAACTAAAATCTACAGGGTCTCCAGTCCACCATAAATCCTTGAGGTTGGGAGCAGAAATCGACAAAGGAAATTCATACGAATATGCATCTGACGACGTTATATCCAATGTCTCAAGGTTTTCGGCCTTAATAATAATGCGCCTGTAGGGACCGGGACCTGCTTTGATCTCTTTTTTTGGCCGGGAGTATTGGGACTCGCTCTCGAGGGGGCTAAATTTGCACTCGGATAGAGTCAAACCATCAAGGAAAGAGCTCTTGATGTTAAGAAAGCAAACTTCTGCAAACCTGCAGTTGCTAATCATGGCTTTGATAACAGATGGACAGTCAACCTGGAGTTGAAAGGCTGCAGAGAAATGAGACCCACAGACTTGAAGAGTTTCAAGAGACTCACAATCTATCTTACAAACAAAAACTCTCCCAAACTCAGAGTCCTGGACTGTTAAGTTCTCCACAGATGGACAATTAAGGTTGACTTGCCATGAGGCTTTAAATTGGCAGCCCGATATTGTTAAAACCTTAAAAGATGAACTAGATATGTTAAAATTCCCACCGAAGAAACTATTCGCAAATCTGCAATCACTTATTTCCAGCTTTTCAAGAGATGAACTTTTGATCGAGAGATCATTGATACCATCAACATTCTCAAGAATTAACCTTTTAAGAGATTTGCACAAATCAGTTTTCTGTCCAAAATATTTATCTCCTATTGTGACCGAATCTAGCCACAATTCCTTGAGCCAGTCAAACCCCAGTATTTGAAAACAAAACTTTCCCATCTGCAAATTCAATTTCAAAGCCCTCAAAGATTCACATTTATAAATACAACCAGGCAACGAATAGCCTCTCCCTGGCTCAACATGGAGTAGCATGTCAAGTTCTTCAACACCACACTTCGTAGCTATACTAACCCATGAACTAACAGCAGTCTCTCCAATATCAAACCTTCTTTGCTTGCAAGGCCAATGAACAAGCAAACGTTGTAGCCGTCCTCCAGTCTTTTCGCGCCATCGCAGCACTTTATTGACATAAGAACAGAAATTGTTGTATCTTGTTCTTAAACAGCTATGATCAGAACCAGAATCAAAATCCGCAATGAAACTCAAGTAAGGGCTAGAGATGCAGAGGTGATTAAACCTTTTCGATACTACCCCAAGACGAGCAGTTTCATTAGCACCAAGGAATGAGAATATACGAAAAATAACTTGGTCTGGTTGACCACTCAATCTATCATGTGTACAAGCAAGGATATGTGTGTCTTGATGAGAGCTCATTGCCATTAGCTTGAATGGACTTTCCATGCACATCAGCGGAGAGAATCAACAAAAACAACAGCACCCACTAAATTAAAATCAGCCTGAATATACATTAGGTAATAATCAACATTACAAATTTAAGAACAAGAATATATATAAGAAAAATAATCAAGTTCTATATAAATATGAAAGAAATGGTGCTATAGTACTTCTTTGTCGTATTTTTATGAGAAAACGAGGAGAAGTACCTGGAGCCGACTAACTTGTGAACTGTGGCCAAGAGTGTATATATTTTCTCTTTGTTTGGAAGTTTTAGGGTTTTAGCACAGCTCATAAAATTTTGTTGGCATGTTTTTGTTTTTTTTTTTTTTCCTTTTCTTTTCTTTTAGGAGTTAGAGTTTCAGTTGCATTCTACAGTCTTTAGGTAGAGAGGAGGCCAGGGAAGTTCCCTTGAGATTTCTACGATTTTGCAATATAAGACAGGAGACTTGAACGAGAAACCCAAAAGGAAGGGATACGTACATTTAACTTTGGAGTTAAGGAAGGTTTCTAGTGTCGGTGGTGTTTTTCCTCTTTGAAAGGGTTATCTATCTATAGTGGAAAGTTGCAAAAGAGATGCAACTTTTTTTATGTATTAGCAAAACCTTATATATGGGGGTTAAGTGCTAAAGGAAGCATCTTTCCATCTTTAACTTTTTAGATTTGATTATTAGCGTCATGTTTAAGAGAATTTAATAATTTCAGCAAATCGATGTGAATGTACTTTTTAAAAATTATTTAGAAAAAAAAATTAGTCTTGATTGATACCTAAATTAGTCCAAAAATATTCTTTCTTGAATTTGAACCTTGAGAGGTCCATATTAAAGTATGTCTTTCAGAAGCGATTTAGTCTAAATTGACAATAATCCGAGAATATTTATTGACGTTGAATTAAAAACCTTAAAAAAATTTAATACATACGTACAAATTTAAATAGCCACAATTGTTTGCTTTTTTTTTTTTTCCCCTTAAACATATCTTAAATTTCAAACCATTAATTTTAGAAAAATACTTGGTGACACCAAGGTGACAGACATCATTTTCAAAAATAGAAAGTTTTTAGGAATAAACTTGAAAAGTGAAAAAATTAAATGACATAATACCTCATTGAAAATTATCTATCTTTTTTCTCTCCCTTGTATTCCTTAAAAAAAACACTATCCTTATAAAATTATTGTGATTTATTTTTTGACATCACCGATGTCATGTAGCACCTTAATTTTAAGGTGACATGCATGAATCTAAGTAATCATGATTTTCTTTTGATAAAAATAATTATTATTATTATTCTTGAACTGCCTTTTCAATGTTTGCTCAACAACCCAAAATGAACTCATTAAATAATTCAACACATATCTACCAGTAAATTAATTCATATCAAAGGGAAAATCAAGTTTTCTTCATAATTAATTACCTCTCGAAGTACAGGAAAGATTCTTCATTAAGAAGGAAACCATATGCTTAATTAACAAGAGAACGCATCAATACAAAAAGAGAAAAGAATTGTCAAATTCAATGCGTTTTGCACAAAGTTCATGCATCCAGCGTTCCAGCTCACTAATATCAATATTTATCTTTCTCCCCTTTTCCTTTTCTTCCATGGATCAAAATTGCTCTCATGTGGCGTCTTCAATACCCTTTGTTGACACTACTGCCTCTTAACATTCGACCTACAGTCAAGACATGTCCATGCTCTTTTTTTTTTTTTTTTTTTCCCATTTTGATGGATGAAAAAATTCATTGATCAAATAACTATAGAAGAACAATGTGAAAATATTGAAGGAGATCGAGAAACAACTATAAGAACAAAAACTAAACTAATTAATTCCATGAAATCCCCTAATTGTTGCAATTAAATTGCCTGATGAAAATTTGAGGAGCTGGACTTGGACTTCAATGACTTGTTGACAATGAGGTTTTCAGTTCATGTTAACATCAGAAGATAAGGAGTGAAGCACACTGCTAATTAACAGTTCTGAAAGTGTTTTGATGCAATCCTTTGTTCCTCTTAATTAATCCAAATGTGATAAATATACGAACACCAAGAGACTTGACCACGCTTGATCTTTCCTTCAATACAAAGAGATCTAATTGCAGGGATTTGGCATAATATTTTGACTTAGAAGTAGCATAAGCCAGAAAATAAGATTGGTATCATTCATCACCTTGTGCCGAGGAGAAGGTTAGTTTATAGTTCTCTTAAGTGCTCCACTTAAATATTGAAAATGCGGAGGGATTTCCAGTGAAACTTAAATTCTGAAGATAGGGTGTTCAAGGCTTGATTGCATATTGTTTTTCATGCATCGACATGCTTAGGATAGGATGAAGTTATAGTACTCAAGGATATTATCGAATTTAAATCTTTCTGGAAACACCAAATGATGGGGTTTCGGAAGAACTTGCACACGGAGATTGTCATATTTTCAGGACAAGCCACTGTTGTTGCCAAGGCTAATGCTGCTCTCAATCCAGTTTCCTGCAGGAATGATAAAATATGATACGGATAAAGAATCAGTATTTAGGTGGATAGGTTTTGAAGAGGTATACATCATCTGTTGTTGAATTTACAAGAGTCTCGCACCAGAACAATAATAATAATACATTGCATATTATAATATTTTTAATACCAACTGTTGCGAGCATAATAATAACACTCTTTAGAACTCAAAACCAAATCTTTAAAGTTGAAAATGTGCATCTGTCTCTTTAGAATTAGCCCACCAAATATAAACTCGAACTTGATCCAACGATTAACGAACTCGAAAACTTAATTTTATCATGATTGATATGTGCTGAATTTTTTTTTCTTCTAAAATTCCAACTCTCTCTCTCTCTCTTTTCTTTTTTTCTCTTTTTTTCTTTTCTGATATGATCTCATAATTAAAGAGAAGAGATGGTTTTTATAAATTACTCAAATTATCTTTCAAGTGATTAAAAAAAATCTTTCTCTTTATGGGTTTTAAGATTAGGATTATGTAAACAAACCTTTCAAATTTGCTTAACTAAAAAAGGAACGCAACAGTTTGATTTTTGACCATTTGAGTCTTTTCATCAATCATCATCACAGGTTGGGATTAGACTATCACGATGCAAAATCATAGGGTCACATGCCCTAAGTTTCCTCAAACTATTAGTAGTTTCCTCAAGCTATTATGTTCGGCCCACTAAGTGCACCATCCTTGATAATACACAACGGCCGCATGAAATAATCAGTTGTAGGAACGGTGAGGAACTTAACCCAACAAGCACAACTCCAAGCGATCGAACAACAAGTTTCTTCCTTGATCATCATGACTTAAACAAAGGAAACCTCCTAAAAGCCTCAAATTCAATCTGGTATCTTATCACCTACAGTTCTAGGAGGCATTGATGCTTCCTTGAAAGACTCCTTAATTTGCTAAATCAAATCGAAGAATTGCAGTAAGTCCCTATATTTGCATCTTGATTCAAAGTCATTGGAGCATATGGAAGATCCTTGTAGACCTTTCACCGCATGTTTGATTTTACGTTCAATCCTAGAATTTCATTGTTTTATCGTGTACCGTGGCACGACCAAGAAAGTTCGATCTGTTACAAGAATTACAACTTTATAAAAAATAGAATTAGCGATGGTCTAGACTGTCGTTAATTCGCCAAAATTCGTCGCTAATTTTAATTAGCTACGGATTTGCAACGATTCAAAAGCTCGTCGGTAAAATGCCGGTCGTTAAAATGTTACGACGGTTTTTAGACCGTCGCTACTTTAACAACGAAAAAAACTTTCGTAAAATTAAAAACCATCGCGAGTTTTGTGACGATTTTAGCAAGGGTTTTAGATCGTCGCTAATATTTGGAATTAGCAACGGTCTAGACCATCGCTAATTCCGTCGCAAACAAATTAGCAACGGTCCGGACCGTTGCTAAAATATTATTATTAATTTTTTATCCTCATTTTAAATTGAGTAATTGTTAATTTTATTGCAAAAAAATTAGCACGGTCTAGACCGTCGTTAATTCTGTCGCAAACAAATTAGCAATGGTCTTAGCAACGGTCCAAACCGTTGCTAAAATATTATTATTATTTTTTTATCCTTATTTTAAATTGACTAACTCGTTAATTTTATCACACAAAAAATTAGCAACGGTCTAAAATATTATTATTATTATTTTTATCCTCATTTTAAATTGACCAATTGCTAATAACTATTAACAATTTTCTAAAATAATTAACTTTCCAAAATACCATCAATTAAACTAACTAAATTAATAAATAACATTTAACAATAAACTAACTAAATTAAAAATTAAAAATTACCATAATAATAACAATTAACAATTAAATTAACAACAAAAATTAATAACAATAAAATTAATAATTAAACAATTAATAAAAATTAATAACAATTAAAATTTCTTAACAATTAACAATAACAAAAAAAATTAAAATTAAATTAAGTAAATAATTGAAAAAATTTAAAAAATTAATTAAGAGGTTAGATGAGGGAGGTCCTTTCACCAACACAAGGAGGAGAGTGGGTTGCGCCGGTGGAGAGGCTTCATCGGACTATTCGACCGAAAAATAGCCTAGGTTGAGGAAGGGGGAGAAAGGAAGAAAGAAAGAGGAAAAAGGAGGAAGAAAGGGGGAGAGATGGAGGGGAGAAAGGGAAGGAGGAGAGAGAGGAGGAGATTGGAAGGAAAATAAAAAAGAGAGGGGGAAGATTTAATGAAAATGGAAGGGAGATCGGTGCTTGGAGAAGAAGAAGAAGAAGAGAGAGAAGAAATTTTTTCTTACAAATTTTTAGGCAAATTGTTATATAGGAGGTTGAAAGTTTTAGCGACGGTTTTTAGATCGTCGCTAATTTACTAATTTTGTGATGTTTTTTGGTGAAAAAAACCATCGCAAAAAAGGTCGAAAGTAATAAATTTTTTTGAAAAAATTGAAATTAGCGACGGTTTTTTGAAACAAAACCATCGCTAATTTCCATGATTTGCGACGGTTTTTTTACAAAAACCGTTGCAAAAAATGGTTACATAAATTTTTTTAAAAAAATGAAATTAGAAAAAAAAACCGTCACAAAAAACGAGTCGCAAAAAATGGTACAAAATTTTTTTTTTAAATGAAATTAGCGACGGTTTTTTTGGAGGAAACCGTCATAAAAAAACGTTGCTAATTTCCATGATTAGCAATGGTATTTTTACAAAAACCGTCGCAAAAAATGGTTGTAGAAAATTTTTTTTTAAATTGAAATTAGTGATGGTTTTTTTGGAAAAAACCGTTACTAATTTTCGTGATTAGCAACGGTTTTTTTACAAAAAACCGTCGCTAACTTCTCTCGCTAAAGGGCTTCAAACTATCGTAATTTTAGTAAATTAGTGACGGTTTTGAGACCATCACTAATTTCCTCTCGCAAATCCTTTGTTTATTTGTAGTGTTTTATAATCATCGATAGTTGAATCATAAGCAAAACCAATACTAAACCTTTGTCTGGTAATCTGTTATATTTGTTAATTCTTGGCTTTACTTTCTGATACTGATCTTGTTCCGCATGTTGAGAGTTAGAGAGTTGCGTTGGTGGTGGTATTGGAAGTTTGCTCTACCGAAACTGGATTTGTTAATTACAAATAATGTGTAATTTTTGTTTATTTTTAATTACAAGTAGAGCTATCCATTATTTTTTAATTTAAATCTCTATATTTTAATGAATAAAAAATATTTTTCTTTAACAATAAACCACAGTAATGCATGGATAATCAACTAATTTATGTATATATTAAGCACAAAAGTTTTCCAATACGAGATTTTTAAAAACAAAAATCGCAAGATTTTCATGGCCCAAATGCTTAAAATTGGCAGGCCCAATACAAGACCCAATCCAATCCAAGCAAACCAAATAAGAACAGAAGAGATCGCACCAACCGAATCAGTCGAGCATTAGAGAAGTAAAAAAATGGCATCCGCTCCTAGAGACTCCAGGAGAAGAAAGATCGTTGATAGAGGAGCTGACCGACTAGCTCTCATCACCGGTCAGATCCATGCACTCCCATCAGAACCCACTGATGACCCATCTAAACTGTTGAATTCTCAGGCCCCACTTCCTCATCTGTCCGATCAAATCACCGGTACAGTACCCCTCTCTCTCCTTCTTCTCATACTAGTTAATAGATGTCAAATCTAATTGCCATTGTTTTTTAGTGAATTTTTGAAAGCCTGCCAGAACTATAAGGCTGTGTTTGCATTAATGTTGTCTTTATCATTAAAGGGAGATGATGATCCTAATATGACCAACTTAGCTCAAACAAATCACTTGGCATCTGTAAATCTCCCCCTCTCTCTCACACACACACACACACACATATATGGAAAAATGGCTTCGTCAATCGTCACTTCAAGACATGAATGTAATTTGTTTTCAATTATGTTATGGATTTATGTTTTGAATAAAGGATTCGGTTAGGATTATGAAGAATTTAACGGCTCCCCTCGATTCAGACGAAGAAGGGGGTCTTGTAAAGGGTCTTTAAAGTTATGATGCATGGTTTGCATGTTTTTATGAGCAATTTTGTTTGTTGTGGGTGGGGTTGTTCGAGGCAATTTAGTACATTTAGAGACTTAATTTTTATTTCTGTTTCTCCTAATGGAAAAGATGGAGTTTCTGATTCCACGTTGCCAAATCATGAGTGCGCCACCATTGCTGCTGGAAATGGCGGAAGCACTGTTGAACCATCCTCGCGCAGATATGAGTCAGGTCCGGAAGCGTCAATAGCTCCTTCTGCAGAAACAAGCAGCAAAGTAGAGTCATCTTTGGCCACACCAACGGTTCAGAAATCAACTAGGTCCACTTCAGGAACAGTGCAAAGCTTAAGAAGTTTTGCGACTCCAAATGAAATAATCTCTGCCATTGCAGCATCAGAGAAATCCCGTCTTCGCTGTTCTGTAGTTGTAGCCCTTTTGGTTGTCTTATCGCATTTAGGATTTCCTCTGCTGGGAAGCAACTTTATAAGGAGTATCATTAGTTTTAGGCCTCTTTATTTACTTTTGCTAACCAATGTAACGCTGGTGCTTGCACCTCTTCTCTTGAATAAGCAAAGAGGTTTTAAAAGGGCTGTAGAAGCAGAAAACGAGATCCCTTCATCGGGTGGGTCTGCTTGGACTGAACAAGCTGGTAATGCTTTGGAGGTTGCTTTCGTGATTCAGAAGGCATCTGATGCAGTATTTATGGATTGTAGTGTGTATGCCATGATAGTCATTTGCGGTCTTTCCTTGGTCTAGTAATTTAGCTACCTGGTTTTATATTTTATTCGATTCAACATGTATCAGTTCATTCTTTCTGGAACAACCTTTGGTTTCTGAACAAATGTATGAAGGTTTTAATTTATGTACTTTACTTTCCACTTACCTTTGTGATTTGGTCCGAATGTGGTGGAAAAGAGATCCATAAATGCATTGCAAAACATTTCTTATCCTGCAATGCTGTGCATTGAAATTTTGTGATTTGGTCTGCATGTGGGACATGCATTTATGGAGAAAAGATCCATAAATGCTTTGCAAAACATTTCTTAACAAGAATTTTGTACACTTGAAGGCCCTTTTGAATTCAATCAATGAATAATCAAGTTTGATACCCACATGAATTCAACAAGCAGCCAGCTTTTAGTGATAAGACCATTCACCAAAATGTAGAATCTCCTCGAGCTGTGTTCTCACTCTGCAAGATGATAGAAACTTCACAAATCCCAACAGTTCTTGGGATGAGATCATAAGTTTTATGTATGAGATTGAGAGCTTCTATTTTTCCAAGGAACTGTTCTTTCTCTAGGGAAAATGCTCAAGAAAACAGCACCCAGTAGAAAAATAGCTGCACCAATTTGAGAGAGATTGAAGAGAATCATCAAGGTTGCAGCTACATGGACATTTCCCATTGAAGGTTCTTGCTTTAACGCAGACGCTCACTTCCATCCTCGGGCATTATTTCATTTATATGACGATGAACAGTTGTGTCCTGATGGAAAGTCAGCAACTCTAGCAACCAGAAAATGTCTTTTGAAAACGGCTTCGAATCATCCCCTGATACAAATTCTTGAACCACATTGTTGATGTCAATCAAGCTAGACCCTGGTGTTTTCTTCATGCTCTTACTTCTGATAAGTTTTCGCATCCTTGACACACCATCCCACTTGCCTAGATCTGCATATATATTGGAAAGCAAAACATAATTCCCTGTATCATCTGGTTCAAGCTCTTCAAGGTGTTCCATTGCAATAATAGCAATATCAAGATTAGAATGAGTTCTGCAAGAACTTAATAATGAACCCCAAATCTTCGAATCCGGCTTCATAGGCATCTTCTCTATAACATCAAGAGCCTCATTAAGGCGTCCTGCACGTCCAAGAATATCGACCAAGCTCCCATAATGCTCAACCTCTGGCTCTATGTGATAATCTTTACTCATAGAATCAAAATACGCTAACCCCTCCTTCCAAAAACCAGCATGAGCACAAGCCGATAGAAGACCAAGAAACGTAATTGCATTTGGTTCAGTCTTTGCTTGCTTCATTCTTTCAAACAATTCAGTCGCTTCGCGAGCTTTCCCGTGATTTGCTAGCCCTCCAATAATGGTACTCCAAGAAATCACATCCCTCTTGTACATTTGATCAAACAATTGGCAAGCTTGACCAATGCAGCCACATTTTGCATACATTTCAATAAGAGCATTACATATAGGTGTCTTTCTCAACAACCCATTTCTATCACAATACATATGTATCCATTTCCCAACTTCAAGAGCTCCTAGCTGCGCACACGCTGGCAGAACAGAAATAATACTAATCTCATCAGGCTCAATGCCCACAATTTGCATTTGCCGAAACACATCCAACGCATCACTGTAAGACCCAATCCACGTGTACCCGGAAATCATCGCCGTCCAAGATACTATAGTCCTACAAGGCATCAAATCAAACAAAGCTCTTGCCTTTCTCATTTGACCCAACCTAGCATGCCCAGAGATAATACTGTTCCATGAAATTGCATCCCTTTCAATCATGCCCTCAAACACCTTATGTGCATCTTCTAAATGATCACACTTTATGCACATATCAATCAGTGCATTCTCTATGGTAATATTAGACTTCGGCCCAAACTTGCAGAAATGGGCATGGACTTGCTTACCCAGATTATAACAAAGAAGCCCAGAACAAGACTTTATAACAAATGGGAATGTGAATCTGTCAGGGAAAATTGGGTTCTCACTTTCTGAGTCTTTCAGCCTTAGCATTTCCTTGTAGAAAAAGATTGCTAGACTATGCACTTCCTTGTGTGCGTAAGCTCTTATCATTGCGTTGTACAAATACCCATTTGGTTTCTTCACTCGCTTAAAAAGCAAACTTGCATAACCAAGATCCCCGCTTTTATCGCACACATCTACCATTTTTGTCACCAGGAAGTTGCTTTGAGAAAGTGCGTACTTGATAACATGAGCGTGGATGCTCTTCAACGCTACAATGTCTTTGCAGTTTTGCAAAATGGGTACGAAGAAATTCTCTAGTTCTCTGTTTTTCAAGGCACCAAGTCTTGTTGCCATTATTGACCGTAAACAAGGGAGCTTTCTGTCTATTTGAAAATCAATGAATAGACGGTTGTATTCAGTGTTAAGTGAGAGGCAGAAATTTGCAAACTTTTTGCGGTTTTGTTCAAAAAGTTTGTTACTTGATCAAGGAATGCAAGTACATGGAGCTTCCGTCAAAATGGGGTTTGGGTTTGATTTGATGTTAAGCAATGATCTCATAGCTATGTATGGAAAATGTGGTAGACTGGATGTTGCTTGCGATGTGTTTGATAGAATGCTTGAAAGAAATGTGGTTTCTTGGACAGCTCTTATGTGTGGGCACATACAAAATGGGAACCCGCTAGCGTCACTATCACTATTCTCCAAAATGGGCTTATCGGGTGTGAAACCGAATGATTTCACCTTTTCGATGAATCTTAAAGCCTGTGGCTTGTTGAATGGCCTTGATATTGGGAGACAAATTCATGATATTTGTGTGAAAACTGGATTTGATATGGTGAATGTGGTAGGGAATTCTATCATTGACATGTACTCAAAATGTGGAAGAGTCACGGAAGCTGCCCGCATGTTTGAAGTTATGCCTGTTAGGAGCCTTGTAAGTTGGAATGCTATGATAGGAGGGTATACTCTTGCAGGATTTTGTGAGAAAGCTCTAGTTTTGTTTCGCAAAATGCAAGAAGGTAGGCAAGTCCTTGATGAATTCACGTTTACAAGCACAATGAAGGCTTGCAGTGATCTTGGTGCAATCAAAGAAGGAAACCAAATTCATGCTTTCTTGATTACTGGTGGCTTCCTGTATTCTGTTAATACTGCTATTGCTGGTGCTCTCGTTGATTTATATGTGAAATGTGGGAAGTTGTTCGAGGCTAGAAGAGTGTTTAGTCATATTGAAAAGAAACATGTGATATCATGGACAGCACTCATTCTTGGTTATGCTCAAGAAGGAAACTTAGCAGAGTCCATTGACTTGTTGAGGCAGCTTAGAGAGAGTGGCATTCATGTAGACAGGTTTATTCTGTCAAGCATGATGGGTGTGTTTGCTGATTTTGCGCTTGTTCAGCAAGGCAAGCAAATGCATGCGTTTGCTATTAAAGTCCCATCCGGCGTAGACATCTCAGTATGCAACTCAATTTTGGACATGTATCTGAAGTGTGGAATGATAAATGAGGCCGAGAGACTGTTCGGTGAAATGCCCTCTAGAAATGTGATTTCTTGGACAGTCATGATCACTGGCTATGGGAAACATGGTCTTGGCAAAGAGGCAATTCGTCTCTTCAACGAAATGCAATTAGGTAGCACTGAGCCTGATGATGTGACTTACTTGGCAGTGCTTTTAGGCTGTAGCCATTCAGGACTAGTAGAAGAAGGTCAAGAATACTTCTCAAGGTTATGCAGTGACCATAGGATCAAAGCTAGAGTAGAGCATTATGCATGCATGGTTGATCTCCTTGGCCGAGCTGGGCGCTTAAAAGAAGCTAAGAATCTCATCGATAGCATGCCTCTAAAGGCAAATGTGGGGATATGGCAGACATTGCTTAGTGCTTGCAGAGTACATAGAGACCTGGAATTGGGCGGAGAAGTAGGTGACATTCTTCTGAGGTTAGACAGTGAAAATGCTGTCAATTATGTGATGATGTCCAACATTTATGCTGATGCAGGCTATTGGAAAGAATGTGAGAGAATAAGGGAATTGGTGAAGTCAAAGAGGTTAAAGAAAGAGGCAGGACGTAGTTGGGTAGAGATTGACAAGGAGGTACACGTTTTCTATGGTGGAGATGATACACATCCCCTCTCGGAGAAAATACATGATATCTTGAAGGAAATGGAGAGGAGGATGAAAGAAGAGTTAGGTTATGTTTATGGGGTTAAATATGCATTACATGATGTGGAAGAAGAGTCAAAGATGGAGAACTTGAGAGTTCATAGTGAGAAGTTGGCAATAGGGCTGGCATTGGTTTGTGGGGTGTTAGAAGAGGGAGGAAAGGTGATTCGTGTTTTCAAAAACTTGAGAGTTTGTGGGGATTGTCACGAGTTCATCAAGGGTTTATCTAAGATCTTGAAAATGGTATTTGTTGTGAGAGATGCAAATAGATTTCACATGTTTGAGGATGGCTTGTGCTCTTGTGGAGATTACTGGTGATTTTATTTTACAATGACTTGCCTCCTTCAATGCTGATGTGAAAATAACTTTGATGGGAAGCTTCCAAATTGGAATGATTTGAGCAACAGATTTTCAGGCTTAGCCTACCCTCCTTGCACCGTGGAGCAAGGAATCTTCCGATGTGCGAGCAACAGCAATGTCGAAGGCTTGAAGCTTTAGAGGTTTGAAAAAAGTTTTTGAAGGTTCTTCAACACCATTTTTATCAAGGCAAAGTAAGAGTACTGAGCAGAGGGGAAACTGCAGCCTTTATTTATTGTACACCTTTTGTTCTGGTAATTACACCCCAAATATAACTGAAATTAATGAACAAAATCTTAACCCTCAAAGATCACATTTAGAAACGACCTGTCTTGCCAAGCATACGTTCACTTTTACAAGAGTTTCAACTCGGAATAATCTCACAAACATGAGAGATGTTAACTCAGTGTTATGCAATGCCGTGTTATCCAAATAGGGTTCCATTCGAGAGAAGACTGGTAACCAAAAAGGGACTTCCATTGACTTAAATTGTACATGTACAAGGGGATACATCTAACTGTCAAAGCCAGCCATTCCTTTTTCAAACTGGCAAAACCATAAATTTGCTCTGAGTTGCAGTTACTTAAGTAGGATACTTGAAGAATGGATGATTAAGAGCTTGCCAAGCTGTTAGGCGTTCAGATGGATCATATTTTAACAAACCAAGTAGTAGATCGATGAGTGAAGATCTTGAGCTGTCTACATGTTGAGATATCATATCCTGAGTTGATCATCAATAATCCAATATCAAGATTCCCTGATATGAAATTCGAGAAAAACACAAATGTCTAAAAGCAAATTCCCACACTGCAAAAACAGAATTTACCTTTAGACGATCAAGCTTCTTTACAGCTCTAATACTTTCCCTAGAAACTGCTCCTTCAGGCCAATTCAGCCTAGATCCTCTCCGAAAATATTTCTCAGCTCCACGGCTGCATATAACAAGTGACCGAAATTTCAGTAAAATTGGAAATGTGATTTGTCTATCCAATAAGAGCTGCTCAATCATTATGGAAGTAAACAGAGGAAAGTTGGATCATGAGACAAGCAAATAGGGAAAACAATAGAAAATTTTCCAAAAGCTATGTAACAAATCAACTTAATCCACACAAACCAGTTTCTACCTCGAACCTCAAAAAGGAACTTACTTGGCCATTCGAATCATGTGCTCTGGTAGAGGTCCCAATACCCTCTCCATCATAGCTAAATGTTCCAAGTTCTCGTGTGTCTGAAATAAAGCTTCACCCTACATAAAATTTCCCACAAATTTAAGAATTTCTGATAATAAACCCAGAATAAAAGCAAGATTCTTATACAACTAGAGACGAGCAGTACTAACCAAGCATAATTCAACTAGTATACAACCAATGCTCCACAAGTCACATGGATAAGTCCAACCTAGACCTGCAACGAAAATGCATGCAGCAAGTTAGAAAATAAGATGAATATATAATAGTGCCATCAGCAAGAAGTTAAATTGCAAATCTACTTCCCAAGAGCACATTAAGGTATAAAGAATAAAAAGATAAAAACTACACTCATCAAGCACAAATGTTATCACAATAGTTAACTAATTTTGAGATATAGGAGACGAGCAAAGGTATAACTTGAAGCTTGTAATAGCAACATTTAGGCTTGAATATCCTATGAGGGGATTCCACAATGAAATCCATTGTGCCTGTTTTGCCTTCTTTATGTATAAATTGGTTTTAACTATTTGAAGGAAATTTATCATACAACAGTCATGAAATTCTGAATTTTAAGCATATGCATTTTGGCCAAAGAAAACGCAAGAGAAAAGCCAAAATAGAAAACCTGCACTTGACAACTATGGCTTATTAATCTCTCTCAAAAAAAAAAAACAAAACAAAACAAAACTTAAGATCCGTGGCAGGGTAAACAACAGCTATAAAAAGGCCATGTAGAGAGAATGGAAAAAACAGCCCTTACAAATTTAACCTTTAAATTTCTCTAAACTATGCACGTCGGTAGAATCTGTAATAAATTGTCCCACCATAGATGTCTGGGGTATTCACACATTGAATGTATTTTCAGATAAACAATCCACAACACAAACAAGTTGAAATGAATGATGCAAGGTTCTCGAGAGCCTTAAGAATAGAAACTATTAATGGCAATCTAAGAATTGATTTTTATGGGGAACTGAGTGTCTGATCTGAAAAGAACATTTCTGTGACCTTATGTCCAGATTCTCAACCAACTTCTGAAACATCTAAGCAAATTTCTACACCCATATCCCTCTACCAACCACCAAGGTATTTGTGTACCTTCCATGAGAAGACAACACACATAGAAGCAAGCAAAGAGGAAAATACATTCTCATTTGCCAACACAGTAACTTGTTACCTAGAATGACCTCAGGGGCTCTGTAATGTCTCGTCGAAACAATGGAGCTATGGTTCTGATTATCAAATGCAGTACTACCAAAATCAATCAGCTTAATGGCACTTGACTTTGGCAAGCACCTGAAGTGCATTTCATCTGAAGAGCTCCTCTGTACCATTTCAATCATTTTTAAGATTATAACCAATTCTAAACCCAAATCTTAAATGGTATTATTTTTCAACTACAAAAGGCCAAATACCTTGGAGCCTGGAAGCTTTATATATTCAGAAGACACAAGAAGGATATTTTCTGGCTTCAGGTCAGTGTGAATTAAGCGTAAATCATGCATATCTGCCAAATATGACAAGTCATGGAAAATAAGAACATTACACAGGGAAAAAAACAGAGATCCCTTGCTAGCCCTGAATAAACAAAACAGGCCAAGAAACAGATCTGGGTGATTGGTGAAGAAATATAAGTAACAAAACAGGAACCAAGAACAATCCACACACATGCTACAGATTCCAAAAGCTGACGTCCAAATTCCCGAACAAGATCCACAGGAAATGGGCTGTATTTATTTCTCTTTAGAAAATCAAACAAACTTGGTCCAAGCTTCTCAAATACCTGGTAACACCATTAAAAATCCATTCAAAGGAAGTTTTCTGTTTAGTTAATTAAGTCCATGCAGACAAATCACTATTAAACCACCACAATTAAGTGAAAATAATTTATATGTTCAAATATGTATTTGCGATATAAGTCGGTCAAGCTTCAAACACAAGAAAGTTCAAAAGATTTACATTAGGACATAAGCAACACCGAAAACTTAACAAGGAAAAATGCACGGAAAATGAGAACAAAAATTAATCTAAGGCCTGCAGTTTCCAGCAACTTCTTTCATCATTTGAAAGGAAGGTTTGCCAATGAATCCAGCACAATCTTCCTAAAAAAAAGACAGCAGGATAAAAGGAATTACTTAGCAGAGATTAAACTGGAGTACTTACAATACAAATGTGATTGCGATAATCAAACCAGTTCCGAATCTTAACACATCTGCACAGAGGACAACAAGCAGGAGCATGAGAACATGCTGCATGATGGGTGAAGACTGAAGACATGCAAGCAACATTTTCTCTCAGCAGAAACCCAGAAAATATATACCGTGAGCTGGCTTTTTCATTCTTGGCAATATGCTGAAGTATATCAACTTCAATCATTGCTGCATCACGATACTTGCGAATGCTACGAACTACCTTGATTGCCACATACTCTCGTGTTTCGCGATCCCAACATTCCAAAACTCGCCCAAAAGTGCCTACAATACTAGCAATTTGCTGAATGGCACAAGCAGAATCACAAAAATTTAACATCTTGTAGATAGCAAGACGCTTGACAGCTAACCTTCACCCATTTTGCTCAATATTTTATCTGCCAGACAGTACAAGAAGCTCTAATCAGACATTGAATGTTTCGCAAAACCAAAGCAATTAAAACATTGCATGAATTAACAAACACTTATCTGAAAATTTTCTAAAAACTTAATACGCATAATTTATGCTTTCACTTCCAGAGAAATTCCAATTTCAATTCTTTTATTTTCTTTTGTTACCCTTAAAAAAGGAGATATTACTAAAAATGTCAAAGTTTTGTTTTTCCAAATCACAACCAATGAGCTAAATTTAATTGAAAGAAAAACTTACATCTCGGAGTTATATTCTCGCCGAGATTAAAAATATAATGTCCTTCACGGTCATCCTCCCTTTTCGGTGGGGACACATGCCTAGCCGCCGCCATCCCTTCATTTCGAGCCACCACTGGGGCCCGATCCTACAAGCAACAAAAACCAACAGCAATTTTAAACCAATTCAATCTCCCAGTTTCAAGCGTGCAATTTTAGATTTGCAAGATCTCGCAAAACCCTACTCCCCCAAAATTCTGAAAAAGAAACAAACCTCTGGTTGTGCGGGGCCCACATCCCACGCGAGTCGAGGCCGTTTTCTGACACGCTGCTTCTCCATCCTTTCGAAATCGACTATTGCTGCTACCATTCGAGGAATCAAGATTTCTCTCTGCAACAAAAAAATCCTGAATGGGAAGAAAGTTAGGGATTTTGACTTTTCCAGTAGCTTATGAAATATAATTAGGGTTTGATTGTGATGATGAGAGACGGGGAGGAGAGAGGGAAAACGATCATGTACGGGTGGGAAACAGGGGTTAGGGTTCGGTAAACTATAGGAAGAGGCGAAAGGAGGTTTTGCGCGCAGTTATTTATTTGGTCATGTCCGCTGTGTTTCTTTCGCGTTTCATTAATGATTTCCTTACATAGGCCCAGATAATTTGGGCTTGGGCTGTTGGACCCTATATTTATCATTCAGTTTTTGGGTCTATATCTAACCATCTTTCCATCCAAAAGAAAATCAAGAAAAGCACATGGCATCATCCAATTTTTTTTTTTTTTTTTTTTTCCCTTAGAGTTCCCTCAAAAAAATATACTTTATTCCTTAAAAAATGTGACTTTTTTCAATTCACCAATTATAAATATATTTGTCATCCAGTTCAATTCCCTCAAAAATATTTTCAGAATTGAGATAAAGACTCGTCGAGAAGGTTATTCTTATTTTCTCTAAATAGAGATAGTAATGGAGGTCTCTGAAGGTGGATGGTGCATCTACCTCCACCTCCATTTTTTATTGGAGGTAATTTTCAATTTTTTATATCTCTTTTCGTTGAAAATGGACCTCCAGTGTAGATTCACATGATTTTTTTTTCATGATTAATTCTCATTAAGTAAAGTATAAATGTTATGAAAAATAAACTATTTTACAATTATGAAACAAAATTAATCAAAGTGGTTTTTTAAAAAAAAATCTATATAAATAATTTTGAATACATTGAAAAATTATAAACATAATAAATTAATTTATTTACAAATTCGAACATAAAGATTCATCGAATTGAAAGATATTTTATTTATCTTTATACTCAAATAAAAATGAATATTTTTTTCGTCTCACTTTCGGTTTTATAGAATGGTAAATGGAGGCAGAACTTCATAAAATCAGGTATACGTATAACTATCTTGGCAGTAAATTATAAATTAGTCTCTTTTGTTTAGGAAAACAAATTAATTAATCCATCTGGTTTTAAAAACTAATTATTTAGTTTTTTTATATTTTTAATTTATTTTGATTTCTTTTTTTTTAAGAAATAAAAAAAATAAATGAAAAAATTCATGAGAAAATAAGATTTTTTATAAAATAAAAAAATATTAATTTACTCATGGTCAATATTAGTTTTAAAAAAAACTAATTAGCTTTTTAACCAAAATGACTAATTAATTTATTTATTGAAATAATAGGGACTAATTTATAATTTACTAAACTATCTTCCCTACCTTGGGGCCAAAAAAAAAGTGTCAACAGTATAACACCACCATGGCACCATTTGGTCAATCGTCACCGTGCTTCCATTCAAAACGTCTAAAACAAGGGGAAGAATCCGCTGGGACCACACCCGCCCACAGTTTCTCATCCTTCCCAATCTCTCAACCAACCAAAAATCGCCACATATCCACTTCCCTCTGTTCTTTTAAAATCAAAAGACCCCCGAAAAAAAAAGCGTTGAAACCACGCGACAGCCACAGGCCTCCTATTTAAACTACAATCCTAGTAAGCATCGAAGACCGGAGACCAAACTCCACGACTCAACTCAATTCAACTCAGTGAAAAAAAAAAACGAAAGAAATGCAGTCGTTGCAAGAGAAAGCCTCCGAGTGGAGTGGAGTTGACACAGCTGACGCGTTTGCTATTGACGACACTAACTTGTTTGAAAAGCTTGGCCTTCAAACTTTCATTAGCCTGTCTACAAATTTTTATAACAGGTGAGTATTTGTTGTCGGATGAAAGGGGTGTTTGATTTTGTTGTGTTTTGTTAATTGGTTTTTGTTTTTAGGGTGTATGATGACGAAGAAGAGTGGTTTAGATCCATATTTGTGAATTCTAAGAAAGAAGAAGCCATTCAGAATCAGTACGAGTTTTTTGTGCAGAGAATGGGAGGGCCTCCTTTGTATTCTCAAAGGAAAGGTGTGTTTCAATAATTATGTAGGAATTTGGTTTTTGTGGCTTCATTCTATTTTTCACGATAAATTGCTGCTTTTATTTGAAAAGATTCGAATTCTTTTTTATATGTAAATCACTGTTTGTTTGATGAATTTCTGCTTGCGATTTAAGGTTTCAAAAGGGTTACTTTTTTTGAAAAAAAATGATATGGATTCAAGGTTAGGAGTAAATATGATATTGAGGATTAATCCGCTGGATGAACTAGTTTCTTTATGTAGTGTTAGAAATGAACTTGTTCTCTATATGTTTAGTTGATTGCTTTCTAGTTCAATAATTGATAAAACAATTAGTCCACTGAAGCTGTTGTAGAGTAAAACCTGGTGAAGTGGATTTGTTGTGTTCCTAAGCACAAGACAAGCATCCGTTTGTTTCCTTGCTGTTGATTCCAAGAGATTAGAATTCTCAGCATGGACCATTTTGTGCCAGGTTTGTACAAGGAAATTCATATAGATCATAAGTTTCTTAGTTATTTCTTCTGGGTCGAGGTCTTAGGAGCTGCGTTTGCCTTTATAAACCTACAGAGGGTATTGTTTTTACCAGGATTCTGAGAGTTTATTATTGTCAGTTTGCTGTTCCCTTCAAGACTTAGCAATAGGGAAATAGAATGTTATCCTGCTTTGATCTGATACTACTTGGTGTTCATTCAGAATAACATGTAAAAACCATCGTGTCTAATAATCATCTTTCCCTTTGATTTTGGCAGGCCATCCTGCTCTAATTGGACGCCATCGACCATTTCCTGTCACACACCAAGCTGCAGAGAGGTGGTTACATCACATGCAGAAGGCAGTGGACAGCACCCCAGATATTGACGATGACTCGAAAATCAAAATGATGAAATTCTTCAGGCATGAATTTCACCAAATTGCATCATCGTCGACGCCCATTAAATCCATCTGTAGTAGTAATCCGCCATTTCTTTTTCTTTACTTTGTTAATGGTTTATGTTTATTCTCATGCTCTCAGGCACACCGCATTCTTTCTCGTGGCCGGAGATGAATTGAAGAATCAAAATGGGCGCACTCCTACTAAGCCTGGTGCCAGCAGATGAGCTGCTGTGTAAAGAAAAGATTCATCGTGACAAAACAGTTGGAGTTAACAATTCTTTCCAAACCTCTTAAAGATATCATAGTTGTCCAAAGGCAAAACTTTCCTACGGTATTTATCAATAAATTTTGACATTTCATGTTACATTTGTTTGTGTTCTGATGCAAATGCAAAACTTAGAGTAAGCTGCCTGTAGCTATAAAAACTGAATGGAGTAGAATTTACCAAGTCAGATTGTAACCTAGACTGTAAGAACAATGGAAGCACGGATATAAAGAGTAAGAACAGATAGAAGCACGGATACAAAGAGAACCAAGTTTTGATGGTTTAGAAAATATCCTAATTCCTAAAAATTCTTTTGTGTGGTGGTGTAATTTTTTTTGGTTCTTGGATAACCGAAGAACTCCTAATTCAGTACTTTATCTGAATTCTAAAGAATTGTTGAATATGTGTATCGAAAACAGAAACTTGAAGGAGTAAATTAGAAATTAGTCCCTCCAGTTTTGAGAAACAAATCAATTACTCCCTTTGGTTTCAAAAACTAATTATTTAATTTTTAAATTTTTAAAATTTTAAATTTTCTTGTAACTTAATTTTTTGCTTTTTAATTTTTTTTATCTTTTATTTTTTAAAAATACCAAAAAAAAAGTTAAAAATATAGAAGGATGGATGAGAAACGAAGATTTTTTTTTTAAAGTATTTTTAAATTAAATATAGTTAATATTGGTAAAATAATATTGGTAAAATGATTAAATAATTAGTTTTATAAACAAGGAGGATTAATTAATTCATTTTTCGAAACCAAAGGAACTGATTTATAATTTACTAACTTAACTGAATTTTTTCACATTGTACAAACTCAGGATGAAAGTGGGATTGATTTGTTACTTAGAGGATCCTAATCTAAGTTCTCAGCCTTCCAAATCCAACCATGTGCATGACTTATGAGACTAATACTCAATTGTTATTAGTCTAAATTCCAATATTTAAGCATTCATTTTAGATCATCTTTCTTTAAAAAATGAAATGAGATTCTTACAAAATGCATGCTAATCATAATAGTTGATATTTTTTGGTAAACAATTTTTATATGACTATTATTTAAGAGTATTCCTTAAAATTATATATTTGCTGCTTGGAACTATCAATCTCAGTTTCCAACTCCCATTTGCTCAAGTAGAATGAAGAGATATGATTAGTACCTGTAAGAAGATCATCGGAAAACTTCATATAATCCGAGGAGAATCTCTGTGCTGAGTAATGTGCACTCATAATTAAGCCTAAAAAGTGCAAACAATAAGCAATAATTCCTACAACTTTCTGCTGAGGCTCAAAGATAGGATTCAAAAGGGAAAAGATGGAACCATGGAATAGCCCATCATTAGGGCAAAATCCCTTAAAACTGTGATTTTGCTCGAGGAGAAAAAATGTTAGAGCAGTCACAATCGGGTCTTCTTGCATAAATATGTTGCTAAATGTTAGAGCAGTCACAAGGGATTAAAAGACTCGACCTAAGTGACCAAGTGATCCTGAGTTTTATCTGGTCTTCGAAGAACTTGTGAGTTTCCAACTCTTGTAAATCATGAAGTATGAGGTCTTTTCTGAAAGAATAAGGTGAACTCTTGTCAATTCAAGCACCGGTTTGATCGGACTCGGTTACTAGGGGAATCAACTAGACAACATGGCATGTTATTCATTGTTAAAATGTTCTCCTGCAATGGTGCTGTTACCTTTGGTGAATCAAAACTAAAACAAAACAAAACAAAAGCCCTAATGGATTTATACACAGAAAATCTTGTGAGTTTGAACTAGGTGGTCGAGGTGCATATCTTTCATTTGAATACACATCCCAAATTTCAAAACCAAGGCCATAGTTTATGGTATCTGTGGTCCTATCCTGGATGTCAGGATTTATGCCTTAAAATAATTACACAGACCGCTTTGTTACTAGATTTGCACCATCTCAGCATATCTGTTTAGATATGCATCATCAAAATCTATGCTATAGAATAGTGGAGGAATTCAGTTAGTAAAAAATGGTACATGCTTTAAATAATTAATAATTTGAAGGAAACAAGTAGTGATCCTGCAAGATTCTCTCTGCTTCCATCATGCTGTCTACCACTTGAGAATAGTAAAAAGTTGAAGATCTAGAGTTGCCCCAAGAAGGGCATCTTGATCTACTTGTGAGTGAAGCAAGTGGGAAAAAGTCAGAAACATCCAATCCATTCCTTTTGTGGAGTGTTACTGACTTGTATTGAGACCATAACCTAGGCTCAACTGATTGCCAGAAGCAAGATAATGGATTGAGTAGGAAGAAGATGAACAAGAATCATGAGACATGCATAGAAATAGAGACATCATTGCTTGTCCATTTCTATACAAAAGTTTCCCCTATGGTTTTGGTTTCACTCATAATTTATGAACTACCTTACATATTTCAACATCCCATTTGCCATCAATTTGTCTCACCCACTACTCATCATTCAACAGTCATATGCCTACAGTTGCTATGCACTGTTAATAGTGGACTCAGAAACAGGACTCCAATCTTATGGTTGATAAACATTCCAACAGCATAGTCAGAAACCATGAAGAGAAGGGGAGAAAAAAAGCAACATGGAAAATTTATGGACATTAATAAGGTGAATTTGGTTTCTGAGATCAAAATGGCATTGGAAAGAAAAAGAAGAAAAAGATGTACACATCATCAACCTTGCTTGAGTTATGTAAAAGTACTACTCTTCTGCAAAATTCTTGAAGGATCAGCATATCTAGCAGAAAAGGACCTTGAAAGAATTTCTGGCTCATCCCAATCTGTTCCTTGATCAAAATTCTGTGAGTATTCATCTGGATCATAAGAAGCCTGCGATGTAACAGGAGCCATGTTGAATATTTTCTTTTTGCCTCTACTTATTTTTCTCCAAAACCGTTGCCACTTTGGCTTTGGACCATCCTTGACACTTTGAGCCTTACCCAGATGGATTGTTTCTCTGGCAGAGCCACCCCATTTCTTGAACATTGCCATTTCCCTAGAAATTAAGATCGAGAGCCAGAAGAAGGGTCGAGTTTCAACTGTAAGCATTGCCGATTTTTATTGAGAGTGCGTATATATATAAGAGCATGGAACATGAAGCTTAATGATGCAGATGATACTAAATTAATCAAACAAAAGGATAAATCAAGTAGTGAAAATGGCTTGGCTCTCTTTGACAAACTGGCTCTAAAACCAAACTTGGCTTTCAAAATCCTATATTTAATACTTTCCCTTATCACCTAAAAATACACAAAAATGTTTCCACTTCAGTCTTGAGAAAATGGTTTGAAGAATATAATGTACATACATTGAATCAAAATATAAATGCCAAAAATGTGTCATTTTACTAATAGATTTTTGGATTAAAAGTCTAAGCCGTCAAGTTAAGAAGATGTGTGAATCAAATATTTCTAGGATAAACGAGGAGTTTTTGGTTTAAAAACATAGAATAGTCATGATTTACATCAGCAATAGACGAGTCTATGGTTGTTTTTGTTTTGCTTGGCAACAATTCCACATACGTATGAAGAAAAGGTTCATCTTATTAGCTAGTAAGATTCAAATTCTTTTTTGAATTTTGATGCCACAATTATTAAATGGCAAATGAAAATAAATCATCATTCATTAAATCTTTTATGAGTTTTTAATAAATAAAAAAATAAAGCAAAAGGTACAAGTGATTAAATCTTGGCATAGGATAGAAAAAAAAAAAATTGGGTTTAAATTTACTCTCGAATAGTTTACCCATTTTTTCAATGTTCTGGATTATCAAACTCTTTCTAAAAATATTAAGTAGACTTTCATGGATATAAAGACTAGCATGTTCGAATGATTATACTTCTTTCGATTATAATGTAAATATATAATAATCTCATCGCATAATACAAAACTGGTTGGGCATCTTAATGAAACAAAAAAATATATAATTAAGGGCTAACATGATCTAAAACAAACGATAATGGACATATTCCGTTGTTGTAAAATATATAGAAAAAAAAACCTTTTTTTAATTCAATATTAAAAGTATCTTCGATCCGATTTTCATACATTTTGAGACTAATTTTTTTAAAATATATCTAAAAAATACTTCTCAACACACGATTTTCGATATTCTTTCAAGAAACTTTTAAAAATACTAGTCACAATAATTGAACCTAAACCTCACTTGCAAATAGACATTCGCTTGGCCAGCACCTTGTGGTTATATAGGAAAAAAAAATCTGATAGATGAGAAAATATGCCATGATAATCGGCTAAAGGCTGAACTGAGTTTAGCCATAGAAGCAAGGTAGGAAAGTAGAAGTACTAGATTTTTTAAAGGTGAAAGCAAGAGCAAGACCGCCGAAAGAGTAATTTTCCTAGCCGCGTGCCTGCCCTGCCTCGTAAACAACTACTCTAGTTGGCGGTGTGTCCTTGCTGCTCTTTGTTTATCAATCTTTAAAGGTCTTAGATCTCTTTTGGGAAAAATTTTCTCGTATCAATCTGAGTTTTTTCTAAAAGGTTCTAATCTAACCCTTTGTTTTTAAATAGTTAATAGCAAAGGACCACATTGAAACTTTTGATAAACTATGTGGTTGATATTGGATAATTTGCATCCACAGGGGCATAAACAAAGCATTGCTGAATCAATGAGAATTAAAAGATCATTTGTTTTTCCTCATCTCCACCTAACCAGATGACATACACCAAGTTGAACATTCCTCAGGCTCATTTGTAATTACAAGTACATAGTCCTAAGTTAGCAGAAATGTTGGGACTTCTCAAAATTCCATTGCCGAGGACCATTTTTATTCCTCAGGCTCATTATTAGTCAGCCACCAAGAGCAATTATCGCAATGTGGTACTTTGTTAGTTACTAGCTGCACTTGGTGGCAAGAATTCAATGCCAAGATGGTACTAGAACCCTGAAAGTTCACTGAAGCAGAGAGAAACTGGATTACATGTTTGCAATAGACAAACATTTGTCTAAGGATCAAGCAATGCTGTACAAGAAGTTTAACTAGAAGAAATGAAAAGGTTAGCAGTAAATTTCACCTCCTTCATGATCTCCACAATCCCAATTCTTTCACTGCCTGGTAGATAAACAAAATTTTGGCCGAAAGCTAGCACTTCCATCTTGCAATTAGCAGAAAGCCAAAAGCAAAAGGAACTGTCTACAAGTGTGAACTAAATTATCATATCACCATTACCTAAAACCTCCAAATAGGATAACCATATGTCCCTTCGAATTAACCACCAGGGACAAAATAGACAAGAAATAACTAGTGATCTTCTGCATGATCACCCCTTCCCTCTGTGCATATATGCATTTGGAGGAATACAAAACCAAAAAATTTTCACGAAAAAGAGCAAAATAAAAATAGCCAAACACAACAAGACCTGTCTGTCTCGTAGAAAAGGTAAGGTACATTTGGCTAAGGATTAACTTAAAAGAGTAATTTTACAAACTAAAAGAAGCTTACATCATTATGCACGACTACGATTTGACTTCTGCATGTTTGTGATGGACCTAAGTTTCTCGTAAGCTTCAGAACAGGAATGAGCATAGTCTGACATAGCACGGAACAGCTCAGGCAAGCGCATTTTGAGACTTCCAACTGATTTCTCTCTTACCTGGAGGCAATGTCTCTGGTGAGCTTCTACTTCCTCGTCCAGCCTCTTCTTCAAACTCTCTACTACAAATTGCCTCTCGGAGACAGGATTGGGATTGGTGTCTTCACCTCTATCAGCATCTGTTTCATCAGTTGGGGTTCTCCGCTGCATGTATTTTTGGTACCATTCCTCAAATGCCTGGTTCTTACGCAAAAACTCCTTCCTCGTTTCCTCACACTTTTCCTTTAGCTTCATCTCTTCTTCCTGATGGTGCACTATGGTTTCTATCACAGCTGCAAATGATGAGATTGCAGATTTGGCAAGCTCATCTGGAAGCTTTTCCAGAAGGTCATGCCATGAATGGAGGAGGGGTTGAATTGGGGGATTCTGGGCTCTCGGTGGAGATGATATTTTCTCTTTTAAGCTGCTTTCAATGGGGATCAGGTTTAGCTTTAACCAGCTAGTAAGAGTGTGAATGTATTGTTTCTGGTGGGTCACAAGCTTTTCGAATTGTGAATGCCAACCTTGGACAACTTTCCAAAGTTGGATTGTGCGCTCATGATGGTGTTTGGTTGTTTCCTTGATAGCATGGTTGACATCAAGGGATTTAAGGTCTGTAACAATCTTCAGTTGGCTGTCGTGATGCATGCACATACTTGCCCACATTTTCGCCATCCTGCAGCATTGCATTCAGAATTTAACAAGAATGTAACAAGAGAAATAATATAATATCATGTTTAAATTATGGCATTACTTTTTGTTTGGTGCTCCATAAAACCAATCTCCCATGATTAACAACTACTTTTCTGACACCTAGCTAGTAAAAGAAAAAAGAAAAGAATACCTAAAAATTGTGATAATTACCCATGGCATGATGGAAAAACAAAGAAGCTGCACGTAGCCAAGGTATGGTTAATCTAATTTTTCTTCAGAGGCACAGACAATTAGCTTCCTTTTTGTACTTACAAATCGAATGGACAGGTAACACCTGTAATTCCCTACTTTAGACATTAGATTGCTATAGAACAACAACGCAATGGGAAAATTCGGGTGCGGTTCAGCATTTAACATCTATATTGAAGCATATGATGAATCTAAAGATTAAAAGGAATATATTCAAATCCAGGTTTTTATATAAGTCCAAACAGTTTGTAAATGTCAAATTTTTCAGTCCGCTTCATACAGCCCACTTCGTTAGGAGAGAAATGCAAGAAGTTGAGCTAATGTCTTAACCTCCATGAGTAATCTCGTTCTAGCCAGGAAATAGCAAGTGTTAATTTCATAAAAGTGATATTATGCAGACTCTTGGCATGCATTATATATTTAAAAAAATATATATCAATCCAAAGAGACCATAAAGTTTCAAGGAATATGTAATAAAAAAACTAGAACAGGCAAAAGTATAAAAAAAAATTTAATCTTTTCCAAACAGAAACTCACCCGTCAACAAGATCAACAAGTTTTGGATACAACTGCTGATCACGTATCTGATTCACTTCTGAAACGGTTGAGTCCATGGATTGCATGTCAACAATATATCTCGTATGCAGATGACTCACAGCTGCTTTTGTTTTCTCCAAGGATTCTGCACTAGAACCACGTTTCTTCTGCTTATTTAGCAAAGCAACCTTCCTTTTGTACTCAAGCTTCATAAGCTCCCCTTGCTAATCAACATTAAGCAAACTTCACTAAGACCCAGTGCATGACAATGCAAAATGACATAAACATTGCCCCAGAAATAAATAAAAAACAGAAAAATCTGGCTTCTCTCCATGGCCAAGATTTACAAGAACGTTTAGAAGATCAATGAAGGCCTGTTTAGAAGGAAACTTAACATTTTCTGATAAGATTGAGCAGCATAACTAAAAGCTCACGTAAGAACTCAATATGAAGGACAAGCGGTCAAAACCAAACCAATAAATGATGCAATGTACCTTTACTTCATCATAGAGTTTCTTTTCCCATGCTAACAACTTATCCAAAACGGTAGCATGAGTTTCATAATCTTCAGAATCAAGTTCATCCTTCCCACCTTCAGCACTGGGTACACCTTTGAAAGACCTATTCCAAGTGATAACACGCATAACCCTAGCAGAATGATCAATGTGTCCTGCAAATATTGATACCATTTCAGCAAAATAATGGTGTCAATGACAACAAAACAATTACTATAAGGTGAACTAAAATTTCAAGAAAATGTCTTAGCAGAATAACCATATGCTTCCAACTTTTAAATAAGAATAACAGATCGTTCCAGGTACAGGACATCATTATCTTCCAGTGATTGAAAAGGGTATGGTATTGTTGATAAATGAACACCCCCCCCCCCTTTTTTTTTTTTTTTTTTTTTGCTTTTGAAAAGAGAAAACCATGAAAAGCAGTAGGAAAGCTGAGGTTCTCAAAAAAAGCTTCCAGAAAAGATGAAGATGCAATAACAAAGTCCACTTGGTGTAAAAGCAGGTACCGACATTCAGAATACCAAATCCAAAATGCTTACAAATTTCATATCATTCAATAAAAGCACAAATGCTTTCAGCTTTAAGTCTTCACAAACAACAAGTATACAAATTTTAGAAACCTTCATTATAAAAAGGTTTGCTTAATTTGATGGGCCCATAATAAGCAACTTCAACTTCAAGTATGCAAGAAATTACTGTTAAAAACATAAATAGTTAAACGCCCACATGATAGACAATCAAAGCATAACATCAAGTAAACAAAAGATTCAAACACGAGCAACCTGTGGAAGCCAATTATACCTCGATTATCGGCAAAATTAGAGTGGTAGTGCAAGCGAGTGACCTCAAGCATCTTACAAACATCCTGTGCACTTTCCGATGCTTTTAAGAAATGGTCATCAATTTTATTCAAAACCTCCATCAAATTCACACTAGGAACAGAACCCACTTTCCTCCCCACCACCCTAAAATCTGATGGTGACGTTTTCGCATGCTCAATTTGCTTCCTTTCCTTCGTCTCCACACCCTCTTCCTCCTCCTCCTCCTCCTCTTCCACCACAGGCTCCATCTTTTCCTCCGCCTTCTCAGGCGTCTTTGGCTCAACCCCATCAATCTCACCACCATCAACCCCACCCCTCAAATCCCCAACCCCACCGAACCCAACACCCACATTCTTCCCAAAATTACCTCCGTTCCTACTCGCATCCTCTTCAGGCTCCAGGGACGAAACCGTCACATTATCCATCATAAAGAAATAATCCCAAGCCATGTTCTTCGCCTCCGGCATCGGTGGCACCACCGAGGAATGACTCTCCACCGTCCTTGGTGGGGTCCTCGGCCGCGTATCCTCCTCCTGGACCGTTCCCACATTCCCATCATCCTGTGGACCCCGCTGCGAAACCTTCTCACTTTTGTCGTAATTCTTATTCTTTCTACTAAGACTCCTATTCCGCAATTCTTGCACCTCCTCCTGCTCCTCCTCCTCTTCTTCCTCCTCCTCCGCAATCGCAACAGAATCACCCATCTCCTTCCTCTTCATCACAATCTCCGGCATACTCATAGCCCTCTTCATCGGACTGGGGGAAAAGTTAGGCAGCGGCGGAGGCGGAGGAGGAAGGTTATCCATCGACGGAGGAGGAGGCGGCGGGGGCGGCGGGGGTTGAGATGTAGGGTCGAGAGAAGGAGGCTGTTGAAACTGCGAATCATGATCAGCTTCTCCATGTCCATAATCACTCAAAGCCGCACCAGTATTCTTCAGAGAAATAGCATAGCCCGAATGACCAGCTGCAAAAGCATTTCTTGCTGTCACTGCTTCTTTCATCAAGATTTTCCGCTCTTTGCATCTCGAAACTGATTCCTCATTATCCACCTTTGACTGTGCACACCCCATCACAGTTCAGGAAAATCTTGAAAATACAAGACAGATTCAAGAAAAGAGTAGGCTAAGAAGAAGAAAAAAGTTGTGGGTTCTTGATAATAATGGAGGAGAGCATGTTAAGAGAGAGGGAGAGAGAGGCAGAGAGAGAGGAGATACTGACAATGTAATACAGAGAGGTAGGGTGTAGGGCGTGCAGAGGAAAGAGGAGAGTTTTTCTTTCTTGTTGTGGTACTCGATGAGAGTAGGAGAATATGGTGTACTCGCTGGGTTTAGAGTAGCAGGTGCACTTGTTTTGTATTTTTAAATTAACGGTCACTTTTTTCAAGATGGAAACTATGTCGTTTTGTGGGTGTTAGAAGTAATGTTACGGTGTTGATAAGGGTTCTGATTTCGCTGATGATGGATCAGGCACAGAATGCTTGCCAGCCCATGTGATTTAATGACCAAGACAATCTCAATTCTCATCCCTAAAGCAAAACTTGCATGAACATGGCTCAGCAAAATCATCATGACTGGAATGGATCACAACAAAATGTGTTTTTATTTATGAAACCTAAACGTGTGGATTTTTTTCTAGACGATTCTAATCGGTGCATCGTCCATACTTTTCTTGGCACAACATTTTTGAATGAAATGTCAAATTAATTCTAATATTTCATGAAAGGTAAATATTTACCGAGAACGATTTTAACAATTTCAGAATACATATATATAAATCTATTTTTTAAAATGCATTATTTTGACGAAGAGGAACTAATAGGCTTTTCTTTTTATATTTATAAGAGATTATGAATTTAAATTCCTCATTTGGAGTATTTGAATTTAAAAAAATCTTTTTTATTACAAGAAAAAATCAAAATAACTTTTTTATTTTTGTAGTAATTATCAATTCAATCTATCACAGTAATACAATTCACTCTAAAGGAAAGATTTAATATCCTTGACACTAATTAATTTGATGGCATCCCTAAAAATATACGAGTGAAAACTAGAAAATAAGATTTCCAAATATTTTCAGTTTTCATTCACACAAAAATAAAATTTTCGTGTTTTGTTTTCAATTTTTTTTAAAACAGTTTTTCTTGCATGATACAAAGAATCAAATAATATATAATGTTTGCAGTTTTGGATTCATATATGATACCACAAATTACAATGTACAGGAACTGAAAAATAATAAAAATAGGTCATAGGAATAATACCTATTTTAATCATAAAATTAATAAAATTTGAAAGGTATTTTCGTTAAATAAATTATTTTGATATAAAATATAATCGATTAAAAAGTAATCCTCACACGAATATGTGGGAAAAAACACATAACACTTGTCCATCTCACAGGCGTAATTTTGTGCGTTTCTGCTGTTGGCGAACACAATTAAACGTTAGCTTGAGGCCCCAATTAATCGCAGTCGTCAAGGTTCTATTTGGAAAATTAAGAACGGAGGCGCTCATCTATCAACATCTATGCCTAATGCAACTACTCAAATCAAACACTAAAAAAGATTCAGCTCTTGAAAATGATGGCAATGGACTAATACAACTTGGTTAAAAATCATCCAAATTCTCACCTTCTGTTCCAGTTGACGACGATGGGCTAAATAGACCAGGCAACAAACCCCAAAGCCTCAAGCTTTCGGCCAGAAAGTCGTTGATGCATAATTGAAAATGTCTGCTCTTAAAGAAACAAGGGTCAAATAGATTGCATGGGCTAAAGTTGTCTTTTGCTTTGGTCGTACAAAGGTCAACATAATTAAACTGGGACCAGTGGATATGCTTTTTCACCAAGCCAATGAGGGTGGAGCAGTTAAGATTGTAAATTTGTAATGCTGCCAAGACGTAAATCCTTTCCATTGAATTTTCAACGAGTAAATTATTCTTTCATTCCTCAGTTTTTAAGGCAATTGTACCTTATTCCCTAGGTTTTTAAAAACCTACAGACATGTCCTTTTTTAAAAATTCTCTGTTTATAATTTAGTCTTTTTTTACAATGTATTGTTAATGAGACAAAAACCCTTTTTTAAAAAAAATAATTTCAAAATCTTTTGATATCAAAAGGTATTTTTTAATTTTTCTTAAACATTAAATATTTACAAAATTGTAAGAAATATAGAATGATTTAGAATGATTTCAATTTTTAAAAAATGCTTTAAAAAAAATAGTAAACCTTTATATGATTAAAGTACCATTTTTGAAATATTTGTGCTTATTTTAACTTTTGATTAAGAATTACGTTTCTTTCACTATGCAAATAGTTCCAGATTCCTAATAAGAATAAACGAATAAGTATATATGATATTTTTAAAAACCGTAGAAAATTGGAACCACTCCAAATGATTCTATATTTTTTTCTCTATTTTGTAAATATTTAATTTTTAAAAATAAATTAAAAATACTTAATGATCTGAAAAAAAATGAATTTATTTTTAAAAGTAGATAGAATTTTTATTATTGTACATGAAAATTTCAACGCAAAAATACCAACAATTAAGTTTTTAAAAGGATTTTTGGTTAATAATAACAAAGAATTAACAATGCGTCGCCAAAGTAGACTACTTTATGAACGGAAAAATAAAGTGGAGAACATAACTGTAAGTCTTTGAAAACCGAGGGACTAAATTACAATTGAGCTAACAAAGTGAAGGATGAAAGATTAATTTACTCATTGTCTACAGTAACACTTAAGGCTGCGTTTAATGTTTGTTTCACGTTCAGTTCAGTGAAAAAAGTAAATGAAAAATGATTTTCAGTCCATGAACAATGATAAAGTAATTTTAAGAAAATATTTTATTAGTTTCAAAAGAGAAAAACATTTTTCTTCTCGATAGCTGTCTTGCTCTCTCGTTACATAACTCTCTCTCGATATATTTTAACAATTTTGTTCTCTATCTTCTTTTTATTTAAAATATATCATATTAATTTTTAATAATTTCTTATCAATTATTATTAATTATTTAATTATTTTTCTCTATCTTTACTAATATTTGATTTTTTGATTTATAGATACATTAAATATTCTTAAAAACCATTTTTACACCTTAAAATTATTTTTATAATAAATATTTCAATAACTTATCTCTTTTTTTACTATTATCTCAATCACTTCCTAAGCTATAGTTAAATGATTGAAAATGATTATTACAAGACTATAATTTTTTGTAAAAAGAAATTAAAATTAATTAATTCATCAATAAATATATTATTTTTTCAACACTATTCATTTGCGATTAAATCAATAATTTATAATTTTAATCAATTGTAAAATTTTGTTGGTAATTGTAATGAATAATTAGTTACAAATTATTGCAACCTTAATCTTTTGAGATCAAATAAATAATTATCTATAGATGATAACAAATAATTTATCAAATTATTTTTTAGACTAAATTATCAGTTCAATTTCTTAAAAAAAAAATCTTAATTGAGTTACTAAAATAATAATGCTAAGATTACTTAGAATCTTTTTTTACCAAATATGAATATTGACTTAATTTTGTTCCAAGTAATTTTGATGATTTAGTTTGATTGTTAAAAAAATATATTTTATTTTTTGAATTAAAATTTTAGAGTTAGTATTGATGAAAATTTATTAAATTTTTTTAAATATATCTTATATTATGAAATTATAAATATCTTTTTTAAATTTTCTCAAAACTTGATATAAGAATCACATAAGTTTTTATATTTTAATTTTCTAGTATCAAACAAACGTTGAAATATATTTCTAATAACTTTTTCATATATTTATCAAATAGTAAAAATTATTTTTTTAAAAAAATAACTTTCTCAAGGAATTGATTTTTGTATTAAACTTGTTTTCCGTAGTATAAACAGAGTCTAAAAGAACAAAAAGAGCAAATCCCAAATTAGTAAAGAACAGCTCCCTCGCTTTTGTTCCAAAATGACATCGAATTGACAACATTAGCAGTTTATGGCTAGTCAAGTTCCAGCAGCATTCACCATCCCACACGTGCCAAGCAGGCCAACGAAAAATTTTGACATGATCTCCGCCTTTTGACCCAATATAATTTTAATTGATTGTACGGACGGTTGGCTGATCCAACAGGCTAGGTTTTGGTAGTATTTTGGTTCCTGATGCCGAGAGGAGTGAGAAAAGAAGAAGACGGAAGGAGAGAGAGTGCCACACAAATCTTTTTAGACTATTTTGACTGACAAAACTCATTAGATTTTTTTATGTTTAAAAGATAAGTTTATTCATCATTTCAATTCATTAAATAATTAAAAGAGATAGGTAGTAAGGAAAAAAAATCTGATTTGATTATATATATTTTTTTAATATGCATTAAAATAATTTTTTTAAGTCTAAAAAAGTTTTTTTTTAATTTTATTTCAATCATTTAGAGATATTTAAAATATATATCAGAATTGAGTTTCTTGACATATGAAACTTAATCCATGATTTTTTTGACAAAGATTTTGACCAACTTGAATTCATCAAAAGTTACAATTTGTTTTTTTGGGATAATTAGCAGCTTCGACCTGGAGAAGCAATCCCAGGCGCACAGGCCTAAGCAACCCTGCCTTGGCTCGACTACACAAGCCTGACCAACCATGCCGAACTGGCTTGGCGCTCGAGCCTACACAAGATGCCCAAGCACGTGAGCCTGACCTTTTTTTTTTCTTTTCCTTCCTATAATTTATTTTTTATTTTTATTATAAAATTAGGTACAAAAAATATAAAAAATAAATAATTTTTTTAGTTTTACATATAATTTGACAATAATATATATATATATATATATATATATATATATATATATATATATATATATATTACTCTTATTGTTTAAAATTTATTTTTTCAATTATTTGTTTCTTATTAAAATTATCATCAAATTAATTTTTAAATTTTTTGATATAATTTTATTTGTTAATAAATTTAAATTTTTTTTTATATATGAATTTTGAATTAAAATTTTAGAACCCATATGCAGATGCGAATTAGTTTAGCTCATAAAGTCACTTGATAATGGACCGAGAAACCTAAAATAAAATGGCACCCATGCATGACATGAGAGTGGAAGGAAGAAATACCACCTTGCATCATCCAGCTACTGGAGCAAAAAAATGATAACTAACAGAACGGATTTATTTACATCAGCCATATGCAGTCATATCAGGTGAATCAGCAGCCTAGTAGTTGCAAAAAGGACCTGATTTAATGTCCCAACAACGCCAAAATCTGATCCACCTAACATATACATGCTGCCGCACGACAGAAATAGTGCCTTGTTATCGAATCAGTGGAGCTCTGGCTTTCTACATATACGTTCCATCTATTCTGCAAGGAGACCACCAAGAGAAGCATTACAAATTCATTAATTGCCATTGTCAAATGCCATAATCAACAACATACAGCAACTAAAGAAAAGGGCGAATGTTTGTGTCAATTAACTAGTGCAATTTCATCTGACAACAGTTGAAAATGGCATAAACTTTTAATTGACACAGGGCTCTGCGTGAGATTTTCTAGAGAGAGGGGGGGGGGGGGGGGGGGGAGGGAAGGGTTCAAAATTTGGCAATGGTTTTCATTTGCTCTTACTGTTTTCCCAACTACTCTATTGGAAAAACTAACATGTTTAAGGACATGCAAGTGTACAGCTCACTGAAGCTATGACTGGAGGTAGGCAAGGAAGCGAGTCCAACACAAACAGAATTTGCCAAAAGGAAGTGAGACCAAACTCATTATCCAATGTAATAGACAATCTCAGAGAGCACAGGCCCTCCCCTTTGACTTCTGATGATCGACTGAATTTGAGTTCATTTAGGGGCTTGCATCTAACAGAACGGCTTTGTTTTGTTCTGTTTCTTTTTTTTTTTTTTTTTTGGAAGAAGGAAAAAACAGAATTCATGAGCGAGGACTGAAAATTTACATAAGGACCAATATATTCACATAAACTAAAGGATAGTTGGAAGGCACAATGTTTATGTGTTGGAATTACTTACCCAAAACAAGCAATTTTTTTAGTTTCCCTTCTCTCTCAAAAGTGTCAAGAAGAACCAATAAACTGAGACAGTGTCAGTATGGTTCATTTAGACTTCAAAGTAGCCCTAAGTTTTCTCAACTCTTGCTCTTGTTGCTGGAAAAAGAATCAACATGCCCAATTCAACAGAGAAAACAAAAATCAATACAAAACAGAAATAAAAATTATGCATTCTTGCTGACATTAAAAACTTGAGAGATTATTAAATACAGATCAATAGTTGAGTTAATTATAGAGACCTGGCGTAGTTTTCTCAAAGCTTGATCTGATCTTTCTTGTAGTAGGCACCATTCCATTGCCATATCATACTCAAGTGTATTCGGCTGAGAACAATGTGAAGTAGATACTGCTTCTTTCTGTGCAGAAAGCATCTCTTAATCACAACAGTAGGAAAAAAATGGTGGGAGGGGGTGCAACACAGCAAAAGTTTATACACTTGAGTATTGCCTATTGCCTGCAGTGTATGCAAGCATGCTTAGACAAGGAATAAGATTTACCATCTCACGCTGCATGTGGATTCTAAGTTTATTGATAACAAGATGACCAAAAAGGTTGACTGCTTTCTTGGGAAACAAGAAGCAGCAGCAATACTGCCAACCAGAGGCCTGCAAATATGAAAATGAATAGAAAGATAAGCAAGTGGGAACCTGAAAAGTATGAACTGTAAAATAACAAGAACGCTAAAAGTTCACAGAGCAGATATAAAAAATAAAAAAACAGACCTAATGCATTACAAATTGAAGATGCTAGCCATAACTGTCAAATTAAGTGCTTTACAGATCCAGAAGGCTAGGGCAAGCATTCCATGCATACAGAAACAACTAAAAAAAAAAACTAGGGCACTTCAATGCAAACAAATATAAGCTAACATTGCCATCTTAACCAATGGGGAATACTGCAAACCAAGCAGCAGCATTGTTGCAGTATAATGCCATACCACAAAACAAGGTTAGCCAGGCAAAAGGTGCTACAATCTCAACATGAGAAAGGGAAAACAATAGAAGACTAGGGAAAGTATGGATGCCACAAGGGAGATACTCTATTGTCCCAAGTACTAACATGTAAAATAGATAGTATGGAGCTTGACTTAATAATTTTTCAGTTGAGAGGGACAATAATATTGATAAAACTGGCAAGGCTTTGGCTGGAATTTCTACTGGTCAAGTAGAACTGCTGAGCAGGAAATATTTAATTGATGAGCACCAGTGCCGAAATAGGGTGCAACCATACCTCCCATTTGTTAGCATTAAACAACCTTCGTCTAATTTTGCAACTGTCATCTCTGCTACTTCCCTTTTTTGGAATATAACAAAAGCCTGACCTGTAGCATAAACAACTGACAAAATCAAAATCCAGTAATTAGGTAATCCTTTTTACGACAGAATGGGGCATGTTCAAAACCACCCCCAACACACGTGCAGAAATACAAAACAAAACTGAGTTTGCTTAACAAATTCATGACATTTTTAACAACTAACAAAACCAAAATCCAGTAATTGGTAATTCTTTTTACAACAGCATGGGGCATGTACAAAACCACCCCCAACACACGCACAGAAACACAAAACAAAACTGTGTTTGCTTAACAAATTCATGATATTTAACTAGTGATTGGCCACTTTCATTTGTACCATAGTAACGGCTGGAAAGTGCAGTCCTTTGAATCATCTTTGCAGTGCAACTTTGCTTGAATGCATGCCAAATGATATCCTGATCCACAGCAATTAAATTAAGAACCTCAAGGCATTCTTAAAGAACAGCAACCACCACTTGGAACATGTAAGAAAATAAGGATAGCAAGCACGTACTGTAGGATAACTGCACAGTAAGTGTTTTACTGCAATGCAGTTGTGATGCAAAGCACAAAACAATGGAGGAGCATAAAACTAGGAAAGAAAATGTATTCTTGAATTAGAATCACCTCTACTACTGCTGAGGTATAAGACGGATCCAGATTCTGTAGCAGGACAACAGTTCCTTGCTCAAGAGCAGTTTGCATTCTTTCTTCCCATGGCTGGTAGGAATATACAAGGCAATTCGAAGATTAGTCTACGGGTTCCATTTTGACTTGTTTTAATGACATCAACATTCTATGACAGCGCCTAGCTTAAAAATCACTCTTTGTTTTTTTGATGGGCCTTTGGCCTAACTAGTCCACCCCTGGGGCTGGAGCCTCCCTATACAGGACATCCAGGCTGAACAAGTGGTCAAAATCAGATTTTGTGACCAACGGGCATTGAATCCTACATCTTTAAGGGGTATCAGCAAATGCTGGTTAAATCGTGTTCTTTTATTGGTCCTTGGAGAGAGTTTTTTGAAAGCAAAATGTCAACAATAGATATGTAGTTAATTGAGATCATTAAAATCACTTAAAATCAAGAGCTGCAACAAAATTGAGAAAGAATACTCACAAGTCCCCTAAACCACTTGCTTCTGTCCTGTCAACATATCAATAACAAAGATGTAAGTATTAAATCTCATTTTCACCAGAAGTTTCGCATCAAGAACAACAAAACAAGCACTATAGCAGATCAATGAGCACAATTAAAAGCAGGGAATATAAGACATCAATGAGCCGAAAATGAAGGAATTACAGGAAATTGATGAGGCTTGAGCACATCAATCCTTTTGCAACAATCTAAATCACAAACATATATAGGGTATATTTTGTCTACAATCCACACTATTTTTTTTCTATGACATCACCACAGTAGTCTGTTACACTAAGTAAAATTCTAAATGGCAAGTGCATTAATACAGTCTAGGGAACAGTTGTTCAGCTTCTTTTTTTCTGTAACTGTATTACTTAAGAAATTTTATTGTTGTTTAGGAAGTTTGCTATTCAGTGTATTCACTTAAATGCTATTTCCAGAGGAAAGTTTTCCCACTCTTTAGAACTGTCATAGGGTTTGGCACCTAGCTAAAACCTTAAGCTGTATTTTAAGGACACCTATTCATGATAAGGAATTGAGGACTTCAGAGGGGTGCATTTCTGTATTTTGAAGACAATTCCTCAAGTTCAAGGCGTAGATTCCTGTTGTTCATCTTCGGTCTTTCCACTGTTCATCATTAGTACTCTTACCCCCTCTTATCCTTCCAGCTCTTCACTTGCGTATTGTTTTACTTAATAGAAGTATCGTTGCTAAGTAAATGGTAGTACAGCATTAAAGCTATTCAACAAAAGACCTTAATAAATAAAGGAAAAAGGCAGCCTCCTGGCAATGCAACTTACAGCTTCTGGCCTTCGAGTGACTTCCTGTATTTGATAGTTAGTTTTACTGCCCTCCTTCAAAGGCTGTCTTAAAGATGCTTCAGGAAACATGCCATTAGCAAGTCTGGCAAGCTTCTCATCAGGCTTTGGCTCCTTGGAAAGGCCATTGTTGATCTCATGGGGATCTTTAGTGAGTTTAGGTTTTGATTTATCTTCAAAAGCATGGGTTGTTTGGGCTACAGCCTTGGAATCATGTCTTAATTTCTGCACACTTTTCACCTTGTTATCATAAGATGCTTTTGTCAAATCATCAAGCTTCGCTTTCTTTGATGGCCGGTCATCCAAGTCACCAGAGTCTTTAGCAACTTTTACTTTCTCTTCAATTAGAACCTGATTAAATAAGACTTTATCAACTTTACTTTCACTACTGCCAACATCATCTTTAGACCTTGAAGTGATGTTGTCACTCGGCATGGTTTCCTTTTTATCATCTTTGGTCCTTTCCCCTAACCCTGAATTACATGCAGAATTTTCTCCCAGTGAAGATTCCTGGTTGACCAATGAAGGTTTTACATCTGAAATTCGCTTAGCTTTAGAACTTGAGCTTGCCATCTCGCCAGAATTATCTACCTGTCGATCATTTATTTTAGTGACTTCATCAAACTTTACATCTGAACTAGAAGTAGCCTTCTCTCCAAGAGAAGGTTCTTTCCTGGCCAAACTCCGAGTGCCATCAGTAGCCACAACATTTTCACTGACTTCTTTCTTGTTCATATCAAGTTTTGGAACACCACTGGTATTCTGATTATCCACTCTGTTCAATAAGAACTTTGCTGCAACAATTGAAGACACAGCAAACATGCATGAATTTAGTGAGCATTAATCAACTGGTTAGATAAAAGTACAGGAGTATTCAAGGCAAAAAAACACATACCTTCAATCCCAACAATTTTCTCATCTATCTTATCCAAGATCCTACAGTTCCCAACATCAAATGTACGACAAAATACAAAGTCAGCCTCTTGAAGTTCTTTATCTGTTGGTTGTGGATTTCTATTATCCTTTGAACTGCATACCACATTGCATTTTCCAGCAATTGCTTCCTGATTTGATGCATTTGAAATTAAGCTGACTAGAACTAGCACCTTAAAAGCACCAACTATGTTTCCAATTCAAAAAATGCGAAGAAGATGAAGTCCAGTAGTTAGATTTCTAAATTTCTGTAAAAAAAAACACATACAGATGACAGGCAAATTGATGTTTTGAGGTACTAAGAAATCACACCGTCTCATTTCTGTTTGAAAGTATTACGGTTTAAATGTATAATTGTTCGTGGACAACCTATTATACCAGAAGGACCTTTCGAAGATTTAACTACAAATCAAGAATAAAATGGACAGTAATTGGAAGTGTAAGGAAATATTGAAAACAATACAAAAATTTTAAGAATGCAATATGTTATTTTCCTTGACAAGGCCCAAAGAACCCTAAGAAATATAATCCAAAGAAAAAATGGAGGACTGCTATACGTCCAACATAATTAAAGAAACATAAAGTTAAAAAAAAAAAAAACTCATTGTGCATTTTCTCCCTCATCCTCATGTAGAGAAAAGGCAAGGCCTCTCAAAGATCTCGTCCAAAGTTTTTCAAGCGTCCAATACAAATAGCATAACTGTATGCATGTCATGTTATATTGACACTGATACCACCACCAAGGTAAATAATGAGTCCGAGCAACAAAGGGCACCAAACATTAAAAGAAAATTAATGTGCCATGGCTGCTAATTTTGATATCTTATGGCACCCTATTTTTCTCTTTTCACAAATATATGCCCTTCTAGTTTTCTCTTTTTTCCCCATTAAACCCTTTCACCTTAATTTAGCACTTATGACGTTACTAGATGAGTATGATGTAATGGAAGTTCCCCATGTACAACTTCAACATGCAGCATATATGTATGTGTTTGTTCAAATGTATGAAACATAACATTATTCAGGTTGCAAAATTTATACTAGGCTTCCCCACTCCCCCAGCCAAACCTATATACCATCCAGACCAATGTCATTATAGTCATATAGTAAGTCACTACCAAAGAAAAGCCAAAAGTTATATTAAAGAAAGCCATAATATGAAATGATTACCAAATCATTAACATTTGCGTTGCCTACACCATCACCAGATGCCAAAAACAATTCATTCTCAGTAGTCTTCTCATCTCCAAGATAATTGAAAATCTCACAAGGACGGAAAAACCATAGAACCTTCACTTTCTTTTCCTTTTCAGCGTTCTCCCATATCTTAATGAGCTTACCAATATAAGGCTCTGTCTCGCCTTCCTTGTACATATAAACGGAATCATAAAGAGTATACTCCACACCATCATAGCAGAAAGATTCATAAAATTGTACATCTTTCTTTTTCCCACCAATTCCTCTCTTTTTACCCCACTTGAATTCGATGCTCTCAACTTTTGTTGCTTCTACCATACTCAAATAACAGGATATTCCAAATTGTTGTATTCAGTAAAACATGAAGAACCAAGCTGGAAAAAACACAGAAAAGGGGAAAAACATTTCAAAAATAAGCAAGAAAGCTAAAGCCACATCAAAAGATAGCTAAAGTATTTTAAACGCAGAGTTGTGAGTACAATTGGAAGTAAAAACACTTATTTCCAAACCAACACATGATTTGCTAAGATAGATCCAGTAAATAGCTTGTCCTTAATGTAAATACTAATCAAGTGACATCAAAAAACATACACACAATGTATTCTTCAAGGTTCCAGCTCTAAAGAACATCAAATCTAACACTTTCTGTTGGAAACACATTAGCACTCCCATTCCACAGTTAATTTATTCATCAATATTAATCATGCCTGGTTAGTTAGCCCCACAATCGTGCATAAATTTGTCAGTTAGCTAATCTAACTAAAACTCTAAGCATTTCCAAGACATGAAAAACTTGCACAAAGATCATAAGACATAATCAAACTATGCCGAGAAATAACATTTCACTTTGAACTATATGCTATCAGCAACTTAACTATCTACTTCCATTCATTAATGCTGCAGCCCCTCCCAGCTATTTTCAAAAATCAATTTTAGGGTTTCCCCCTTTATGGTGAAAAGAAATGCTGCTATGGTATAACAACAGCGACATTGCAAAATATCTAGTGTTTTGTTAATTTTTCACGTTATTAAGACAAAAACTTAACCATAGAAACCCTAATTTCATAATGGCATACTAAGCCGCAGTAATTCTATACTTTTATGTACAATTAAACAAAATTGGCACCAAAACAAAAAGAAAAAAATATGCAATTTTAACAGAAAATAAAATCACAACAACTCCTCCCATAGAAAATAGAATAAAATAAAAATCGTCGCTTAAATTCAAATAAAACAAAATAATATCGACAAAATCGAACTAGAAAACCTACTGTGTACTTTTCTAGAGCCTCGGATTACGTGACCATCGAAAGATTTTCAAAAGGAAAGGGAATCTGAGTCCAATTGTGTATTATATATTCTCAGGGAAAGCAAACGGTGCCGCTTAGCACAGGAAGTAATGCGTCTTCTCGCTGAGGAGCAAAGTGATGGTGACAAATCAAACAAGTAATTTGCCGGGGTATAATTTAAAAGAAGAAGAAGAGGGGGAAGAGAGAGTGAGAGGGGTTTAGTTTCTATTGTCAAAACCCTAGCGAAAGCGCGCTCAATTTCTTTTTGCGTTTTTCTCTGTTTATTTATTTTTTTCTTTTTTAATTCTGATTTGATTTGATTTGATTTTGATTTGATGCAGGCTACAGAACATATGGATAATAGGGGAACTGAACCGGCTACTGCCTAGTGCCTAGCGGCCTAGCCTACTAATTGAAAAACACTACATGATCTATATTTTAGTCCCTATATATTTGATAACATTTCACTTACATTCTTACGCTTTGAATTTTTTATATTTGGTAATGTTTCACTTAGATTCCTATGATTTAAAACTTTTCCATATTGACACTATAGCTTCCAAAAAGTTTCTATTCATGATTCTTGATTGTTTTCAAGAATCAAACTAGCGTCCGAAGAGTTTGTCCGTCTTATCACATTTTAAAATTTCCAGTAACCAACTATCGTTCGTTATCAAGAGGTCAAACTATTAGTTATTTTTCATACCATATTCTTAATTAAATTTTATTTTAATTCAGTCACTCTCTTCTTCTTTTGTTTTAAATACTCCATAAGTTATCCAAACAAGAAACAAAATAAAAAACAAAAAATAAAAAATTCCAAACAATGACGTGGTGTTACATTTTTTCATCTAATTTGTCACTTTTTTTTCAAATCGTTTTAAATATAATAAGCCTTTAGCATTTATTATTTTCTTAACTCAATAGATTATGTTTTTGTGTTTTTAAGAATTTTTGTTAAATGTTATCGCATGCTAAATTGAGAGTGTAGTTTTCCTATGTGTTTGGAATGAAATAATAGGTATTAAAAAAAAAAAAAAAAAAAGAGGAATTGTTCAAATTGTACCGGAATTCAAGTGAGGAAAATGCATTACAAACGATACAATAGCTTCTCATGAAAAAAAAAATAATAATCACATAATATTTTTTGCTCACAACAATAAAGTCATTGGTTGAGATATAAACATGAAATCTCACACCAATAAAAGTAAAATCAAAATTGTATAATAGTTATTGTTATTAGCACATAAAAAAATATAATTAAATAATAAAAATCACATAATAAATAAATAAATTCATTGTTAACTAAGACGGATAAAGAATTAGAATTCTTTACCTTAATCATTACAAAAATAAGGGATTTTAATTATTTCACTGTACTTTCACAATACATAAATGATTAAATAATCAAAATCATCATAATTGAATAAGTTTAAAATGATTAAGGCATAAATCATATTGTCTTTTTAAAATGATACATTTATTTTGTAAAATTTATTTAATACAACAGATCAATCATATATTAATAAAAAAATAATGTTTATTTTGCTGACATCTTAATTGGTTATATATATTTAGCAAAATTTTGATTTGTTTGAAATTAATTTATAAATATCAATTAGTCATGTGAAAAAATTCATTTTACTGCTTTATTTTTCTCTTATATCCTGACCATATTTTGTTCGGAGGAATTTTCAATCCTGTATGATAACAGTGCCGAATCAACTCCAACAAATCAAAACAAAGTCAATCCTCCAAGATTGTTTCTCCCGTTGAAGACAGTAAATGATTTCCTAAATCATGGGAACTAGGTCAATGCTCCAAGATCTTTTCTCTTGCTGGAAACAATAAATAATTTTCTAATTTTTTTGTGTGCATAAAGCCCCATAAATCGACTATCACTTCACTTGAATCATGACTAGATTAATTTTCTATTTCTTGTAGACTGTCGTTATTATAAATCTCTATAAGTCAGCTGTCACATCATTAGAATTGTGGCTAGATTATAATGACAATACAATTGTAAAGTCTGCATAAACTTCATAATATACAAGATTTGCATGGCACTTTATTTTATTAAAGATAGAGATAATTATGGGAGCAATAATGGTGGTGGTGGTGGTGGTGGTGAGGTAGAAAGAGGATAAAAAAAGACAATAGCAATGAAATTGTAATAATAATAATAATAATATATTTTAAAAAAATTGATATAATCATCATAAAAGGTGACAATGGAAGAAGAATGTTAGAGGCGGTAATTATGATGGTGAGAGAGGAATGGTGATAGAATAATAATAATAATAATTTTTTTTATCACCATTGCTAATGAAAATGGTGGTTGTAGTTGCGGTAGTGGTAAAAACGATAAATAAAAATAATATATCATTATTTTGAAAAAAATAATTTTGTTTTTTAATTTTTATTTTTATATTTCACACAAGAGTGAAGTTTGATGTAATTTTTATTTTTATTTTCACTATTTATTCACATTTTTATTTTATTTTTTTTAACGAACGAGTTATAGGATGGGAATAAAACTTTTATTCTTATTCTCACCACTTAATTCACGACAACCAAACAACATCTAAAAATAAAAAATAAAAAATTGTTTCTCATGTCAATCCCATGTTCGTGTGATTGTATTGCTCATGAAAAACTATCACTATCATGTGATTAATGAGATACCAAATATATATACACACACACTTCACATGTATGTTTATGAGGTAATTTACATGACCAAAATATTAATGCTCGATGTTTTATGTAACTTATAGTGATGTATCAAATATTAATATGATAAAAAATAATGATATCGTTAAAAGTTCATATTTGTGATATTAATTATATGGTTGATTTATTTATATAAATTTTATTATTCGTACAAATAAAAATAAATTAATAATTGATTTATAAATTTATTTATATTGGCCAATGATAATTAACATTAAAATTATTTGTTATTTTGTAAAGTCATGTTATTGAGATAAATAAAAAGTTAGACGATATATCCAATAGTTTTTAGGATACATTGACCATATTGGATGCAACACCAAAAAGGCTTGGCTTTTTATAAAATGCATTCATTGATTTTATGAAAGAGCGAGAACCAAATTATGGGAAATACCTAATTTATTTAGTCTTTGGTTATATTCGTACTTCATTAATTTACTTTTGTTAAAATATATATCGAGAAACTTTTCTAAGCTACTCCAATGGCTTATGTTATGTAATTTATTAGCGATGCTTTATTTTAAAACTTGTGGATTCAAGAATTAATAAGTTCTCGATGAAGTTATAAAAATATCTTATAATATAAGCATTTAGAAATATTTTGTGAATGAAATTTAAAGAGACATGAAGGATCTTGTTTTTAATAAAGACGTAGTGAAATTTATTATGTGAATAGTGTGGTCATAAAAGACATTGCATTAATATTTAGTTTGAGAAAATATTATGAATTTCAAGACAAATTATCATAATTATCTCATGATGTTGTTTATATTTTTTGTCATGTGAATTTTTAACGTGATGCTTGTGCAAATATTTATGAAAATAGTCATATTATACAAAACGTATAACGATGTTTGTGACAATATTTAATAAATATATTAATGAGAGAATTGATGGGGTTGTTACACTCTTATTATACAATAAAAATACGAGTGGTGTTTTGATAACACCATAAAATAAGATAATTAGTAATAACTAAACAAATTTAAATCTATAACTAAATATTGGCATTTCTATTGTATAGATGAGATAAAATGATAAAAAATTTGTATAAAAAATTAGAGATTGAAAAAGGATTTGCCCCATATTTGGTCCATGTAGTCTTTATTTTGTTTGTTTTTTTTTTTTTATTGAGACCCTCTATTTTTTTTTAACTTGAATGAAACCCTTTACTTTTAGATATTTGTTGATTCATACCATCCATTATAACTCCGTCGACTTTTCATCCGACGTGATACATTACCTTTAAAGATAACTAATCATTAAGTGACATGTGGCTAAATGGGATACGGTATTTTCATCTCAATTTAAAAATAACTAAAAACAAATTTTAATAATAATTTAACATAAAAAAACAAAAGTGAAGAGATTAAAACCCCCATCATCATCATCATCAACGGTATCCTCTCTCTCCTAAGATAACAATACTCTTTTATTTATAAAGAAATCGTTATAGTTGCATTTGTCTTTGCTATTTAATCTTTAATTTTTTTTTCTATTAGTAAATACAAAAAGGTGGCTAAATTGAAAAAAGAGAAAAGACTAACCCATATCGAGGGGTGAGATCCCGATCATAAAGACATTGACATCCCTCATATCCATATTACATTTCCACGACCTTTATATATGGCATTTGTGGATGATGTTGATCTTGATTTTTTTTCAATGACATGACAATCAATACCTAAGGCAATAGTAACTAAGGATAATGATTAGCGTGTATCATTAACACCATCATCGAGTAGATTTGATGTGGCGACTCTTTCATGATTCAACATCAATACAATAAAAGAAGCTTTTGACATCGACAAGATTGTTTGGAAATGTACCAAAAGCGAGGACCTTACCAACTAGTTTGAAGAGGAAGTGTCGACCATCTATAAGGGCAAGTAAATCTCTTTTTATTATGTTTTTCTTTGATCTTTCATTTGAATTCGGCTCGAATCCTAGAAAGAAACTTTTTATGTACAGACCTTGTCTTGTTCATATATCATATTAATATATCAAATTATATAAAATTTCTTTTTAAAATCATATTACTTGTACTCTTTTTCTCCTCACTTTATTTGCACTTTTGTTTTTGGTTTAGGAACATTCATTATGATCACCACTTTAAAAATAAAAATGATCGCACTAAAAATTATTAGCTTAAATTTAATAAAACTTTAATTGCAATGGATAAAGAAAAGTGAGGAGAGGATGATATAAAAAAATAAAATAAAGCTGAAAGAATTATCGAAATAATCTATCAAACCATATAAAGAAGAATTAAAATTATAAATATAGGGACTAATGAGAATAGACAAGAGCTAAAAGTTAGGACCTCAATGGAGGACACCGAAAAGGAAAGTTTGATTTCACTATTGAGATAATCCTATAATGTATTTACTTGGACATATGCCGACGTGCTAGGGTTAGATACCATAATAGTGGAACATAGATAGTCTTTGAACCCGGAGTGTAAGTCGATAAAATAGAAGTTGAGACGGACAAGGTCGGATGTTTTACTTAAAGTGAAAGAAAAGATTAAGAAGCGAGTTAGATACGGGATTCTTAAAAATGATTGAATGCCCTCGGTAGGTGTCGAACATAATCGTAGTGGGTAATAAAGATGAAAAGATCGGAATGTATATGGACTATCAAGATTTGAATAAAGTTAGTCCGAAAGATGACTCTCATTATCGTATATAGATGTCCTAGTCAATAATGCCGCAAAGAATGTCACTTATTTATTTATGGATAGATTTGCATGATACAAGTAGATTAAGATGGCAAGGAGAAGACAATGTTTATCAAGCCTTGGAGAACTTTCTTCTAAAAATTCATGCCTTTTGGATTGAAAAATGTTAGGGCCACTTACCAAAAAGTCATGGTTACCTTATTTTACAACATAATGCATAAAGAAGTTGAGGTGTATGTGGATCATATGATTGCAAAATCCAAGAAAGATAAAGATATTTGTTTAATCATGAGAATGTTATTTGAGAGACTAAAGAAATACCGATCGAGGTTAAATCTCACGAAAAGCACTTTTAATGCAAAGTCTAAGAAATTGCTTGGGTTCATAGTGAGCAATAAAGGAATTGAAGTTGACCCTAAAAAAGTCGAGCCACTCAAAGTAAGTCTTCATCATCGTTCGAGAAAGTCGAAGCTTTACGGGTCGTTTAAATTATATTACCCGCTTTATCTCTCAGTCGACCAACACTTATGAGTCTATATTTTGACTATTGTAAAAGAAAAATCCCGAGTGTATGGGATGAAGACTATTAAGAAGCCTTTGATCGGATCAAATGATATTTATAAAATCCATCAATATTTATATCATAAAGACCTTTGATTTTGTATTTATCGACAATATAAATGGTAGTGAGAAGTGTTTTGGGTCAAAATGATAAGTCGAGAAAGAAAGAATAAACCATGTGTTATTTTAGTAAGAAGTTCATTGATTGTAAGCCGAGATACAATGCACTATAAAAATTATATTGCCCTCACAAGCTTTTGCGGTAACACCTTGCAATCTCACCGGGGCACCCTCGCACACGAGCCTCGCCAAGCTAATAGCCTCGCACACATGCATTAATGGTGTATCTCCTCACCCGACCCCTAGTAAGCCCTCACAACAATGCCTCACAACCTCACCGGGCCATCAATTTCATATACGTCCAGCCCTCGCAACGGCCTCATAAACACCCATGCTAATGCCTTGTAAGCGATCAATGCCCCACAAGTGACCAACCCCGGCAGGATATAGCCACCTCGTGCACTAGTGTCGGGCATCCCTCGCATGTTAGCTCACAATAGCCCAACAACATCCCTCAATAGGCCAGGACCCCGTAAGCTAGTAGTATAGCTCCTCGCAATCCAAACCTCATGCACACTCATAGCCAATAGTTCTCATATGCACCTACGGCCAATGGTTATTACGAGCACCTCGCCAAGTAACCTTAAACCGAGTAGTAGGTAGTCTTTTGCTTCATCCGAAACCAAACAACCAAGCGAGTCACTTCCTTTAAAAAATTATTTTTTAATTGATTATGTTTGATAAGAATAACATGATGTTATAGGCTATATTTTATTGATTTTTAATAGAAAAAACATAATAGTAACTTTGTTTCCAAGCTCCCTCGAGTCATAGCAATTTTGACAACTTTCGGAGAAGTTAGAGATTGTTATTGTAAAATTTATAGCAATTTTAAATTTATCACAACTTTGGTAAATTTATAATAACTTTGACAACGAGTAATAACTTTAACTACTTGCACCAATTTTGGAGACCTTCGAGTCACTTTAGAAAAGCCCATATAAAGTTTTGATAATGGACAACTACTCTCTTTTTCCAACTAATTGAGTAATTAGTTATCATTGGGAATGAAAAAAAGTAGAATTGACCCTCAAATCGGACACTTAAACTACAAAATGTTTTGGATAAAACTTCTATAATGATTGTACTTCTTCAAAATATGAACAAAATTATAGCATTTCATTGTTATATTTATGGTTTAGATATTTTTTTGAGATAAATGTTGCTGTAATTGTTATTATAAATGAATAACCCTATTTAAGTACTTGTAATTTTAATGTGAGTTATTTTACTTGTTTTTTATTTGTTTGCTTAAAATGAAGTCGTCAATGGCTTTTCGGTTATATATATAGAGCTACCAATAGCTTTGGAGTTATTTTATTTGCTTAAAAAGAAATCATTAGTGGCTTTTTACTTATATGGATGGAGCCGCCGGTGGCTTCGCAGTCATTCTATCTACTTTTTATTTGCTCGAAATGAAACCACCGAGTGGCTTATAACCGATGTGATGAACCTACCAATGACTTCGCAGTCATTTTATTTGTTTTCTATTTACTCAAAATGAAGCCTCCAATGGCTTCCTACTTGTGTGGATGGAGCCACTTAGTGGCTCTCAAGTCAATTTTACTTAATTTTAAATTATCAAAATAAATTTATCGGTAACTTTCACTTATATGATAAAACCGTAAGTGGTTTTAAAACTATTATATTTGTTGTCTCTTTGTTTAAAATGAAGCCATCGATGGCTTTTCATTTATGTGATGAAGCCTCTAGTGGTTTTGAAATTATTTTATTTTATTATCTACTTATCCGAACGAAGTGGTCGGTGGCTTTCTATTTGTGTGACAAAGCCATCGGTAGTTTTAAAGTTATTTTATTTTGTTGTCTCGCTTGTCCGAAATAAGCTATTGATGACTTTCTAGTTGTGTGATGAAGTTGTTAGTAACTTCTAAACCGGTTATATGCTATTTGCTTGAGCCAAATAAGGTAGTCGATAACTTTTCACTTATGTGACGAATTTGTGAGTAGCTTCCTAAATTCATGACTTAAAATCGTTGATGACTTCGGCTTGTGTGAGTGAAGTCATCGATGACTCGTCGCTTATGCTAATAAAAGATTATCCATCTTTAGAAACTTATCTACTCATCGGTAATAGGTCGTGTTCACCAAAGACTAGCTGAAATCCCAAATTCCCCTACTTTTCTCCTTTTATTGAGGATATTGGCCTTAGATCGGCCTCGAACTTTCAAACTACTTTATTTTATATCCAAACCCCCAAACTATTCTATTTTTATATATTAATAAAATGATCTCATTTAAATAGGCATATAAGCATAATACAATAAAAAACTAGATTTTTATTTTCACATACAAATAATACAACTTAGTTTAGATAGGAATGGATGATGATGATATTATATTTTTCCCATATATAACTGATCCTTATCCAAATATCTATATAAATATGTATTTTTAGGATTTCTCAATTCTTCTCGATGAGCTAGGTGGCAACTCTTTGTTCAACCGTGATACCATATTCCCCTCATGGGCCCACGTTAACAAATACAAATAAGAATAATAATTAAAAAAATATTTTCATAGATTGTGATGATGGTAAAAATAATAGAAGTGATCGTGACGAGTGATAGTGATGGTGGTGGATTAGGAGGATGATAGAAAAAATGTGATATTAATAATAGTAATATAAATAAAATATTTTTTTTAAAAATACCATAACCATAAAAGTTGGCGGAGAAAAAAAAACGGTGATGATGATATAATAAGATACTGTTTGATAATCGGGAATAGAGTGATAGAAACGAGAATGCGGGAATTGGGATGAAAATTAAGGAATCGAAATAACATTTATATTTTCATACTCGTGTTTGGAATACTAATGAGGAATCATAATGCGATTTAAATTTTTTAATATATGGTTTTTTATGCAAATAAAAATAATGATCAAAATTTTTTTTATCAAACTATAATGGTTGTAAAACTAATAAAGGTGATGGTGGTGGTGGTGGTGGTTGTGACGAGTGGTGGCGGCGGCAATGGTGGTTGCGGTAGTGGTGGTTACGGTTGTAGTGATGGTGATAGTGGTAGTGATGATGGTGGTTGCGGTGGTAAAAATAGTTAATAGACAATAAATAAATAAAATATATTATTATTTTGAAAAAAAATCTCATTCTCATTCCTTGTTTTTATTCCCACATCTTATATGGGAATGAAGTCGTGTATAAATTTTTATTTCCATTCCCACTTCATTTTTTTTAACCAAACAACTACAATGTGGAAATAAAACTTTTATTTTCATTCCCACCACTCGTATTCATGATTACCAAACAACACCCAAAAGCGATATCGGTGGTAGAGAAAGGGTGATTATGGAATAATAATATTATTATTTTCTATCACCATCGTCAATTGTGGTTCTAGTGGTGGCGGCGACGGTAATGGTGATTGTTGCGGTTGTGTTGATGATGGTGGTTGTGATAATGATGACGATGGTGGTGTTTGTGATAATGATGACGATGGTGGTGGCGATGGTTGCGATGGTGGTGGCGGTTGTAGTGATAAAAGTAGTTAATAGATAATAAATAAATAAAATATATTATTATTTTGAAAAAAACCTCATTCTTATTCCTTATTTTTATTCCCACGTCTTATGTGGGAATGAAGTTGTGTAAATTTTCATTCTCATTCGTACTCTTCATTCTCATTCTCACTTCATTCCTTTTAATCAAACAACTACAATGTGAGAATAAAACTTTTATTTTTCCACTTCATTCATTTTAATCAAACGAGCTACAATATGAGAATAAAACTTTCATTTTCACGTTCACCACTATATTTCGATTATCAAACAACACCTAAAAGTGATAATAGTGGTAGAGAAAGGGTAATTATGGAATAATAATAATATTTTTTTCTATCACCACCGTCAATGGTGGTGATGGTAGTGGTATAAAAGTAATGGTGATAGTTGAAGAAGAATAATGATGAAATAACAACAACAACAATAATAATGGTTTTTTTGAAAATTTTATTTTATCACCATCACCAATAGAAGTAGTGACAAACTAAATAATAATAATAATTTTTTTTATTACCATGTCAATTAAGGCGATGACGATGGTGATTGTTGTGGGAAATAGTTGATACAAGTAAATAAAAATAATATATTATTATTTTTTAAAAAAAATTCAAATTTCTTATTTTTATTCTCACCTTGCACATGAGAATGAAATTATGTTTAATTTTTATTTTCTTTTCCACTTCATTAATTTTAACTAAATAACTACAATATGAAAATAAAACTTTCATTCTCATTTTCATTACTATATTTATGATAACCAAACAATATCCTAGTACTAACATATCAAATTAAGTTTTACAAGAGGTATCACTTACCATTGAGTCAAAAACAAAAACAAAACAATTTTTTTTTTACGAGGAATCGGACTAAATTTAAGAACAATATATATATATATATATATATATATATTAACAACTCAATTATATATCTTTACGTAATAGAATAAAAACATTTTTTTCCTACTAACCATATTGCATGCCTTCAATTTGATGTTTAAATAACAAAAATGGATGAAAAAATGGTACTCCAATTATGCTTAATTAAAGTAGACAATTTTTTACCGCAAAAATAGATCGCAAGACTAAAATTAAAAACCCCAAAACATCAAGAAATATAATTTTTTTAATATATAAACTAGTTATTTTGTTCAACGAGCATTTCAATGCAATATAATAATAAATAAATAAATAACAAGCATTCTAACATTAATTCTCATCGAGTACCTTGTTTATTGATTTTTAATCAATTGAAGGTTCGACTTTAATTTCTTTTTATTATTTTTGGAATTTTTTTACTTTTTGATGCATAACTCAATACATGAAAAAAGTTCAAATTATGAATTTTTTTTTTGAGTAAAAAAATCAAAATTATCCGTAATCATGGATTGTTATGGTTATTTTAAGGCATTATAATCAAAATGCTTTCGAGTTTACAAAATAAGAAGATAATGTTTATGATACAATAAGTATAAATACCTTTTAGTTCGTAATCATTTAAAAATAGTTTATTTACAATTTAAATAGTATTTTTTTTCTTATTGTAGGTAACAAGAAACTATCATGATTACAAAACAACAAGCTCAATTATGAAACATAAGATAAAATTTTAAGACGTGCTTGCATAAATCTATTCAACGAGTTCGTAATCATTTTTTCAAATATAACAATTTTATTATATTAAGATTGAGGAATAAAATCTTTAGATCACAAGCCAATCAAGATATACAAAATTATCTATAAAGAGAATGAAACAAGCTTACACGCCATGATAAGGGCACCAAAAAAACATCAATAAAAACTTTACATAGAAACTAAAAATTCAGAATCTAAATTTAAAAATTTAAAAACTATTATACAAATGAGTAGACATCTAAAACACTATTTGTCACGGATATCTTAATTTTTCATTTGATAATTGTTTTTTTTTAACATCTCAATACTAATTTATTAGTACTTTATTTAAAACTTATATTGCATCCAAAGACTCATGAAAAGATAGAAGAACATGAAAAACAAGAAAAAACAAGCCAATCAAGATACAAAAAAATTATCCATAAAGCGAATGAAACAAGCTTACGTGCCATGATAAGGGCTCCAAAAAACATCAATAAAAACCTTACATAGAAGCTAAAAATTCAGAATCTAAATTTAAAAATTTAAAAATTATTATACAAATGAGCAAACGAGTTAAAACACTCTTTGTCGAGGATCCACTAGTAGCTCTACTATCTTAATTTTTCATTTGAAGATCATTTTTTTTAAGATCTCAATACTTGTTTTATTAGTCTTTTCTATAAAATTTATGTTGCATCAAAAGACTTATGAAAAGATAGAAGAACATGACAAAAAAGAAAGCACAACCTTAATCCAAGAATAATACCAAAAAGCTGGATAAAAACTAAACAAACTTGATAGACATAGAAAACAACATCGAAATACTATAGATGAGATTATTGAAAAGAAACATTGAACAAAGAAAAAAAGAATACCGATCATGGCTACAACTATGAAAAAAAACTTAGGAGACTCAAATTTTCAGTGATAAAAACTTTTAGAGAATTAGAATTCAGTTTGTAATAACTTATTTATCATGAAATAAATAATATATATTTTTTAAATAATAATGTATCTTTTGAATTGTAATTACACAATAATATTACTAACTAACATAATTACAAGATAAGTAGTTAAGTTATCGAGTGATAAGATAAAAGATAACGATATAATAATAAAAACATATCTAAGAATTTATCACTCGAAGTGTCGACAAATACTCTAACACGTATTTTACGATTGAAAAAAAAAAGAAAAAAACTTAAATCGAATGCTTCAACTAAATGACGGAAAACCCCATAAAATTTCCCAAAAATTACTACCGTACCATCCTCGCCCTCAAGAGTCAAGACGGAGCCCACGTGCAGAAACACAGTGCGCGGATCCAGCGTGCACTTGGCGCTCTTGCACTCCCAAATTTGAAGTTCCAAACCTCTCACGACGTCGTAATAGCTCTCTTCCCATGAAAACACCACCGTGTGAATAAAAATCCTAGGGTTTTGCAAATTATCTTCGAAATCTGCCACCTCCTTCGCCCATGGCGTCCGATTCTCTTGGGACTCGCATCGATCAGGTGCCCCCCTAAACCCTAGAAACTTCTTAACGGTCAAAAGTTTCGATAATTCGTTAAAGAGAATGGAATTTCGAATTTTTGAAAACCCGGTTTTTGAAAATTAGTCAAATTAGAGTTCAGGTTATAGAAAAAATGAACTAAACTGTTATATTTTGCAGCAGAATTTGTTACATTAACGCGTTGCTTTTGTCTGTGATTAATTTTTACAGTTTTTTGCGTCGAGGAAGAGGAAATCTTCATCGCCGAATTTGAAGTTGGGGATAATCGAAAAAGATGCAAGAAGCAAAGCAGAAGGGTCTCCCAGTGCGAAAGGCACTTTGGATAACTACTTGGTGAATTCGCAGGATGAAAACTGTGTGCGCGGCCTCTTGGTTAAAAGAAACTTGGCATTGGGGATTAATGAAGTTTCGAAAGATGAAAAGGAGGAATCTTTGTCTGGTCGATTGTGTCCGGAAAGCTGTGAAGTGCGTGAAGTGGTTCGGAAGGAAGTGTCTCAAGGTTCGTCAAATGCTGGAAATGTGGGAAATGTTGCGGTTGAACGGGGTGCGAAGGATTGCCTGGATGTGGGGAATGATGTGGAGAATTTGGAATTGAAACAGTTTACTACTGATTTCTTGTCTCTGTATTGTAGGTAATGTAGTTTAAGTTGCTGCAGGTCCTTTCTATTGTACTTTGAAATCATGTTATATAGTGTGTTTGTTTTTGCTTTGTAAATGTCATTGCTAATCATTGTATTGGGTGCAGTGAACTTCAATCAACTGCAACTTCACCATCAAAGCCAAAGTTGAATGACCATAAGCGACATGGTAGTCCATTCTTAGTGGATTGTGACGATAAAACATCCAAGAAGAGGCTTTGCATGTCCAATCAATTCAATTCTGAAGTTGAAACCCCTTGCCCGATTGGGAAGAAGCCGGAAGATGAGCAATCTGCTTTTCTTGTTAAAAACGGAGCATTTGTTTTCAATTCTTTCGGAGAGGTAAAAAATGGTGGATTATGAAGTAGTTTTATGAATGTTATATTTGAAGGTCTGGTTTATGACAATTCTTTTCCTCCTACTCTTGCTCTTTCATGGCAGGTAGCCGCTGGCAACAATCCTGTGCAGCTTCCAGCCAGTTTGAGAAAATGCAACAAAATAGCTAACTCAACTGTAAATATGACTGAATGCTGTACACCGAGCTCATCAATTTGTAGAGCACGTGGTAGTGAAGGTCCCAAATCGACACGTGGAAGTTCCATCTTTTCACCAGGAGATGCATTTTGGAATGAAGCAATTCAAGTTGCAGATAGTTTATTTTCTGAAGCTGACAATCCTCTTATCCCGGCAGCTGAAAATATCATTAATGGAAAGTGTGGCAACCTATCACGGGCATTGTTAAAGGAAGCCAGCAGTAGAGGTCGTTCTTTGGAGTTGATAAGGAAGCATATGGAAAAAGTTTCTCCACTGCCTGTCAAACAGCTTGACTTTCTATTCGAGGACAAGAACTTGGATTTTAGTACCCCACCATGCGTTAAAGATAATTCAAATGTGGACAGAAGCAGTGAAAATTCTGAGTGCGGTTCTGTTAATATCAAATACGTACGAAGTGGTAATATTGTAACATATCATATCAAAGATGAGCCAAAGGAAGAGATGCATGAAGTAGAAGAGAGAACAACTGTCGATACAGTGACTGCAGAGAAAGTGGGTTTCCCAAATCATGATGCCGATAACATTGTATCTCATTTGCCAATTGCAGAGATCAGGAATGTAAGTGATAATAATAAATTCGTTGAAGCTGGAACTCCTTCAAGTTTTGTGCCACTTAAGAACCAGTTCGATCTTAGCAACTGGCTTCCTCCAGAAGTATGCAGCATATATAAAAGGAAAGGAATTTCAAAATTGTATTCTTGGCAGGTATCTTCAAACTTTTGAATCACTACGTTTGAGGTTGCCTTTATATTTTGCTAAGTGATTAGTATGGAAATGACTCAGGTTTAGTTTGTTATTTTTACTGCTTATACAACGTTTACCCATCTCACATTACAATTTTTGGTGTTTGGGCCTATTGTGGAGAGACTCTTCTTATCTCTTTCCTTTTGAATCACTACTTTTACTGGCCCCTTATATCATGTTTATGAGGTTGGTTTCACCATCAAGAAATAAGAAAACTTCTGCAGACCTTTGTAACTTGTACAAATGTTCGGGGTAGTTACGGGTCGAGAACCATGCCACTAGTGTATTTCTTGTGGAATTTGTTTGTTTTGGACTCAATTGCATTTAGAAAAGCTCAGATAAGTAACTGTCTGCTTTATTGGTTTAGTCCAATGACTTGTCACACTCCATTCTTACCAATTTGGTGCTTGGTATATGTAGTATGATTCTGGGCTGGACAGAGATAGATTCTTAGAGCCAAAGTTTGGTGTGTTTTTTTGGTTTTATCAGGCAGCATGGCCTAATTCCGGTATTATCATGGCCCCAAAAAACTGAATAAGGGCATCTTGAATCAAGTTTCAAATCACCCTATATTGCTTCTTTGTAGTCTTTACTTGTATATATAAAAAAAACGTTCTTAGCTTGAGAGAATTGAAGTATTTCTATTCCTTTTGTTTTGTTTTTTTTCCTAGTGCACATTTATTTCATTTCAGGTTCACTTAACTGAGTTCCAACTTATCTACATGTTACCAATCTTTTATGTTTTGTGTTTTACAACTTGATCTACTTTTAACTATCAAGTGTCGTGCTTTTCCCTCATTGTCTTCTCTCCATGTTAATTTTCTGATCTTATATATATATTTTTTGGGATTTGTTATGCACTCCTTTTTTTTTTTTTTTTTTTTTTTTTTTTTTTTGTTGTTTTAGTGTTATTCTGCATATGGTGTGTATTTATGAACTATTCAAACACTCAGATACAATTTCTCGATTTTGGCTTTTGTTTTGCCAGAGGTCATCTGTAGTTCCATCATTCAAGCACATTTATGCTTCTGGTTGGGTGCAGAAATCAGTTTTTGTTTATCCTTTTCATTTAAATTTCTATATTGGCTTTTGTTTTGAATCACTACTTTTACTGGCCCCTTATATCATGTTTATGAGGTTGGTTTCACCATCAAGAAATAAGAAAACTTCTGCAGACCTTTGTAACTTGTACAAATGTTCGGGGTAGTTACGGGTCGAGAACCATGCCACTAGTGTATTTCTTGTGGAATTTGTTTGTTTTGGACTCAATTGCATTTAGAAAAGCTCAGATAAGTAACTGTCTGCTTTATTGGTTTAGTCCAATGACTTGTCACACTCCATTCTTACCAATTTGGTGCTTGGTATATGTAGTATGATTCTGGGCTGGACAGAGATAGATTCTTAGAGCCAAAGTTTGGTGTGTTTTTTTGGTTTTATCAGGCAGCATGGCCTAATTCCGGTATTATCATGGCCCCAAAAAACTGAATAAGGGCATCTTGAATCAAGTTTCAAATCACCCTATATTGCTTCTTTGTAGTCTTTACTTGTATATATAAAAAAAACGTTCTTAGCTTGAGAGAATTGAAGTATTTCTATTCCTTTTGTTTTGTTTTTTTCCTAGTGCACATTTATTTCATTTCAGGTTCACTTAACTGAGTTCCAACTTATCTACATGTTACCAATCTTTTATGTTTTGTGTTTTACAACTTGATCTACTTTTAACTATCAAGTGTCGTGCTTTTCCCTCATTGTCTTCTCTCCATGTTAATTTTCTGATCTTATATATATATTTTTTGGGATTTGTTATGCACTCCTTTTTTTTTTTTTTTTTTTTTTTTTTTTTTGTTTTAGTGTTATTCTGCATATGGTGTGTATTTATGAACTATTCAAACACTCAGATACAATTTCTCGATTTTGGCTTTTGTTTTGCCAGAGGTCATCTGTAGTTCCATCATTCAAGCACATTTATGCTTCTGGTTGGGTGCAGAAATCAGTTTTTGTTTATCCTTTTCATTTAAATTTCTATATTGGTGCTCATATATTTCAATATATCTGTCTGATTCAATGATGCATTCATCTGTTCTTGTTTCCAGGTTGATTGCCTTCAAGTGGATGGTGTTTTGCAGAGGCGAAATCTTGTATATTGTGCATCTACAAGGTACTATTTGTTAAATTGAGATATCAGATTATATTCTACGATAGATTCATACATATTCTATCACTTTTTTTCTTTTGTGCCAGCAATCTTGTTGCTTAAAAGCTTCAGTGACAAGAGAAAAAGTTCTACTCATTTTTTATTTTTTTGTTGTATTTGGCGATGGTATTCATTGCTTAATCATTTTCCCTGCCACAGTGCTGGTAAAAGTTTTGTTGCAGAAATTTTGATGTTGCGACGGGTTATATCAACTGGAAAGATTGCGCTTCTTGTACTTCCCTATGTATCAATTTGTGCAGAAAAGGTATCTTGATAATTTTGTCCTGGAATTAGGAAATGTTCTTAATTTGTGCAGAAAAGGTCTCTTGATAATTTTATCCTGGAATTAGGAAATGTTCTTACTCTTTTCTTACTGCATGACTTTGTACTGTGTGTGATATATAGTTTGAGAAACTGTATACCGTGTATATTTTATCAGTTTCTTAATTTGTCCAGGCAGAACATCTTGAGGGCCTTCTGGAACCTCTTGGTAAGCATGTCCGGAGTTATTATGGCAACCAAGGTGGAGGAACGCTTCCTAAAGATACTTCTGTAGCTGTCTGCACAATAGAGAAAGCAAACTCCTTAATAAACAGATTACTGGAAGAGGGTCGTCTATCAGAAGTTGGGATCATGGTGATAGATGAATTACACATGGTATTTCGAATCATATGTTCCTGTAATTGTAAAACTATGTCACTTCATGTGTGTGTGTATATATGTGTCTGTTTGTCATTTTGTGAACAGTAGAACGACTCCCATTATGCATGGGGTCACACTCTGCATCCTCAGTTGATGGCATTTTGAATTTTTATTAATATGGAGTAAAATTACAAATATTCTCTTATATATGACTAGTATTCTTTCACACTCTAGACCCTTCTGTTCACTCTCTCCTAATGGCTCCCTCCCTCCCCCTCTCTCTTTCTTGGTCTTTATCAGCACCTATGACCTTCAAGAGATGCTTTGATGGGATTCTGCAATCCGAAAACTTCTTGCATCCGAAGAAGTAGCCTAATCACTGTTCAAATGCTTGCTCTAAAACTTTGTTTGTTTCAAGCATATGCATTTTTGTTTATTCAAGTAATCTCTAGATAAAAATGTTTTTGTCCCTTTTCTTTTTTAGTGAAATGTCATTTGATCAACAAAATTCAACTCTTTTTTCAAGGCTGAGATGAACTGATTGAAGAAGAAATTCACTACAGCAATTTAATGGAAAGATGCTAAGTGTTATTAGAGACAAATATAGAATGAAATGGTTATGTAAAGCAAAACATAAACTTAAACTGGATGGTTTTGGAAAGACAAGATGGTTTACAGTGTGCAAAATCGAAGGTGTTTTCAAGGATTTCCCTTTATCTAGACATGATTTAAGTTATGGAATTGTATAGCTTTGAACACTCGCTCATTAGGTTTGTATCTATTGGTGGGATATGTTTGATATACTTCTCTTGTTTTTTTTTTTCGTTCTGTGGACAGGTTGGTGATCAGAGCAGGGGTTATCTTTTGGAACTTCTGCTGACAAAGCTTCGTTATGCTGCTGGTGAAGGCAATTCAGAATCCAGCAGTGGAGAAAGCTCAGGTACAAGCAGTAAGGGTGATCCTGCTCATGGTGTGCAAATTGTTGGGATGAGTGCAACCATGCCCAATGTTGCAGCAGTTGCTGATTGGCTTCAAGTAAGTGGGTTTGAAGAAGAGTATCTGACTAAGTTTGATTTTTTTTTTTTATTTGTGTGTTTCTGTTTCTCCAACTTACTGGTTAGCCTTAGGTGAGACTCTATTACAGTTGATATAAACCTATAGGACCAGCTTTTAATCTAGACACAAGAGCTTTCAACTGTACTTCTTACTGTACAACATGTTTGTTTGCTCTTTCCTTTTCAAGAGCTTGTTTTTCTGTCACTCTAGCTGTATTATATGCTTTTTTCAATATGATTGCGGATTTGATAATTTCATCAAATTGTTTTTGCGACCAAAATTTGTGCAGGCAGCACTATATCAGACAAATTTCCGACCAGTTCCACTAGAAGAATATATTAAAGTTGGTGACACAATTTATGACAAGAAAATGGATCTTGTTAGAACAATTTCAAGAGCAGCGGACCTGGGTGGTAAAGATCCAGATCATATTGTGGAACTATGCAATGAGGTAGGGACCCTTCACTTCCTAATGTGAGTCAAGATTATTAGAACTCTGAACAATTTTGAACTTTGTTACGTATTTCAGGTTGTGCAAGAGGGCCATTCAGTGTTGATATTTTGCTCTAGTCGAAAAGGATGTGAATCAACCGCCAGGCACATATCAAAATACCTGAAGAAGTTTTCTGTTAACGTTCAGAATGACAGTGAGTTTGCTGATATTACTTCAGCCATTGATGCACTGCGAAGATGTCCTGCAGGATTGGATTCAACATTGGATGACACTCTTCCTTGTGGTGTTGCTTATCACCATGCTGGCTTGACGGTATGATTTCCTGGCTATCTTTTATTATTTATGTTTTGGCAATCTAATTTTCTTGCAAGTTTCCTCATCTATTTTTCATTATGTGGTTTATATGGTGGATGACTTGTGCTGCATATATTCACTAGTATTTTTTTTTTTAAAGTATATACTTATCGTGCAGAATGATGCAAAAGGATCCTTATAGCGACCCAACTAACTTGGGATTGAGGCTTCATTGTTTTTGTTTTTTATTTATATACTTTCTTTGTATTAGATGTATCATCAGTGGATTATAATGCTCTCTTTTCTTACAGGTAGAGGAAAGAGAAATTATTGAGACCTGCTATCGTAAAGGCCTTTTGCGCATCTTAACCGCTACATCTACCTTAGCTGCTGGGGTTAACCTGCCTGCTAGGAGGGTCATTTTTCGACAACCCAGAATTGGTCGTGATTTCATTGATGGGACAAGGTACAGACAGATGGCTGGTCGGGCTGGTCGAACTGGCATAGATACTAAAGGGGAAAGCGTGAGTTTATCCTTAGGAATTTGTTAGTAACATTTGCATAATTCATGCTTTATATGCCTTCCCTGTAATTATGCTCGAAGATATTCCATTTGAGGGCACATTTATTTTAAATGAAAATATCTTTTTTATTTAACAGTTATATGGCCTTACCTGACCAGGTACTAATTTGCAAACCAGAAGAGTTAAAGCGAATTATGGGACTTCTTAATGAAAGCTGTCCACCATTGCAGTCGTGTCTATCTGAAGATAAAAATGGAATGACACATGCAATTTTAGAAGTTGTGGCTGGTGGGATTGTGCAAACTGCTAATGATATTCATCGTTATGTTAGATGTACTCTTCTCAATTCTACAAAACCATTCAGGGATGTTGTGAAATCAGCGCAAGATTCTCTTCGGTGGTTGTGCCACAGAAAATTTCTTGAATGGAATGAAGATACTAAGTTATATAGCACAACACCTCTTGGACGTGCAGCTTTTGGCAGTTCTCTTTGTCCTGAAGAATCACTTGTAAAGATTTGTTGCTTTTTATTTTTTGTTGTGCATTATTGAGCTCCATTTTTAGATCAATGTTCTGGTAGCTATAAGCATTCTCTTCAGTGGGTTGGCTTGTTCAATTGATTCTCTCTTAATTGCTTTAGCTAACTATTTAATATGTGCTTGTGCTTTCATTCATTTTTGTTTTTGTGGCTGGTTTCCTAGATTGTGCTAGATGATCTTTCCAGAGCACGAGAAGCATTTGTGCTTGCGTCTGATTTGCATCTAGTGTACTTAGTCACACCGACCAATGTTGATGTTGAGCCAAACTGGGAATTGTATTATGAAAGGTTTATGGAATTGTCTGCCCTTGATCAGGTAATATTGCTAGTTTTGATCACTTTTGTCAGTTTATTTAGGATATATTGTTGGTGGCAAGTTGGAGACAACTGATACAATGTGGCAGTTCTCCAATTTTTGTGAGAGTTGGGCTTCTGTATGCTGAATCTATATGTTTGGTGTGTGAAATTTCAATGCCTGACAGCATTCTTTCAGCCTAGCCAATGTTCTTTACATATGTCAACTGTTTGGTGTTACTAAAGTTATATAGAGTTCAACTGTCATGACCTCTCTAGGTAGATGTCACCTAGCACAAAACATAAGGTCAGAGTATCAAGTTTATTAAAATTCAAAAAGCAATAGGAAAGAAAGAAAGCAGTAGAATTGAGCCAATGGAAGTGCACATAATTACTTCGTGTATACTATGTGGCTAACGGATATATTAGTACTATTATGCATGATCAAATTAGTAAACAGTAGAAACAGATAGAGGTGATGTCTCTTGCTTTGTTCACTTTTTTTTTCCCTTCCAATCTTTGAGTTACAGTTTCACGGTTGATTGATCTTTTCCCTGACTTTTTAATAATGCTTTAACTATCTAATCTTTTTTCTTTTCCAATTTCAACGAAGTCTGTTGGAAATCGAGTTGGAGTTTCAGAACCATTTTTGATGCGGATGGCACATGGAGCGCCTATGCGTGGTTTAAACAGATCAATAGACAATACGAAAGGCTTGCGTGCCAGCAAGTATCAAGACCAATCAGGGGTTACAAACAAAAGTGTGATTTCAGATGAACAGACACTTAGGGTGTGCAAAAGATTTTATGTTGCTCTTATCTTGTCGAGACTTGTGCAGGTGTTCCATCCTTTTCCTTTCTTTCCCTCATTCTGATAAATAACATTGACTTAGTGAACCAAACATTGTTCTGTCTCCAAATGTTTTTGAGTACATCCATCTTTTGTGTTTGTTTCATGTGCTTTGGCATATAATATTGTGTGTACATTGCATAAATATGCATTCTTGTTTTTTTTTTTATTCAGAAAAAGTACATTTATCCAGTAGTCTGCTTATTTATTCACATGGTTACCTGGATACGATACCTAATATTTCTTTATCATGGGTTGTGGTAGCTTTTTCTTGCTAATAATGCCTTTTCTTTTCCCCTGTTTCCTTGCTTTGCTGAATAAACATTGTTTAAATTCTGGCATAAAGGAAGAACCTGTACCCGAGGTTTGTGAAGCTTTTAAAGTTGCTAGAGGCATGGTTCAATCTTTACAAGAGAATGCTGGAAGGTTTGCATCTATGGTTTCTGTGTTTTGTGAAAGACTCGGATGGCATGATCTTGAGGGCCTGGTTGCAAAGTTCCAAAATCGTGTTTCATTTGGAGTGAGAGCAGAGATTGTGGAGCTCACGAATATTCCATATGTTAAGGTAATTGATTCATTCTATTTTTTTCTGCAAGATTGCTGCTAACACATAGTTGTAATAGTTATGTGTCATTCTGTTGATGTTTCAAAGTTGCTGGTTAATACTTCAGACATAGCCATTATTTTTATTATTTCATTTATAGGGTTCTCGAGCAAGGGCACTCTATAAAGCAGGGTTGCGTACACCTCAAGCTATTGCTGAAGCATCTATTCCCGAAATAGGCAAAGCACTTTTTGAATCTTCATCATGGACCAGACAAGGTGAACTTGATAGAAATTTCAGTACACAACCTCTTATGTGATGGTTTTTCCGTAGAATATGCATGTTATCTTTATTCTTGCTTAAGTGTCCTAACCGAAGACTTCCCTTGGTGTAAGCTACATGTGATTTCTGCTCTTATCTGAGATGATTTTATGTCTGTTACAGAATTTATTTATCATAGATTTCTTTCCCACTTCGAGAGGTTCATACTTTTTATGCTTGGAAGAAAGAAATCACAGTTCTATGACCATCATGCCTAGCAACAACAAATTCGAGAATATTGTTGAATGCTTTAGGTTTATTAATTAGTAATGGATGAGTTTCTTGGATAAGAAAGCCTTTTGTTTCTTGATGGTGTATAAGTAACGAATTCTTGGATAGCTATAAGGGTTTTTAATCGAGTTTGTTCTAAGTTTAACGATAGGTTCAGTTTTCAGGGTCTAAGGGAGGAGAGTATTTGTTTTAAGAGTTTAGGGTCCTATATTCAGTTTAGGTTTGCAGGTTTAGGATTTTAGGGTTTAGCATGTAGTTTTTAGGTTTTAGCTTGTAGAATTTTGGGTTTGAGGTTTTGTTCTTGGTTGTTATGCACCTATGGATTTATGATCTAAAGCCAAGTACCTCATACTTAATATCATACTTGTAATGGAACTTCTCTTAACATTTTCCATAATGTTCCTAGTACATGCCTTCTAATAGAGAATTTGTGTATCCTAGTGGCCTGCCTTCTGTAATTGTTGTGTCTGTTGTGTCAGATATTTATATTTATTATGACTTAGACAAGTTGATGAAATGGCTGCAGAGGGTTCAGCACAAAGACGCATGCAATTGGGAATTGCAAAGAAAATCAAGAATAGTGCACGCAAAATTGTCCTCGACAAAGCAGAAGAGGCAAGGCTTATTGCTTTCGCAGCTTTCAAATCACTTGGATTCAAGGTTCCGCAGTTTTCTCCGCCTTTATTATCCAATGCTTCTGAAAATCTTGTTGAGCAAGGAACTGCGGGCACCTTGTTTGGGGATGACTCCAATATTGTTTTGCATGTGGACCAAAGAGATCATGCTTCATCTATGCTGTTCATAGAAGAAGGTCGTAAGAATTCTGGTAAAGTTACTCTTGCAAATGGAGTAGACAAATTAACAAACACATTCAGTGTTGGATTGGAAACTGCTGCGGAAGGAAACTCAAATAGTCAGATCCAATGCAACAATGGTACTGAAGATTCTACAGTACCTGCTAAAGAGTCTTCAAGTCTTGGCACTAAGGTTGGTTCTACTGGTGATCATAAGAATAATTCTACTGGTGATCATAAGAATAATGCAGACACAATCCTCTCTGTCCAATTAGGACAGAATGGTGATGGAACTGGGACCAGTGACAGGGTCATTGAAACCAGAGTGCAGGAGCAATGTAGTAGAGAAAATTTAAGCAGTGACAATAAGGACAGGGCTTGCGAGAGGGGTCCTATTAATGCAAGTGATATTTCTGGTGGATTTGATTCTTTCTTAGATCTCTGGGATGCTGCCCGAGAATACTACTTTGACATCCACTACAACAAGCGATCAGATGTAAGATCTGTCACCCCATTTGAAATACATGGTATTGCCATCTGCTGGGAAAATTCTCGTGTGTACTACATCAATCTTCCTAAGGATCTACTGTGGTCTCATAAACAAAGGAACGACTCTTCACCTCCCACTGCATTTGGTGACAAAAACAGTACTCAACCACCCGAGAATTGGTTGGAGATATTTCAGCAAAGATGGAACAAGATTGGAGAAATAATGGGAAAGGAAGGTGTTCCAAAATTTACTTGGAATTTGAAAGTTCAACTTCAGGTACTCAAGGGTGCTGTTGTTTCCATTCAGAGATTTGGTCCTTCTAGGAAAATCTCCATTCCTGAACTCATAGACAGTTCGCACTTAATGTTGTCTCCTGTTAATATTAAAGAAGCAATCGACATGTGCATTGTGGCATGGATTCTTTGGCCTGATGAGGAGAAAAGCTCCAATCCGAACTTAGAGAAGGTAATATTAAGTAGTTTTATTTAAAAATTTGATTCCAAAGGTTAGCATTTGTAGTCTGTCTTTGAATGGGGATGCTTTTCTTCTTCTTATTCTATTTTTTTTTCCAGTTAGTTACTTCGTTTTGTATTCTTTCCTGTTCTACTGAAGTATTTTTAATTGTCAAAAGGCAATCAAACTCTAAATTCCTTGTCCATTAGTTATGCATCACCACCAAACTGGCTTATGATTGTTATGATGATGCAGGAAGTCAAAAGAAGGTTATCCAGTGAGGCTGTGGCAGCTGCTAATCGGAATGGCAGGTGGAAGAATCAGATGCGAAGAGTTGCCCATAATGGTTGCTGTCGACGTGTTGCACAAACACGAGCCCTTTGTTCTGGTCTTTGGAAGTTACTGACTTCTGAGGGACTTGTTGAAGCTCTCAAAAACATTGAAATCCCACTGGTAAATATTCTGTTGCTTTCAGCTATACTTCCTTAAACATAAGCTTTGTTTCTAGGCATTGAAACTTTATATGAGATTTCAATAAAAAATCAGAGGGTAATATCTTGGGCTTCATCTTGCTTATTTTCATGGAAGCGATGGGATGTTAAGACAGTACCATTTGATAGGGATTCCGTAGCATCAAGCTCAGAAATCGATCATGTTGTCAGGGAGCTTGTAGTGTATTATGAAGCTCCACCCAAGGACCTGGCCCTGGATTTGTGATTCTATTCTATATTCAATTCCTTGATTTGTTTTGTAGAAGAGAAATTGCAATCGAACTGTTTAATTAGAGACCGCTAGCATCTAATGTTAGTTTTTTCTCTTCATTGAATCTTGGTCTTTCTTATGGCCTGTCATGCACATGTGATGCAAGATATTTTTTATTTTGGAACCACTGAGCTAGTAATGCTGGTGTTTTCATTCTTTAACATGATGTTCTCATTACTAATTTCTGTGCTTGCAAATTTGTATCAGGTGAATGTTCTTGCAGACATGGAACTTTGGGGGATGGGCGTTGACATGGAGGGGTGCCTGCAAGCACGTACTGTGCTGGGGAAAAAGCTAAGGGATCTTGAGAAGAAGGCATATAAGCTGGCTGGCATGACATTTTCACTATACACAACAGCAGACATTGCAAATGTTCTATACAGACATTTGAAGCTGCCCATACCAGAAGGATATAGTAAGGGGAAAAAACATCCTAGTACTGACAAGCATTGTTTGGATTTGTTAAGGTACGCGATGGTCATTTCTTACTTTCTAATACCCAATATCATCAATTGAAATAAGTGCTAGGTACATCTTGCAATATTTGTATATGCAAAATGTGTGCAAGCTATCTATATGGATTTTTTGTTTTTTTTTTTAACTTATGTTTTGTGGATAATCAAGTGTTATTTAATACATAAGTGGAGTATAAAATAAGACTCTGGGGAATGTTATCGGAATGGATTTCGTCATAAGTACGACAATGTTCTTCCTTTTTTTTTTTTTTTCCTTTGGCTTACAAGCTTGAGTAATTTGGATTAAGGCTTTGTTGAGTTGTACAATGCCCCAAATGGATTAATAAAATGTGCTCTTGCATTCATTGAGTGTAGCCCACTTTTACCGTTACTATTAATGTTATGGACATAATGCCTTTGATAAAGTCTGAATTGTTGACTCTGTGGTTGTTGACGTGCAAATTTTAATTGCATACTGGAATACCCTGTTTTCAGTATATATGTGTCAGCTGATTAGGGGTGGGCATTATCTGGATCTATCTGAATTATACAATTCAATTTGGGCACTAATTTTTTGGGGGCAATTTCTAGTAAGAGAGAAAAGGGTTTGCGTAGCCAAATTGCTCTGATTGTATTTTCTTTTTCTTTTTAATTTTTTTTTGTATATTAGTTTTCATACCTTAACTTTGCGCTGCAAGGCCCGTATATCTCATATGGTACAATGCTAGTAGCATTTTTATCTCTCGTTTAAATTGCAATTCAGGTTTTTTCCCCCCTTTTTGCTTATGATCTAACAAAAGTTGATGAGATGAGAATCATTCCTTTGTCTATTACCCTGATTATATCTTACCAAGGTTTTAACCATAACTTCTTCATTTGCCTTTTCACAGTCCATTTTTCATTTTTACTCACAGTAAGATATTAAATAAAGGGCATTTGTTTCCCAGAACGATTGCAATTACACACAAAACAGTTTATCTGACATTGGTAAAACCGATATTGATATGCATTTGATAAGCAATGTAAGAAAAATAATTAGTTCACTCGAGTCATTTTTAATTCATATCATGTTCTCCCCCTTTTTCAGTTATATTTTTTTAAATTAAGCAAAAAATATTTTTATTTTAATGGGCCCAAAAAATCTAAATGGGTTAGTGTAACCTGAATCACGTGACTGGGTCAAGTAAGTTTGTTTGTCATAAAATTGGTTTTGGTCGGTTAATGAAAAAGAAAATTGGGGAATTTTATCCAACCTGAATTCCCTTATTCCGACCTGAATTACCGGAATGCTCACCCCTAATCGATGGCATTGCTTTCAAACCTGGCTTTTACAGTTTATTGAGTTCTGTTCAGAATCAATTTTCCAGAATTAAATATCATATGAGAACTCCTTTGTCAGTAAATTGTTACTCTAGCTACTTGTTATATTAACCAGTTTGTATCTGCATCCTGCCATGCTCAGGTTATCTAGATGATTCATGGTGGTTTACTAGCTGCATTTATTATGTTTGTAAAGCCAAGTACATTAACAAAATTTGGTTCCTTTCAGACATGATCATCCTATTGTTCCAGTCATAAGAGAGCACAGGACATTAGCAAAGCTCTTGAACTCTACGTTGGGTTCAATCTGTTCACTGGCAAGGCTATCTATAAGGACTCAGAAGTATACGCTGCATGGCCATTGGCTCCAAACCTCAACCGCTACTGGACGGCTTTCAATGGAAGAACCTAATCTTCAGGTTAGAATTATTTCTATTCACATATTTTTTTTTTTGTTACAATTATTATTATTATTATTACTTTTGGCAATCTGAAATTAATTTTAACGTTGGTAACCATTTTTCCTTTTGAGTTATGCAGTGTGTTGAACATGCGGTTGAATTCGAAATGAGTACTGATAAAAAGGGGGATGATGTTGAGCCTGAGCGTTACAAAATAAATGCCCGGGACTTCTTTATTCCTACTCAGGTAATATTGTCATTTAGCTTGTAACTGTGCCCATGCTTCTCACTTAATGAATTTATGCATATTTGTAGCGAGTATCAAGTCTATTATATACCAAATATCACCTTAAAAGGATTGCTTGGAAAAGAAAAATGGTTAAGTGTATTAGAATTCCTTGACCTAATTAGCCCCTTGCTTCCAGCAAATAAAGAACGCGAGCTATGCAACTGGAGATAAATAAGAGTTCTTTGGGCCTGCAGATTATGCTTTCTGTGCATCAATCCTAATTCCTAAAGGATCTAAAGCTTTAATTCTTATTGCAGGATAACTGGCTACTGTTAACAGCAGATTATTCTCAGATAGAATTGCGGCTGATGGCACACTTCTCTAAAGACTCCACATTAATTGAACTCCTTAGTAATCCACATGGCGATGTTTTCAGCATGATAGCCGCAAGATGGACTGAGAAGCCTGAAGATTCTGTAAGCTCAGTTGAGCGAGATCAGACCAAAAGGTTGGTCTATGGAATTCTTTATGGAATGGGTGCTAACACTCTTGCTGAACAACTGGTTTGTAGCCCTGATGAAGCTGCAGAAAAAATTAAAAGCTTCAAAAGTTCTTTTCCTGGTGTTGCTTCCTGGCTCCATGGAGCAGTTGCATCTTGCCATAAAAAAGGGTAAGGGTATTGAGTTTCTTTCGTGTTATTTTTTTTATAGAATTTTATTAGAAAGATGGATAAGAATGATACACAATTGGAGAATAAGACATCCTGCCAAATTGCAAAAAGAAACAACTAGCTAGTTCAAATTAATAAAGGTCTACATTCCCTTTGTATCTCTGCTAAAGAAGTACCTCTAAAAGCCCCTGTAGCATTGGATTTCTTTCGTGCTATGCCTTGGTAAGCATCAGCACTGCCAATTCTCTTGCAAAAATAAAGGTATTTATTTGACTTAATTTTTTAGATTTGATTTGTTTGCCAAACAAAATTTTACACTATTTTGATTCTTCCGCTGATCAGTATTGCAGTAATTCTTCACTTGATTTATTTTAGTTCTATCGTATCTTATTCTATATTCTTACTTTGTTTTTAAGTGGTAAAGGTATTGCATAATACTGAAGTCCTTCTGGACGTATTCATTGCCTTTTTCTTATTTGTAAATATTTGGCTCTATCTATTCTTCTAATGCTATTGTCACTGGTGTCAAAAGTTCCTTTTCTTGTGTTTCTATTTGACGTCGTGCAAATACAAACCTTTTAAAATTCAATTGGAGTGTAGCTCTGTATTTAAAGTTACTTGAGATTATGCATGACATTCAAATTATCTTGGTGTATGTAAAGATTTAATTATCAGAATAAATATCTACATAATGGTATTCAGATATGTGGAGACTATTAAGGGAAGGAAGCGGTTCTTGTCAAAAATAAAATTTGGAAACAGTGAAGAAAAATCTAAAGCTCAGAGACAAGCAGTTAATTCTATATGTCAGGTATAATGATTTTTTTGGATGGTCAAGGACAGCATGAGTTAATGGTAGTTTGTCCTGATAGTGGCTTCTTACAGGGTTCTGCTGCTGACATAATCAAGATTGCAATGATAAATATACACACACTTATTGTTGGAGGAGTTGATAGGCCAGAGTCTAGGTCTTTACATGCAAACAAGTTTCACATGCTGAAGGGCCGGTGCCGAATTCTTTTACAGGTTACTTTAGAAAACTGCTTCAATTTCTTCTTCTTCTTCTTTTTGAAATATTCCAACATTTTGAATATCTGAGGGAAGTCTATATAATAATTGCTTTAGAAATTGGAATTCTGACCTGTGAATTTGGTTTGGTCTGTGATCTGCTAATGCAGCAAGGTTTGCATTTAAATCTGAACTTTGAGTTTCAGTATCATTTGAGAAAGTTGATAAGAATCTTGGTGGCTACTATTCAGGTACATGATGAGCTAGTGCTGGAAGTTGATCCCTCCTTGATCAACGAAGCTGCATTGCTGTTACAGTGGAGCATGGAAAATGCGGCTTCCCTTCTTGGTATGTGTTCAATATTTCTTTTATCTTGACATCTTGATAATGTAATCAACTATAGTTTTACTACATTCATTTCAGTTCCTTTACAAGTCAAACTAAAAGTTGGAAGAACTTGGGGCTCTTTAGAGGCTTTTCGTGTTGATCAACACATAAATGAAGTTCTTATGCCTGATTCTTGAAGAAAGAGTTGTTGTTTTGATTGAAAAGAAAACAGTTGCACGGCATTAGAGGCGAAAATTGTTGGCAGCCAATGTATGTAATGTAATGATATTTCAATTGGTTAGCTACTTTTTTTTTATAGGCTGGAAGATGTAATTTCTAATCTTCTGATTTAAATACAATTTTATGCAGAGCTTCCAGCTTTAATATTCATGCTCAGCTATATGTTCCCTAAGGAGATGGAAAATTTTATGAGTGCCGCTTGCAACAAGAAGTCTGGACCTGACAACATTTGGAAGGTTGAAAGAAGAAATCATAGAGGTGAGAAGGAACTGCTTTTCCTTGGCGGACAAGCTAATGAGATCACTAGATATATCACCCATAGTTTTAAATCGTGGATGCGGTTGTAAAATGATTGTGATCGCGATTGCGGGTCGCGGTTTATCACTGTAGTAAATTAATGGTTGCGGCAACCGATATCATTAATGCATTAGCATGTTTGCAGCTATTAATAAATTTATTCTAATTAGTATATTTTTAATAGTTTCACTAATTAAACTTAATAACAACATCTCTAATAGTTTAATATCATACAATAATAGTTGAATTTATTACAAAAATAAGATAATACTTCTTCTAATAGTTTAATATCACACAAACAATAATAAAATATAAAGAATCAAAATCTTTCTTTTTTTTTAAATAACTGTGTTATATAACTGTAATGGGATATGACATCGCTATTTGAGTGAAACACCATTATGCTTTCTATAATGGTGCATAACAGTAATGGACATGCCCGAATTACGGCTATTACGTTATATAACTGCTGTTATTTGAAACTATGATATTGCTTGTGTGTTTCACTTGAGAGGATCATGTATGAATTCTTTTGGCACAAAGACTCAGTCCTTGATTCAGATAGCCTTTAACATATGAGTGCTAATGATTGTCTGTTTTCATAGTTTGGCTGCTGATCTTGCAAGTGCTAGGGAATCTTGAGCTCATAGCTATTCCAAGTTCCATCAATGTCACATGCCCAGCAATTGCTAAAGTACTCGTTAATGTTGGAAAAAAGAAGGTACGTATTGGTACAAGAATGCAGAATTAGTTGAGATAGCATGTATTGCAGACGAGATGCATTTTATTTGGGTTCTGGTCATATCGTATCTCGGTCTCCATGCTTTTTGGATTTATTTTTGAGTTCTGGGCTCTCATTTCCATGCCATGGGACAAACCAATGCATAGGAGCTGTTGTGGGTCACCATCTATAGTTTTGACTTTGTCATTGGTTAGCATCATTGACAAGAAGATGCCAACTAGTGGTCATCCTCAGCTTATCAGGGCTTAAATGATGTAGGCCTCAGTGTCTTGAGGCATGGATGGACTCTGTCCTCCAAATATTGCCTGGAATCACTCTCAAGCTTATATTTTTCCAGTTTCCATCATATTTGTGAGAAAATATCCAATGTTCTTTTTACCGAGTAATGTTCTGCTGCAGGAATTATATTTCAGCGTCGAAGGACCTTTAATAGTATTTTTTAGCTGAAGAATTTAACTCATATGGTGCACAAGTAGCAAAAGTGCTATGAAATCTCAAAGACAAGTTGCACAAGGAAATGGGAATCCATATCAATGCTGTACTTTGATGGTGATGTCTGCATGGTTTAGCATCTATCATGTAAATGCAGATATTATTACAGCAAGGACTTCACAAAGCTGATTTTGAATGCCTATGATAAGCATTCAGAAACAAATAAGCAGAGAGAGGAAATATTTGTGTTGCTACATAAATCATAATTGAATGGATAGAAATGATGAAGGACAGCTAGTTGAAGAAACAAATATAAACATACCATGATGATCCTTTGCCCATCTTCAGCAATTCCGTACATAGGGACTGACCTTTTCTATTACTCCATTTTTTTGTTCCTACCTCAGCTTATCTCTTCCAGGCTATGTGTATAAATTAGTTTCTTCAATTTTTGTCCTCTTCTATTTTTATCTCCTTAATTGCATACACCTCTCTCTCTCTCCTCCCCCTATTTGTCGTATTTCTATCTACAAGCACTTCTCCTCTCCCTTCTTTTTTTCGTTAAGTTGGAAAAATATCTACTAACTTTTTACTATATTCTATCCATACATAATACGCATCTACCCTGTCTTACTAGAGGTATGAATGTAGTTTTGGAATTTAGGAAAATACCACCTGAGTGGGAAGTATAGGCCATGCTTATTGCTTAAATGACAAGATTTTAAGCTGCCAATTTCTTCTTCAATAACATTCATTTGATAAATTTAAAATAGGAGTGAATACCTTTCTTTCCAGCTGGATGAAGAGAAGCCTGTTGCGATAGGCTTTAGAGCATGTGTGGCTAATCCTCACTTTCATTTAAAATCTTGTCTTGCAGTTTGGTTGCTGTCTTCATCCAAATGACATTATGTTTGGTGTAACTAAAGGCATTAGATCTCTAACAAGATTCATCAAATGGGTTACAAAGTCAACCATCTTGATTGATATGGTGATTGCACAGGTGGTTGGACTAGCTATCAGGTATGACCCACTTTCCAATCCTATAGCTCTTTGGAGCTTGTCTGTAGGCTTAGCACATTTTCTTGGTGTAATAACTAAGTGCCACGTGTAAGTGAGCAATTATTAACACTGAATTGTTCATACATTTTTCATTCGCTATTAGGATTTGAATAAAATAAACTAGAATAACTGGATTTTACAGTCTATTCACTGGAGTTTATCATGTGAATGCCAACATTAGTGTTACCCAGTTGCTTTCTTCATAGGCGTTTTTTGAGCAAAAATAATGCAGCAACATTATGCTAAACTTCTTCAAACATCTACAACCTGTTGATGTTTTTTTCCCTTATAATTTCTGGAGAATGTCTTATTGTTGTTATGGTATTGTTGTGTTCTCATAAACTATTCTTCACCAATTGAAAAGAAAATTAGCATGGGATAAAGCCTTCTCTCCATGATTCTGCTTTGGTTTGAATTTGGTTTTTCTCGTCTATAGTCCATTTTCTAGTGTTTATTCAGTTAGTTAGCCTTGTTACAATCAGATTGTGACCGTAATAACTTTGTAGGATTTTGAAATGGCTTTGTCAACTTTCAATCATAAGCATTTCTAAGTAAACAAGTTCATATTGAAATCCTTGTAAAACTAACCTCATCTAGATTTTTAAGGAGATACAAATTTGCAAGTGTGTGACTGTGGTTTGGCGAGCCAACATATTTTCTATTGCCCACTAAATAAGTAGAAAGGTATGCTATGCATGTATGATGGCCAAGTTCTCTCTAGTCTTCCAGTTGACATAATTGCGTCTTCTAATTATTTTATTGTGTTTCGTGTTTAGTTATTCCTTATTACATGTTGTCGAGAGAATAAATCTAATATTGCTAGTCTGTCGACAATGCAATGCAAGAGGATGAACTGTTTTCAAGTTATTTCAATTTAAATAATTGCGTAATTTGGATGGCTATTTAGGAATCTGTTATGTTGCTTAGGATAATAGTTTATTTCATGTCATGTAGTCATTATCTATTAGGGCTTTTTTTACATAGTTCTTTTAGGGTTTTGGCGTGCCTATATAATGACAAATATCCCTAAGTAAATAATGCTTGCATGTGTGTTCCTGTCCGTCTTTTACGTGCTAGTTAGGTTTGGCGACATGTTAAGAGTATAACTCGTATTTAAAAGATGACAACTGTTGGCCTAGTTTATTATATCAAGGAACTCATTCATAGAATGACTTGAGGGTTGTACATGAGTTTCTATAGGTACTTGCTCCTTGGTGTACTAGGGTTTTTAGAACATTTTAGTTAATACTAGATTTTTTGCCTACGCAACGCTGCGGATGGGATAAAACATATAAAATCATTTAGAATAATCATTTTAGTTTAATAGTTTGTTTTATGATGTGAATGTATAAAAATATATGAAATTAAAGATGAAAAAAATATTTTAAATTTTTTAATGTAATTTGAAATTAAATGTATGAGAATTTTAACAAAATGGCAAATTAAAGTAATAAATTTTAAATAATAAAAATAATTAACAAAAAAAATTCATTTAAAAAGTAAAAAAAAAATTATGGTATAAATTATAATGATATATTTAAAAAATAAAACACATATGTTCTAAAATTTTATTTCAAAATTCATATATTAAAAAAATAAATTTATTAACAAATAAAATTATATAAAAAAATTATTTTGATGCGAATTTTAATAAGAAATAAATACTTAAAAAATTAAATTTAAACAATAAAAATAATGTAATTAGATATATATATATATATATATCATCTTTAAAGTTTACGGAAAACTAAAAAAAATAACAATTTATTTTTTATATTTTTCATTTTCCTTTTTGTTTGGTAGACCTTTTTTCTTTATTGTTTTTCTTCTTATATATATATATATATATATATATAGAGAGAGAGAGAGAGAGAGAGAGCGCCTGGTTGGCATTGCACATATGCAGGAAAGAAAAAAAAAGGAGGGAGGCCATGTGTGGTTGGCTTGTGCAGGCAAGCCAGTGTGCTTGGGCCTGCCATTGCAGGCCCGTGCGCCAGGCCTTGCCTGTCGCTTAACTGGAAAAAAAAAACCTGTAACTTTCGGCAAATTCGAGGTCATCGGAAAATTGAGGGTCAACTTTCAGACCTCTAGAAATTGAATTCCGGCATCATTTTTTTTTCAAACATCTCTAAATAATTGGAATAAAGCCAATAAACACATCTAAAACCTTAAAAATCATTTTAATACACATAAAAAAAAAAACAAAATCAAATCATTTTTTTTTGCTCCGATCTACCTCCTCTAATTGTTTAATGACTTGAAACTATCATGGACAAACTCATCTCTCAAAGATAAAAAAATCTAGTGAATTTTCGCCGACTAGAGTGACCTAGATAAGTTTGGCTGGCGATCTCTCTCCTCGCGTCTCTCTCTTCCTCTCAGCCTTCTTTCTCCATTCAGTGACAAAAATAGATAAACAAATGAACATGTGAATCGAAATATGCGTTCGAAAATATCAAGGATCAAAGTGTAAAAAAAGTCATGAATAGTGAAAGTAACAGTGAAATGTGAGAGGGTGAACAGTGGAATGTGAGTGTGTGCACATTATTTTAAATAGTAATCTACAATAAAGGAGCGTTTTACTTTAGTTTCTTAGTTAATTTCTAATGGCTTTCTTAAAAGGTTAATTACAAATCAATGTCGCCAGCTTAAAGTGCGCATCTTGGGGCTGTATCAGATGAGATGACAATTAGTGGGTCTGTTCATAATCTTCTTGAGGTTTACTGTGTAATGAAATGGCCTTCCCGCCGGGGAAATGGTTGACAAAATTTGTCGCTAGAATTTTAGTTTGGTTGTCTTTTTGAGGGGAATCGGGACATGGTTAACAAAATGCTCTTGTTACACGATTGTGTTACTAACCAGATATTGTTTTTTATTCAAACTTGTGAAGATGTGTGATCATATTATATGGCATAAAGTGTCTTTCGTTCCAATAGCCTCAGGTGCTTGTCAGATGCCCATACCTTCATATTCAAATAGGTGTTTTTGTGCTGGTTTATTCTGTTCAAAGTGGTCTCTATTTTTAGCATGACATGCTCGTCTAGATTCACTTCCCTGCCAATTGTGCACCAAAAGATAGCAACTAAAGGAGATATTATTGATTAATAAACATCTAATTCATTGACTTTACAGCAAGCTTTATAATTATACATAACCTTCATAGTGCGTTTTTAGGTATATCATTATAAAAACCAAATAGATATATAACTTCATAATATTCCAATTTCAGCTACTGGGACTGAATAGGAGGAAACGACAGGACTGTAGAATTCTACTTGGGAACCCACACAACATGATCCTGAGGAAGGAAATGGCAGACTGGTACAGTTCCTGGCTTAACGTTGAGCACCTGGAAAGCCAAATGCTTTGGGTTCCATGCTGATGTATCTGTGTGGCACACTGCTACAGCTTTAGCCTTTGTTCCATCAGCACCCTCCAAGGGAATCGTGTAAGCCCTCGTGGTGTGCGTTGCATGGCAGTAAAAGACTGCGTATGCATAGTTCTGCTTGTGACACGCTACAGATGTCTCTCCTGCCATCATCTCTACTCCTGTCTTGATCGTATACTTTTGCATCTGGGTTTGGTTTTCGACTTCTGTGGAGATTGCCTGAACATTCTTTCCTAATGTGGAAGTGCTGAAGTCGATCATTGACTCTAGTGAAGTTGCGCAGTATTTCTCCTCTCCTTTAATTCCAGGGTTTTCACATTCCTTGATTGTATCCTTCATTACCTCAGCTTCCATCGATCCTGGTTTCACTGAAAACTCACTGTAGATTTCTGGCAATTTGTTAGATGAAAAGGGTATTGAATCGGCAACTTGGCGAGGTAAGAAAGTCGCTGTGTTGGTGTTTTCAGTGAATTGCAAGTTCATCATTTTGCCGGGATGCATGTCTTTTTCCAAGAAAAAAAGGGCTACATTTGGATCGTCATGGAGTTGATTCTCAGTTGCAGCATAATTGTAGATAAATGGGCTTACCCCAACATGTACGGGCTTTCCCTTGTGTCCTGTGTTCACAGATACTCCGCCTTTGCCAACACCAACTTCGGTTCTCTTCCCAGGCTTACCAGTGTTAACACCAACACCTTTGCCTCCCACGCTGACATGGGTGCCTTTGCCTGGCTTTCCTTTCCCAGAATTGACATTCACTCCACCCTTACCTACAGCAACTGAAGTGCTTTTGTCTTCCACCAGGTCTGAAATTTTAGTAAGATCAATTAGAAGTACTTTTCTGAACTTCAGACAGTAGAAACTAGCAGAAGTTTAATTCAAGTTGTTAAAGAATGTCACACCCCCCGCAAAAAAAAAAAAAAAAGAAAGGGTTTGTAATAGTAGTAGATCAGGTCTTAAAATCATACCTGGGTGTAGAAGGTCTCCGATCGATTTTGGCATAGGAGTGTTAGGCAGAACAGAGTTCCAGTAAACTTCAGGTGGCAAGGCAGCATGGCTTACCACAAGTGCAAGCTGCAACGGAGTAAATACAAATTCTCATAAGATACTCGTATTTGATACTAGAACAAATAGGAAAGTAAGTGTAGGACTGGAAATAGCAAATCATCTGAAAGACCGATCCCTAATGTGTTAAAACATGTTAAGATGCTATATAGCTTACAGCAAGAAAAGCAAGAACGTGTGGAAGACGGAATTCCATGGATATTGTAATGAGAGAGAGAGAGGAACGTAAACCTAATGCTGATATGACAGGAAATAGCAAGTGGCTTGCAAAATTTATACAGGGTATTCTGCTTTAACGACTAAAGAGGCTGCTTCAGTTAGAATAGCAACACATCACCTACATAATCAGCCAGCTTAATAACTTGCAACTGCCCCTGGCTCACTTACTTAAATGCAGATGAGACAGATGTAAGAAAAACAAGAGGTGTTGAACTCATGTAAGGGTGAAAATTACAAGGAAAAAACAATCTGGAAGTTTAGGTTTTCAATTTGCTTTTGCTAATGTTAACTTTCTGCAAAACATGCAAACAGAATGGCGCTTCATATGGTCGGTTAAAATTCATTGAATTGATGAAAATTGAGATGGGGAGCAATCTTAATTGCTTAGACTTTTAGCTTGATTTTAACAAACAACCACCATATTTATGAGGTTAGTAGGGGTTGAGACTGTCCATCTTCCATGATTATGTGATTCCAAATGCACCATGGATTTGTTTAGCTTTTTTGCTGATGATGATCGTATCGTGTCTTTTTCCTACTATTTTCTTCTAGGGTTGGATTGGATGTTGGCTAGTTTTGTTCCTTTTGCTCTCATTTTTTTTCTTTCGGAATTGTCAATATCGGGTGGAAACTTATGTGGCAATAAAATAATTCTCTCCTGTGAGAAACTGCCATGAAAGAAAAGACATCAGATTTTTTTTCCTTTAATCTAGTTGTGTTTTTTTTTAACACAGACATTTAAAATTTATAACAAAACTAATATATTAGGACTTGAATTCGTAACTTCTTGTAAAAAATCATTATCTTTGAATTACAAGCTTTTAATTTTAATTTAGTTATGCTTTCTTAAATCAGCATAGAGATGGATGAAGATCCATCTTGTTTTTCAGAAAGATCCCAGGGCAACCACAGCATTGTAATAGCTCACCATTGAGTAGACACGATAGAGATGTCTATTCATTTAGAACTCTTAGAGGGCTGAACTTGCTCTAACAAGTACCAGGGAGATGTGAGTTTCTGGTGGCATATTCACTCTTACGTTACCAGTTCATATTAATGCGACCGAATTCAATAACATGTGGTCCGTATGCCATTTGCAGTATTCCGTCCTTCTTTGACTACGGAACTGAGCAAGATAGTCCTACGACCTATTTACCTGGCTGTTTTGAATTGAAAAACTTTAATGCCAAACCAACTCATTATGTTGGCTATTATTGCGAGAAGGAGACTTTAGTGAGTGGCCTACTCTGAGAAATTTTATACTAGTGATAGAGTAAATATTGTAAATTACTTTATAAAAAAGAAATAGAAGGAAAAATAAAAAAGCAATAAGGAAGATTTTTTTTTTTAAAAAATAATTTCAAGTGAAATTTTTTTTTATCATTTTTAACAAGTCAAAATGTAAATTATTTTTTTATATGTTTATTTAAAAAAAAAGATGTGTAGAGTAATTATTATATACTTACAATGGTTACTTCTGAAATATTTTAAAATTGATAGGCTGATTCATTCATATAATTTAGTGCAAGAGTTGTATTGAACCAGAAGACAGCGTTGGAACCTCAAGTTGCATTTTAATTATAAATAAAATAAATAGGGTGATGCTGACCTTGATCAGTTGACAGTGGCTTTGTATCTTAAGAAGAGATTAAATTGCCTTACCAAACTGATGATTATCTCAATCTGTACAATAACCTTTATAAAATTTGTTTAAAAAATTGAATAATTTAACTAGCAAAATAATAATCAATCAAGATTAATTGTGAAATTTTTTTAATCTAATATGTAATTTGTAATATTTCTTGTCGTGTGCGTGTTTTCATTTTTGAATTTAAATATATGTTAGAATTATGTTTGATTTTGATCAAAGAAAAAAGCAAACATGGAATCAACTATTTATATTATCTAAAAATCCAATTAAAAAAAAATAATTAGAAGAATGTATCAATCGAAAACGAAAAAGTACTCGAACGATCAATGTTGAAAGAGTGTTTATTTTAATGAATGACTCTATAACCATTGATTAAAAACCCAGTTATTGTCTGCTTGATACTTTATTATTATTATTATTATTTTACATCAACTTAATTTTGAAAATTAATTTTTATTTTAATACATAATGAAAAATAATAATCAATTTTGAAGCGAGACATAATAAGCTAAAAATTAATATAAACTAAAAAATGATAGATTATAATTATCAGATCCTTGTTATTAGGCTCTTTTTTCTTTTGTATGTTAATCTACGGTCTGTGCTAATAATTTTTTTCAGGAAAAAATAAATTATATCAACTTCGTTTCAGTGTTATGTCATTGAATAAGGTGATGCATTACTATATATTACCTTGATCGGTTGATGTTGGGGAGATCTACATTAAAGAGTCCTTTGGACTTGTATCTCGATCTACACGTATAAGGACTTACATTCCACATATATATATATATATATATATATATATATATATATAGTTTATTTTCAATATTGGATAATTACTACTCACATGTATACCTAATAAATCTCTCTTTCAGATATGAGTCTGGTCCATTCGATCACAACTCTCTTACAATCGAAGTATTTAACCATTCCGAGTGAAACAATCACTATTGAGTACTATGGTGCCATCAAGAACTCACCATCCTCACAAGGACCTGCTCATCCAAAAACGCCAAAACCTGCCCTCTATACTTCTAATTTAGGAACCTCGTTTTACTACTTCATGAGCCATCCGTTTTTTTAAAGAATACAACTAGCTTTTTACTTTTACCACGAAAATAACAACAATAAAAGTCAATTCACGCTATTTTCACATTTGTCTTAGCCAATATTATGTCTTTGGCTGTACAAATACCTATCATATTCACTCGTATTAGCCAAACCATTCGTTCTAATACCAGTTGTTGATGAAGTATACACTATAGAGTCACTTGAACCTATATGCGTGAGGGATTGCAGATAAGGATTAGCATGGCATTAATCCAAAAGCTTAGATTAATCAATTTTGAGTCATATTATATATAAAAGCCGTAGGAATATTTTTTACTAAAGTATTAAAAAGCTATATTAATTATATATAAAAAAGAGATACGTTTCAAAATAGTATAATAGTACTGTTTTAAAACAGTTGTCAAAACAATTTATTCGGACATTCAATTGCAACAGAAGGGACATTAAAAAGTCAGTTTCAATTTTCTTTACCGTTCAAGCCTTTGATGATACAATAAATTCAATCGTCCACCAGACAACTTCTACTACTATATATACTTGTCCTTGTCATTTGACAAAAGATACATAACAACATCACAGAAAAAAATTAGCTCCATTACTTCTTTGTCTTTTGTACACTTAAATAGCTATATAAATTTATTTATTTATTTATTTTTCATAAAAGTGGTATTATTGTATTTTGAATTTCAAGCTTTAAAATTAGCAATTAGCGTAAACTTATACAGTAATATAGTTGAATTTGTTGTATTCTTGAGATAACTTACAGCATATACTTGATTATCAAAAAATTCTACAAACGATGCATATCGTCTCTAAAAAGCAATCTCGCTTATGCCTCGGGACAATCATTATAAAAATTTAGTAAAATTATTTTTGGTATTTTTCATTCATGATTTTTTTAGGTAATATCCTTCTTTTTTATTGTTTTTTTTTTTCAAAAAAACACAATCTCTCTCTCTTTATATATATATATATATATATGTCAAAGCGGAATAGTTATCACTCACATGCATACCCATCAATTGACAATGGCTTTATCTAATATAATTGTCCTCCTTTATTTTAAGTGAGACACTGAGAAAATAGTGAAAAAGAAGTGTGATCTTCTTCCAAATGTATTAGACACAATTATTGATTTTATCATATTAAAACTTGTCTTATTTATTCAACACTATAATTTCAATCTAAAAACTCTTGACAGGAGATTAAATTTCCTTGCCAAACTAATAATTATCTCCATATATTATTTGTATCATATGTTGAATATGGTTGAAAGTATTTACATAGTTGATACTAGTGTAGTGTCTCGCGCATTGCTACAGCTAATCTTATAAAATTTGTTTAATAATTCTAAAAATTTAGACAAGCAAAATAATAATTAACCAACATCCATTGTGATTTTTTTTTTAATTTAATATGTGTTTTGTAATATTCAATATAATGTGTTTTTTTTTTTTTTTGAGTTTAAATGTATTTTATAAATATGTCTAATTTTGTTAAAAAATAACAAGCAAACATACGATAAATTATTTATATCACCTAAAAATCTAATTAAAAGATTCAATAATCAGAAGAATGCATGAATCGACAACAAAAGGACAATAGAGCAATCAATGTTGGAAGAGTGCGTATTATAATCAATGAGTCCATAACTATTTTCCATTATTCTCTACTTGATAGTTTTTATTTATTTATTTTTTTTACCTCAATGTAATTCTAAACATTAAAAGATGATAAATTATTATCTGTCAACTTCTTGTTATTTAGACTCTTTCTTTTTCTATATGTTAATCTACAATTTGTGCTGATAATTTTTTCAAAGAAAAAAATTGTTGTTATATAGTTTAGTGTTAATGTCATTAAATTTTTGAGAAACTATACATCTTATTTTGATTAATCATCAATTTTCAAAAATCCATTATTTCTTTAAAAAAATCATTATTTTTCTATAAGTTTAAATGAATAATAATTGAAAAAAACAAAATATCTATTTTTTATACTAATTTTGAAAAAAATGAATAAGAAAATTCAAAATCATGGATTGTGAAGTTGTATGAAAAATAGAAAAAATAAAATTAACTATTTGGAGAAAACCAATACGTAGAAAATAATAAACAAGAGAAAAAAGAAGAAGAAAAACTATATATATATATATATATATATAAAGATGGGCTGGGGTGCGTGTATGGACACGATGGCAACCAAGCACGTGTGTCTAGGCTGGACGGGTGTGGCCCAAGAGCTTTATATGA